TTCTTTTCCTCTGCCTGGACGGCGGCCGAACCCGCGTTTGCCGATGTAGACTTGATGTGAGAAGCGGCGACCGTATCAACACACGTGAAAAGTTGTGGTTGTATATTTTGCTTTATACAGTACTTTCGTAATACTGTGCTTTCTTCTATACTTCGATGATGCTAAAGCTCGTCCATGCAGCCAGCTTCCCGTTAGAAATGTTACGAGAAATCTTATCAATGGAAAAATTACAGTTATTGTTTACCCTTAAATGATTATGCCTTTAATGGGCTTACGGATGATATCCATTCGGCAGTAGAATGGTTATTATTATGGTTATGGTTATGGTTATTATGTCTTGGGAGTACAGACGGATACGGTGGCTGGAAAATTCCGCACTGGATAAACGCAAAAACAGGCGGTCTCAGCGTCCGATTTTCGACTGTATGTATTATGTGTCTATAAGTTTATGTATATGAGTATATGTATACCTGTATGTATTATGGGTAGCAAAGATTTAGTTTTCAAGCAGTTCCATTTAACACTTAGACAAAGGTTTCCGAAAACCAGAACAAGTAAAATAACTTTTCTAGCTCTGTAGAACAGCCGACAGTTCCTAAAACAGAAGCCACGTTTCCGCGCTGAATTTCCACACTAATACGTTGCCACAAGAAATCGGTAGCGCGCGCTTCCCTTTTTGTTCTGTGATACGTCGGCCAACTTCACTGATGAACTGACGGGCGCCAACGCCGCAACTCCCCGTAGCTTCGAAAGCCACAGGCTGGAAAAAATAACGCTCAGTCAGCTCCGCGTAGTTGCTCCTCTTTCAATTTTCTGCATCTTCCGCTGCCGATCCTGCTGCTACAGATGACCCGGCAATACAGGTCTGTATACGACATGGCGAATGTGACGCAAACCGTCACATCCCATATCAAGGGTTGCCCATTTTTCCAAGGGAACAGTAATAAACCATCTGGCCGCTTTCCATTCGATCTACTTAAGCCAGGAGGCTCCAAAATTATCGGCACCTTTGCTGATCCCAGGCTGCGTTGAATGTATTATGTATTGTGTATGCCGCATAAGTCAGTAACAGATGCGATGTCGGTGGGATGAATAATCATCAAAATCATTCATTGCCACTAGTGTAGCGAGCGATCGCCATCCACTACGCAGACAACGGTTATGAATTTTTTAATCAAGATCTAGAAATGTGCAGTCATTAATCAGAATTTTTTCTGTCAAAAAATACTCGTATTTTTTTAAAAGTGCAATAAACTGAACGGTCTGACAAAGAACAGTAGCAACCGTTGCTAGCGTGGCTACAATGAATAATGACAAACATTTGCAGAAGAACATAATTATTTCAGTCGTCTCACTAATCTATTTTCGCGATTCAACAGCAACGAAAGATGCCTTGACAGAGATCCGGCAGTGACAAAGTGAAGATTATTGGATCCACTATAGGCTGCAGTTCGCATAGTGTAAAAAATCCAGAACATGACCGTGTAATCCTGGACCGTAGCCAACATAGGCAAGAACACAACCACCGGTGCCCAGCAAATAAAAATACTGACAGTCAGGATGGTCAGCAGTAAAAAGGCGCTGCGTTCCGACTTTGCTAGTTGGTTATTGGATGGCGAGGAAGACGCGTCCACCGATGGCATTTGGCTATCTGCAAAGGACCATGCTACTGTTAGATGGATCAACGGCAACCAGTAGCCAACATAATTTCCTAATCGCATTTCTGCTAATTCGACTAGTTCCAAAATGGCTTTCCTTTTTTACTGGTATCGGTTGCTACCTAATGGAATATTGGCTGATAGATTATATTAATAATTCAACCAATACTGCCATTGCGAACAGTTATCATCAATTTATTAGTTCGCTTTAGCGCCCATTTGGTACCATATATACTTTACCGGGGATCCCCGAGTTGGTATGCCGAATTCGTCGGAGTTTCTGCAAACGCTTCCGGCGAATGTAAAAAACAACCGGATATTGAGCCAGTACAATGAATACGACAAGGCAGGCGATCACCTGAGAGAAATACAGCCACGCATGCTGTTTTGATACCGAGAAGTCTAGCATACAACCTGCTAGCACTTCCGGTCGCCTGTACAGCAACGCATCAACCACAACACCCGGCAAGAAACCCAAATGAGCGGCTAGGATGCATAAACCACTTATTGCGATGGCGACACAGGTATTGTGGCGCCGGCGATACTGCACCGGAAATATCACCGCACAAAAGCGGTTAGCCGCAACGGCTGTATGGGCAAAATACTGGCAGAACGGAATAACATTCGCGGAATAAATACGAAAAGTGCACCAGTGTGATCCCCAGCACCACACTAGCGAAGATATTGTTGATAATTTCCAGCGGCCCGAAACACACTGCATAGAAGAAGTTGCAGCTCAGAAGCATAAAGACGTAAACGTGAAAATCCCTCAGCAAGCGAAGATTGGTCAGATAAAATATCAGTACGACACCGTTTAGCGCAAAAATTAAAATCGTGATAGGTACCATTGCGATACCGGCGAATGTCCAGGTTAGCGGATTGAAAGACGCATCGCATACATCAGGAGTTGTCGCTGAACTGTTCTTAGTCATCATGCCCATGATAGCGACGCAGAGCACCGATTTGTCGGAGCAAATTTCACCAGCAAAATGCGGAATGTTATTGTTGTATAAAAAATAAAGGCGAACTTCAAGGGATGCGATTGTTGGTAAGACTGAGCATGAATTAGCGTGTTATAAATTTACAGCAAGTTGTCTGCATCTATAAGTCACTCAGATAATAATTATTATCATCAATCATAATAATTATTATCAATCAGATAATAATAATTATTGTTCCAGTGTTTTCCTGGAGATAATGGAATACAGGGTTTTCCTTCACAAAGCAACAAAATACGGGTTTTATTATAGAACTGTGCCAGTTAGATTATAGAGCGTAATCGGGCTAAAACTGCACACAACCCACTTTCACATCACTTTTTGTGTCTTTTCGTGCGTTTTTCCCTTTAGAAAGCTGTCAGCTATCGGTGCGTGAAATCAAAAAGATCAGAAGGTAAATATTCCCCTGTTCAGCAAATCCCACGTTCTTACCACATGTTTTCTGTTACGGCGAAGGAAGGAGCAAATTACATCTGGAAAGGATGAAGATTAATTGAATTCCAAGACATTCTATGATTATTCCTATGCGCGATTGCGTTTATGGGTTAACCTTTCAAGGATAAGTGGAACATGAGCTGTATCTAATTCCAAGATGCACTAATCATGCTATAATTATTGTGTCTCTATAATGATGTGGCAATTTCCGTTCAGACTCGCATTGTACCGGCCATAATGATCGAATTTGCTTCGGCGTTTTTGGTGCGTAAAGAAGATGGTCAATTTTTTCAGTTATGTTCCGAGCGTTTTTTTGGTCAGAACAAGCAGCACCATTTTGCAATAATTTATTATTATACGTTCACACCTGTTTCTTGTCGAAGCAAGTAATATCGTTGGTGTGTTAAATTGTCGCAAATGCGCACCGGTGTTGACTGCGCCCGAAAACGTAGTTATTAGTTAGCCAATAACCCAACCAAAAACTGATACATATCATCCTTTGATTCTGCCGGAAGCACTAAAGATTGCTACATTTTCATTGCGGTTACTCGGCATCATCTCTCTGCGTGCTTTGTGGAACCATCAACGAACAGTAGATTATGGCCGGAAATGTGCAGTCGACGAAACTTCCCGCATCCTCTTCACAAAGCTGTCCGTTTATATGGTAACACAGTTGCCCAGCGTGATTTAACGGTTATGAAGTTCAGTTAAAATGTAAAAATGTAAAATCGTTGACTAAAATTTTTTCTATCAGAAGATACACGGACTTTTTTAGTTTCAATTTTTTTTAAGTGCAATTAAATTTAGGTCAGTGCTATGCGCCCCGACAACCGGAGCGCAAAGCAAATTGGCTGTTCGCCCCGATCGGGGCGCAAACAATCGAGCGGTTAGAGGTGAAAAACAAAAAATTCATGGCGCAGAGCAACGTAACGCCATGGTTACAGAAAATAATGAATTATTATATCAGGGGAACACAGCCAGTTTACTTTGCGCCCGGTACACCGGGCGCATAGCCAGTTTGCTTCGCACCCCATGTATGGGCGAAATACTGGCAGTACGGGATGACATTCGCGGAATAAATACGAAAGGTGCACCAGTGGGAACCCCAGCACCATACGGCGAAGATGTTGTTAATCAGTTCTAGTGGTCCAAAAAAAGCTTCATAGAAGAAGTTGCAGCTCAAAAGCGTAAAGACGTAAACATGAAAATCCCTCAGCAGGCGCAAGTTGGTGAGATAAAATACCAGTACAACTCCGTTTAGCACAAAATTTAGGATTGTGATTGGTAAAATTGTGATACCACCCAATGTCCAGTTTAGCCGATTGGCAGACGCATCGCATACGTCAGGAGTGTTTGTTAGCGCTGACGTATTGTTCGTCATCCTGCTCATAATGGTAAAGCTTAACGCACCGATTTTGCAGAGCGAAATTCCGTTAGCAAAATGCGGAATGTAAGTGTGCAGGAAAAATGCAGACGATATACTTTCAAAGGAATGCGATTATTATTCTGGCTGAGAATGCATCCACAGCAAATGCTACCTCATATATGTCTCTCAGAAATCAGTTGCAATCCCATATTTTTCTGGATGTACATAATAAATTTTCAATACTTTCCTCAGAAATTCAATACAGTGCCGGATTTATTAAAAGGCTGTGTCAATTAGATAATCGACCGTAATCGGGCTAAAAGTGCCCCACATAACCCAGTTTCAAATCACTTTTTGTTTATTTTCGCGCGTAATTCCCAGGGAAAGCTCAGTTCATGTTAAGGATTATAGCTACTGTACCGCCAGATAGCATCTGAAATTAAAAGATAAGAAATTTTACGGTACCACGTTTCAGTACCATGCACATACCACATGTTTCCTGTAGGGCGAAGTAAGGAGCACACTCCGTCTGGAAATGATGAAGATTAACTGAAATTCAAGTCATAATTTCTGTGCGCGATTGCCTTTACAAGTCAACCTTTCAGAGACGAGGGAACATATGAGCTGTATCTGATTGTAATTATTTTATAATTATTGTGTCTCTATATACAGAGGTGGTAACTTCCGTTTTAATAGGCTCGCATTGCGCCAGAATGATCGAATTGCTTCAACGGTTTTGGTGCGTAAGGAAGGTGGTCAGTTTTCGGTTTTATTCCAAACAATTTTTAGGTCATAGCAAGCAGCGCTGTTTTACGCTATACGAGAATATAGATAGAAGTATACGTTGACGTTCTTGTTTAACCGGAACTAGTTCCTTGGGATGTATCTCAAAAAACGTTTTTCTTTACTTTTATTATTTATTAAGTTTTATATCGATTTATGATGCATTCCAAGGTGCAGATGTTTGTAATATAACGTAACTCGATTCTTTACCGGATCCTAAAGCCGAACATTTGTATGTACAGACAGCATGTATTTGTGTGTATATACTGTATGTATGTATGTACTAATCGTAAGTAGTACCTACTGTGTACATTATGTACATACGACGAAATTGCAGTCAGCAGTTAATTAAATAATGTCAAATAATTTAGGCACCTGCAGCGCAAGCTCTGCCGTAAATTCGACATAATGTTTTAAACGGGAACTTATGAAGGTACCGCTATTTTAGGTAAGCGACCACTACCATACTTATTATTATCAGGTACTGTAGCCGCCCGCACAAATCGTTCCACTGGCAGATCCGGCGGTTGCACTTGTACGTGCGGGCGGCTACAGTACTGGAGTCTGGATATAGTGGAGAAAACTTTAAATTCACTGGTCGGTGTCAAAGCAGAAGGTAAGTTGATGAAGCTACTTTGTTGTTATCTGCACAGCGATCAGCATTAGCGATATTGCATCTAAAAACTGCCACGATCGAAAACAGCTGAGCAGAATAATAAGGCACAGAAGCACCGGAAGCTACACCGGAAACTATACCACCTAGGCACCTACGCCGATGCTATACTTGAACAACATCGTTACCTCCTACCGGGCGGCGCTTCCGCTAAAATCAATCAAGCCATGGACTGTGTATATTCTCAGTTCGCACTGCTGACAATCGAAAAAATTCTATATTCTGAATTTCAATTTTTGCAGCAAACTTTTACAGTTTACTGTCTAAACAACCTCGTTTTTCTGTTGTTCGTTTTCCAATCTTTTAACATCGGCTGAATGTTTTTTAACAATTGTGTACGCTGCGATTTCCATGTGGTTTCCATGCTGATCGGGATTTGTAATCCTAAAGCGTCAGTAATCCTAAAGGATTTGAATACTAGTCGACGGAGTTTGGCTGTTCCGGATATACATATCATAATCATTCATGTAAAAACATGTCGCTTTCCTCTTCCTGCGCTGGTCCTCAGGAGCGGGGTGCGCTGACGGGCATCGCCGACTGCCTGAGACGATCGCTTGTTAGCGGTGAACTAAGTGACATCAAGTTTTCCGTGGGACGGGATCATGGTGAAGTGCGGATGTTCCCTGCGCATAAGTAGGTCCTCGTTAGATTTAGGACCATTAGGAACCGTGCACATTTAGTACAGTACACATACAGGTACTTGATTCACGTTTTTACAGGAACATCGTCAGTCTGCGCAGCGATGTCTTCCATGCCATGTTCTATGGCAGCTTGGCGGACAAATGCGCAGATATCGTGGATATTCCCGATATCCATCCAGATGCCTTCGCCAACATGCTCAGGTACGATTTATTACCGTACCAATCCCCTACGATAGAAGCATAGAATGGGACAGAATAATTGCATATCAACTAGTTCTATAGCGTACAGACAACAGACAAACTGTGCTTATAACAAAATATTTCTATACAAAATAGACGATTTTGCATTTAATCTACAATAAAATAGCCTGTAATGTTAAAAAATAACTCCGGATCTCCGGATAGGCTGTGTTCCTGTGAGAAGCATTTTATTACCTGACTTCTACATCTCTCCAACAGAAAAACATTTACTCAAGAAATAAGAAATAAAAGAGCTTCTCAGGTGAAGCAATCATAACCACCCAGTATGGCAGCGTTACGCGGTTTCTGTCTAGAACATTCTGAAGATTTCCTCGTGTTTTCTGATTTTTCAACCAAAAGTGGCTTTTTTGTAACCTGTACCATTATTAAAAAGATTAAAGAAAATTAATACAAGGGAATCATTTTACGCTGCTTATATATCTATATGAGTGTTGCAGAACTGAAAAACTGATCTGTCTTCACGACGCTTTAGAATATTCTTACGTGAATCGAACTTGAAATTCTTAATACGCCCGGTAAAAATTTGCTCGCTAAGTTGAACGTTTTAACTCTGGTTTTTAGTTACATCTACACGGACGCGGTGGACGGTCTGCGTTTGGAGAACGTCCTGGCCACGTGGTCCTGCGCGGACAAGTACGATTTACCATTGCTGGTGGAGAAATGCTCCGACTTCGTCCGCGGGCACTTAAACGTCGACAACTGCCTGCCAATTTTGGACCGGCTGGTGGTGGGGATGTTCGACGCGGAGTGCGTTGTGGAGCGATGCTTGGACCTGGTCGACGCCGCCAGTGAAGTTCTCCTGCTGACCGCTGACTTCCTGGCCATTGCGCCGGCCACGCTGGAGATGATCGTGCAGCGTAATTCCCTGGCGGCGGACGAATATAGCGTGTACAATGCTGTGGAGAGGTTAGTTATTCGATACTGTGGCCAGCTTTTCCATGCTTGCAGAAACATGCATGAAAATTACATTTTTTGATTTGTGGGAAACGTGAGAAAATCGACATATGATTTCAGTCGGCCGAAATTGACTATTCATCCACAAATAGGAATAAAATGATCTAGGACAGTGTCTTGAATAACGAAATCGTGCGCGAATTTTTTTTTCAAGCTGCAAATTATGCTCAAATTAAATTTGGTTTCCGCACGGCAAAAATATTAATCGTTTAATTTGAAAATTACTTTTATTGTTAATCATTTAAATTATCTTTTAATCTGTATAGAAAATAGTACTACATTTATTTTTGTTGTAAAATTATGTGGACTAGAGTAATCTTAAACACATACTGATAATGTTGCAGTTGGGCTGTGGAGGCGTGCAGCCGTAATGCCCTGGAACCGAGCCGTGATAGCCGCCGCGAGATGTTGGGTGCGGCTTTATTTGCCGTACGGTTTCCCGTGTTGACCGATGCTCAGCTAGCCAAAGGACCCGTGAAGGTGGGTGCACTTAAACCTGCATCGAGATGCCGGAGATGCTTACCGTACGCGCGTAATTTATTTCCTTTTTTTATCTATCTACAGAGTGGCCTGTTGCTGCAGTCGGAACTGTGGGACATCTACCAGTACAAACACGATATCCTCACCGCACATCCACTCCCCTTTCCCACGGAACCTCGAAAATACGTGCAGCACCGCGTCGGTCCGCATGTCTTCAAGGACGGCGAAGAAGTGTTTGTCGAATGCCCCGACGGTTTTTGGTACGCGGTGCGGGTAAGCGGGACCCGCGGCACCGCGGTGGTCTGTCAGTGGACAAAGAGCGCCGGCCGGCCGGTGCCTCTGGAGAAGCTGGTGCGGGCGGCGGATATCCTGCGACGTGGACGCCGCGTTTTTGCTAAAACTGTTCCCGACAAGGCATCGATGGATGCGGTGTATATTACACGCCGGGCTGGTCAGCATGTGATCATTGTCGCCGATTGCCAACACACGGTGAAGATGATGCATCTGAAAATTCCTAGCGAAGTGGTCTTGCAATGGAAAACGGAAACGGGGAAATAGCGTCGCTATGCAGGCCACAAATGCGTCATGTATCGGATGTCGGCCGACATGTTCGCGATTCCTAAACTTTATTGATTCCTAAAATTTACTTCCTTATGAATGAAGGTGGTGACCTTCATTGATAACCGCAGACTAGTGAAGCGCTTTAACTATGAAAATTTATGATTAAGCGGCGAGCCAAGCTTTTTTGCTTTGATGTTCCTTTTTCTGTGATATTGTGCTTGATGTTGCTCTGTATATATCGTTGTATGTTGTGTAACGGGATGTACAAGTGTATGTAATATCTATATTCGTTCTGCGTCGCTTTATGTTTGCCGTGAATTGTCAATGTGGCGATAGTGTGACAGGAAGGGATTCGCGTGGAGGAGAGCAGATAGTATGTGCTTCGGAAAATTATTTAAAAATTAAGTTTTTCGTTACTGCAGCTTCGTTGAATACCCGTATACAAAGTACTTCTATTTTAAAGATTGAGAACCGTGATACGTTTAGTGCCAGCATGATTATAGCTGTTCGGGCCCACTAGAAGTACAAAATTTCCAAATCTTTCAACACCTCTGGTTGAAACATAGAGTTATCGTATCACGAGTCAGATTCCCAAGTAATATTTTCACCCAGTACACTAATTTGTCCTACGAAATTTTCTGTGCATAAGTGGGCACAAAACTGACGTAATGACTTTGTAAAGCTACTATGGTAGTGACAGACAAAAATTTATAGGACGGTAGTCACGGTATGCATATGGCTTACGGAGAGACTTTGAGTAAGCATTAACTTATCGACGCTTCTTTCTCAAACAGCAGGTTTCGGAGAATTACACCAAGCAAAAACTGATCCGAAACGGAGCCCAAAAGATCACCGAGCACTAGCTGGATAAATGAACGCCAGACGCGAGGGCAACGCCTATATACGTCTGACAAAATGTGAATATCAACCCAACCAAGGGGATCCAAGTTAATGTTTTTCTACTTCTGTGTTTTCCGGGAATGAGCAAAGTCCGTATGGTCTACATATCAAAAACTGAAATTATTTCCGGGTTGTGAGGATGCACGCGGTAACAGTCAGTTGCTGGTGGGTGCACAACCAGCGTTCACCGGCATTGATTTCCGTTCGCCGACTACAAATTCCAAGTTCTCCACCGCTTGTAATAAGCCCGCCAAATTTGACGTGAGTCGCATTTGCCCCTAGGGTATTTTTGTTGTCTGTAGAATGCGAATCCGTCAGTCACCCGTTGCATTACTTACATCACTTTCAAAACTTGTATTTGCAATCTCGCGTGCATCTGATATCAACCTGTACGGTCTGCATGCATTGTACACATAACACCTGAACAAGTAAGTACTCGTACACTTATTTTGCCGGATGTTGTTAATTGTGGTACGAGAGTTAACGTAATTGATAGATTTGTTACGCCAGTCATTGATATGGGTGTCTTTCACTAACGTTCCACCCTAATCATCACTTTATTTGGATAATCTTAAGTGTTAACATTACGATAATCTTCATATTAGACAAACAACTGTAACGGTAGATGGCGCTTCAACTTCGCGACTGCGCTGTGGGGATCATGCAGTGTATGAAACACTTGCTGGTCAGTGGAGAACTAAGCGATGTTCAGTTTTCAGTCGGGCGGGATCACGGTGAAGAGAAAATCTTTCCAGCTCACAAGTATGGCAACTGGATATCGCGCGTTGTACAATTTATTCTGCCTGCTATTATTTTGTATGGCTTGTATTCTGTAGATACATCGTGAGTATGCGCAGCGATGTCTTCCATGCAATGTTCTACGAAAACGTTAGCGGTGACGATGTGGTGGATTTTCCCAATATTACACCGGAATCTTTTGCCAATATGCTCAAGTAAGGCAAGGAGCACATACTGTATATACCAGTTTACGTTTTTAAAACTGAAAGTTTCGTATTGCCCAAATTGTGCAGCATAAACTTAACAATAATTTTTTATAGATACATCTATACTGATGCGGTAGAGGATCTGGACGAAGCGAACGTCTTTCCCACGCTGTACTGCGCTGAGAAATTTGAATTGCCCTGGTTAGTGGAATTGTGTATGAGTTTCGCGCTGGACCACCTGCGAGTCAACAACTGCCTAGCCTATCTCGAAAATGTAGGCTTCCACGCTGCAGCAGTGCATATCGCTAATTTCACTGCATTATGTAGCTGCATTTTGTGTTTTACCGGGGAAGTACAAACACTTTGCGAACAGGTTCTGTGCTGGAGTATCGTCAGTTCGTCGTTAATACAGAAGTGCTGGACTTTCCTGGACAAAAATTTTGAAGATATCCTCCGATTAGAGCAGTTCAAGACAATCAAAATGGAAACGCTGCGGATGATTTTACGGCGTGATACTCTGTGCGTCCAAGAGAGAAACGTTTACTGTGCTGTGATGGTGTAAGAGTTGCGACAAATTATTACAAATACAACGTGCAGCACATAAACTATTCACTCCAAATATATGGCAAATGATTATCGATCACTTACTTTATTATAGTATCTGTATGTGGTAATCAAACAATAGTTTGCGGCTGTATTATTTTTGTTCCATATGAGTATTGGATTTTTAAAGCATAGTTCCATAATATTAGATGGTACTGCAGAGTCTGCAGTGGACGTTTCTGAAAAAATATTTATTTCGAATTTTAAATTGCTGTTACACAGATGGGCTGAAGCAGCTTGCCAACGGAATAATCTGGAACCAGCCGGTGCTAATCGGAGGCGGATACTGGGTGATACTTTGTTTTTTATCCGATTTCCGTTGCTGTCCGATGAGTTACTGGCTCGTGGGCCCGTCAAAGTAACTACGCGTTTCCTGCATTGAGTTCGTTAAAAAGACTCTGATACACAATACCTGTATACAGACCATAATACTATTTTTTTAAATTTTTTTAATGCGCGGCTGTGTTCGTTCGTTGAACGTTCATCTACAGAGCATTTCAGCCAAATTGTCTGTTTCACATTTTCCTGCAGGACAACTTGCTACTACCGACGGAGCTGTGGGATATTTACCGGCACAAGCACGACACGCCGCGGCATCCCGTGCCTTTTCCCACTGAACCCCGAAAGTACGTGGAGCACCAAATCGGCGACGTTATTTTTGAAGATAAGGAAGAAGTGTTCATAAGACGGGATGAGGGGCAGGCGCACTGGGACCCCGGCCGAATTATCGGAATTCTAGAATCGATGTTTATGTACTCGACGTGTCACTATCCAAATGCTAAAGCACAGTACATAAGCTGGACTGCGCGGCCGGAAAGAATCCTGCGTGCTGTCACTGTCCTGAAGCGTTCGTGCAGGGTTCAAGCACGCATTGATGGCGTCTACGTGGCGGCAGTGTATGTTGCGCGTTTGGGTGGATCCCATATGGTGGAAGTGGGTGGAGTAGGATGCATGGTGCAGTTTGGTCAGCTTCGAATTCCCACGGACACAGAGACAAACATCGGGTGATAAGTCGTCGGTGGTCAGTAAAGACTGCTGAGAGCAGCAAAATCCGCTCATAAAATGCTTGGGGATCTAAAGGAAGATTAGCGAAGTGTACATTTTATTTTGTGAATATTTTCAATTACGACAGTGTAAGTTTGCTGTTTAATGTCTCCGAAACGAAGCGAGAAAAGTGTCGAAACTCGAAAAAAAGACGATTGGTTGTGCTCTGCTGTGGACACATAGCGATATAGGAAATGATTGTCACAGTTAAATCTTCGTGGAGACAATCATTCTGTATCCGTATATCCGGCGTGTTACACTTGCTAGACTCTAGAGCGTGTGGTGGTGTGATATGTGCAGCAATTCGTCTAATGCATTCCAATAGTGCTGTTCTGCAAGCTTATCTGTATATTTTTTGCCATTTTTGTTTTGTTGTCTGCTCAGACACAGCAAAAATCCAATAAAATACTAACAGATACTAATTCTAACGTTAAAAGAAAAAACAGGAACACGAAGTACTGCAGTGCGTGGCAGGTGCGATACTAAAATTATGTTGATTTAATGTTGTAATTATGTTGTATAATTTTTATGTTGATTCATTATTCTCTCAATCTACTCGTATCGAGTTGTACATGAAGCAACCACAATTAATCAAATATGTTGCATGTAATTAATATTATGGTGCAAAGACCATGAAAACGAACTCCTTATTGCATCAGCTGGCTCTCAATGACGCTATATCCGGTTCATGCCGACTAGCATTATTAATACACTCTGTATTTGCGATTCTTTTCTGCTCTCTTCTCAAATAAACACTATACGAAAAAGAACCGGTTTACAGAGTACAGCATTTTTTTGGATTACTGTTCATAATTTGAACAAGTACATTGTCATCCGCACATGAACAGGATGCGCTGGTTTAGTAAGTTAACGTATTTATATGTGTTGATCGATCGCGATCCAGCTTTATCTTGCTAGTATCCGTAATCGTATTGTATCGGTGGATTTCCGCTTCGTTTAAACTGCCAGGCTTTCTCCACAGTTTACAGCTATGTTTTCGAACGGGTCTTCATCGGGTGCTGCGAAACATCGCGGCGCAGTCTCCAAAATAATCAACTGCATTGAAAACTCGCTAGTGTGCCCCGACATGAGCGATGTGCAATTTGCGGTGGGAAGAGATTACGGCGAGGAAAAACACTTCTCAGCGCATAAGTAATACTCATACCATTTACCGCGGAACACTTATTCTTTATTTGGTTCCACCACTGTTGCAGGATTATCCTGAGTGTCCGCAGTGATGTCTTCCACCAGATGTTCTATGGAACATTACCTGAGAAGTGTACCGCTCCCATCGATATTCCCGATATTCTGCCAGACGCATTTGCCAACATGCTCAGGTGCGTTAGAAGCTTTTTGCTACTTTGCAAGATGCATTTCATGAGAAGAGGATGGACTCCTGGCGATTACCTCTCATGTTTATCATGTTTATGGCATATTGCCAGATCGAACTAAGACGCCGGCTTCTAACGGATAGCTGCACTGGTGACCTTATATTCCTTTACATTCATAACTGGAAACTTACGCAAACTGCTTAACCGAAAAACAAATCCAGTTAAGATGCTCTAACATCATGCGCTCAGTTATTTTAGTATCAAGTACAGAGTACAAACGCATAAGCACGTTAATTGCAGTTATATGTACACTGACGCTGTGGAGTGCCTAAACGAGGACAATGCCTTCCACACACTGGGATGTGCCGATAAGTATGACATGCCGTTGCTGGTGGAACTCTGCGTCGCCTTCATCCTTAACCAGCTCAACACCGACAACTGCTTGGCCAACCTTGAGAGCGTGAGCGTGTTCTAACCGTCACTAAATTGTCTATGAAATGCGGCTGTAATCTGAACACCTGACTTAACCGTAAAAACAGGCGATGTTTTGGGGAACACCGAAAATCGTGGAGAACTGCCTACGCTTAGTAGATGCGTCGGCTGAGAAGGCTTTACAGTCGAAGGAGTTCCTTGAATTAGGACAGGACTCCTTGATAGCCATCCTCAAACGAGACACATTTTATGCTGAAGAGGATAAAATCTATGCGGCTATAGAGAAGTACCCTAATACTAAAAAAAGTTCTTTTACTGTGTGACTTTCACGGAAAAGTACCATTGTTTAACCCGTGCAGGTGCTGCTCATACGAAATCGTAATAATATGTATGAAGTGTCTCTGTGCAGAGAGCACTGAAGTACGTACGTACGCACTATGCAACAAGTAAAATGACTTAAAAAACCTGATTTGACAAGGCAGTGGGTAGCTTGCAATCTTCCAGACATCGATTCCAGTTCCAATATTGTCATGCACGTAATGCAGGTGTAACGTTGTAGGTGGGCCGTGCACGCTTGCGCTCGCAATAGTCTGGTTCCATCTCCGGCCAACGGGCGGCAAATGTTGGGCGCTGCTCTATATCTCATCCGTTTCCCCTTACTAACCGACAACCAGCTACGCAACGGTCCCGCAGAGGTCAGTAATATTATCTTTCGGTCTGCGCTTCGCATGAACTGCAGAGATTCACGGTTGTGTCTTTGTATGTCAAGACTGGTTTGCTGCTGCTAAACGAGCTCTCCTACCTCCAGCGCCGCCTCCATCATACACTAACTGCAGACTTGTTACCCCTTCCATTTCCCGTGGAACCTCGGCGAGGTGACAATAAGACTATGTACTTCTTCCTTCATAAGAAACTCGTGTTTCATAACAAGACTACGCACGTTTTGCTTACCTCGCGATGGGCAATTGTGACGATTTTGTAGATGATGCACGCAGTGAAGGTACTATCAACTACACCGTGCCGAATGTAAAAAACCTACCAACTACCGCAATATACAGCACTTCCATCTGCGTCCGATTTTTGCCTTGGTTTGTACAGTTTCGCATTGCGTTAAGTCATTATCATTCGACTTGTCTCACATTTGGATCGCTTTCAATTAACTAATGTCTAAGCATTTAATCATTCGACTGCATCAACAAACCTGGATTCGTAAGAAACGTAATTGTTTTGTAATGCGGAGAAGCTGATCGCAATATTGCGGTGTTGTTCTGTCACTAGATTAGAAAAACGTACGCAGTTAACTTGTCGCTCTAAGGCCATGATTTCTGGTCGATTCAATAAGAAAACAATGCAAAGAGTCAAATTACTAAGACGGCTTAAAGACCTCTGAATCATTTGGCAGGAGGATCCGCGTTGAGAGACTAACTAGCGGCGCATCTCCTACCTTGGGCTTCTTCCTGCAGAGTCCTGCCGATTCGGCGGCAACATCCTGGACATGTCAGGTTACAGCAGACTTGCGACTACTGCCACATAACCCAGCAACTCCGCCGATTGAGCACAGTAGGAAATGGTGCACTCCCTTGTCAGTACAACGCTAAAAAGTTGTGAGTTGATTGGCATTTGGTTTTTAGAGTTATCCCATCTGTTCCACAACCACGAAATCGGCTATGGTTTTCCCAGTTTTGTTACAATGGAGGTGAGGTTTTGTTTTGTCAGGATCGTCACGTAAGTTCTTTGTAAAATTAATTTGTTGGTTGATGATTGGAAGGCGTTGTTGGATCCCGCAAAAGGCTACGTCAACCCTACCAATTCCTCGCTGCAGCTGCAGGTCAGACTGTCTGCCGATATTCCCAATGGAATTTGGTAAAGCAACTAAACTGGATTGTGTGGAAACGGTTTAATAGTTCTCGTTTATCACTTTTATATACGTACCGTATATAAAGACGAGCATTGTTCTCCGTAGACACAGACGAGCATTGTTCTCCGTGTGGCGCTCTATCACGAAGGATAGTCTACTTAGTGTTTCTGGCACAAAGACTTTATCATGGAACATGGCTGGGGTGAATTAAAATGACTAAATCTTTTCTATGCCCGAAACGTCGAAGGAGATGGTACCTCTACGGCTCTACTATACGACGATTTGTGATTTTTAAACGGCAGTAAGCAGGTCCATGTAATAGACCCGCGTTGGTAAAAACTTGTCAATAATAGTTCACAATTTAAACATGGCTTGTGATAAAGCATTGATAAGTTACCGGTGTTCGAGCAACAGCAACGAGCAACTATTGGTTTAAGAACTAAAGGCGTACCATGTTACCCGCTTTACATTTGCCGCTACATTGGCGTAACCTTTAAATTGCTTTAATTATCGCCAAAATTCACTATTTAACGACACCTCCGTCACAAACCATCAACTGCTGCTCCGTGCAATTTAAAACTGAGGAAGTTGGTCAGGACGGTGGATATTCTGGCACGTGGTCTCCGTCTCTAAACAGACCAAGTTTGAGTATTGGCAACCGTGGCAAATTAACAACGCAGGGTTTCATCGCATATGAATTGTACTCGTGTCAAGTAATTGGCAGAGAACAACACTTTATCCTCAAGTACAATTTCACGACAATGTTTCTGCAGAAAATCACTGTCATCAGCCAGCAAAAGAACGAGACGAAAGCTTTCTCTGCGCAATTCGTCAGTGTTGTCCTAAGTCTCCGTCAATGCTGTTATAAGTTCTTTTAGATAGTGAATTTATAATCAAACGGTTTGAAATTCCTCGTCGGCGGATCCACAACCGGCATCCCCGATTTCGATTCCCACCCGTTCAATATAAAATCGCAATCATGTTTTAAGCTTACCAAGACCGTTTCCTACGCGCCGAATAAACCCGAGGCTATTAGTTACTGTATTGTAGTGTTTCAACGCGCTGTTGTTTGCAGAATGCCAATACAACCAGCCAAAGTTAAAGCGGTTAAAGCACATTGCAGTATTAAAAGATACATCATATTCAGTGCTGGTTTTACAACTTCGTATGTGCATTTGTCAAAGTATTTGTACCTATAAGTACTGTAGATTGTGTTTATCGTATTACACACATTCATTTACCAGACTGCTGTTTAATATCAGAGTAACGTAATTAACCGCTATGTTGCGTCAGCCGTCGGCCGATCCATCGTCATCACTACCTGCAATGGATTCTAGCTTTAATCTGCACTTCTACAGTAGTGCCAATGAAGTCTTACTTACTTACAATTTGGTACTTATTTGAAAAACTAGCTGTAGGTACAACGATGGCGTTACCACTTCACGATTCCGTTGTGGGGATCTTGCATTGGATGAAGCACCTGCTGACCAGCAGACAACTGAGTGATGTACAGTTTTTTGTCGGAGGGGATCAAGGACAAGAAAAAGTCTTCTCCGCCCACAAGTACCGTATGCCAAACGTTTATCTTGTGTTACACAAATTATTATGCCTGCCTTATGCGCATCGTTTTCTGTAGACTCATTGTGAGTATGCGCAGCGATGTTTTTCATGCAATGTTGTACGAAAACGATGACGAGAACGATGGCGATATTGTGGATCTTCCCGGGGTTCTTCCAGAAGCTTTTGCCAATACTCTCAAGTAGGCAGACGAACTCAGTACTTGTTTTCTCGAAGTAAAGCGTTGCGTATATCATCTTCCCGCGTCTTGAGTGCTACAGCACAATAATAAAATTAATTCTGTAGCTTCATTTACACGGATGCGGTAGAGCATCTGGACTTAACCAACGTCATTCCTACGCTTTACTGTGCTGAGAAATTTGAACTGCCCTGGTTAGCCCAACTGTGTGCAGGCTTCGCCATCGAGCGCCTGGATGCTGACAACTGCCTTACCTTTCTCGGCAATGTTGGTCTCGTGCAGCGTTACCGTCAGTATGCAGAAAACCGCCATAGGAAACTCTTCGAATATCTTTCTGTTTTTTAACAGGCATTACGCTGGAGAGTGCACACGTCCCATTCGCCCTTGATAAGAAAATGCTGGGCACTACTAGATAAAGTATTTGAAAGTGTTTGTATATCAGAACACTTTACAACAATCGAGCCAGAATTGCTGCGAATGATTTTATGACGAAACACCTTGTGTGTCGAGGAGAACGAAGTCTAGATGGCTGTCGAAAGGTACACGTTGAGATATTCGTTGAGTTAATACGCATCACCGTGGTACTAATTCCACTGTACTTGTATGCCACGGCATAATGCATACAACGCATAACAGGCGAGTAGTGCAAGACTTGTGTATGCAGTTACGCCATCTATAAAGAGTATTAAAAAAACCAAAGCTGAATGCTATATGTTCAATTTACATAATCATAATACACTATTATCATTATTTTATATTGCTTATGGTTAGTTTACATGCATAACAGAATTATACCGTGAGCTGGTTTCGACTAGTTATGAACGAATAATTCAGATTTGTAATTGCTATTTCTCTGCTGCTGCATCTGTAGGTGGACCCTGGCAGTCTGTCATAGAAGTAATCTGGAGGCTGCCGGTGATAATCGCCGTCGAGTGCTGGGTGACGCGTTGTTCCTTGTCCGCTTTCCCCTTATGTCCGATGCGCAATTGGCTACGGGATCCGTCAAAGTAAATACGCGTCTATGAACTGCTGGACAAGAAAACGTACATAATTCTAATGCTTTATAAGCTCATGCTTTGCTGTGGTTAGTAGCGGAATGGAGTAAGGGAATTATAGATATGTACACATAATATACGCAATCTAAGATAAATCACATAAATGCATAGGAGAGTGCATTAAACAATACTTCTGTAGTTGGTGAAAAATTGTTTGAAATACAGTCATGCAGTACATAGAAAACTGATAAGTATGTAGGCATTCGTAAACTTTAAAATGGTAACATTATCATGCAGAGATATTGGCGGCACTTATTTATCTTCTTTTTAGTTTGACTAAGGTATTTAAAACATTACAGAACTACATGTATATCGCTGTTTTTGGCAGAGCGCCTTACTGCTACCGACGGAGCTGCGGGATATTAACCGCTGCAGACATAAATTACATAACACGCTGCGCCACCCCGTGCAATTTCCCACGGAACCCCGAAAATACGTTGCGCACACGATCGGTGAGGTGGTTTTCGAGGATATGGAAGAGGTGTTCGTAAAACGGGATAAATGGCACTGGGATTCCAGCTACATTGTCGGAGTACGGGCACTCCAGTTCACATATTCGAGGTATCGATTCGGCGGATCAGATGGGGCTGCGCATCCTGATAGAATCGTGCGCGCTGCAAACGTCCTGCACAGCCACTGCAAAGTTCATGTGCGCGGTATTAACGGTGTCTATGTGGTGGCTGACTACGTCTCGCGGTCGGGTGATTGTCATGTGGTCGTTGTAGCTGGACGAGAAAGCGTTGTGCATTTTAACCAGTTACGGATTTCCATGGATGCCGATACAGATGAGCAAGTCAGATCCAGCTGAAACATTATTATGCGATGGGCGGATGTATAGGCGTTGTGTTTCCCACGGATCCCGTGAGAATCACAAACAATTAACAATTTATCCAGACGTACATAACGGCCGGCCCATAAGAATATGTTTTACACCAATGTGTCCTGCTGTGTTGCAGCCCGCTGCTTGCAAATGGTTGCACCTTTGCGGCACCCATTCTTTTGTATTTTTCCAATTTCTTATAACTTATGTAATACATATGTGTAGTATTGATTCTAATGGTACATGGTTTAGAAACTAGATTGGTCTACTTGGTGGTAAGCTCTACGCCAAATCGGCCAATAATTACATTTTTCTCCACAATTGAGAATTAATAAATGCATTTTATGGATTACGGAGGGCAAACTACATTATATTTTGCCAAAGCAAGAATAAGATATATGAAAATTTATCAGTATATGTCAACAATGGCGAAAGACTAAACGCATATAAGTTTTTAGTCTTCCAAAATAGTTGTCAAAAGAGTCTGAAATATCAAGATAAACTAATGTCGCTCCAAGGAAATCATGGAGGTTAGTATAAAACAACATACTAACCTTTCGGTTTGCAACTTTTTGGACGTGCCTTTTCGCTCTTAATTCGCAGCAAAATGAAATGCATTTTACTGTGATGGAGTTGTCACGATCGTCACCACTCTCGTATTTTCAGCGAGTGACTTTAGTAATTATATGAACAGAACAGTTTGCGCCACTTCGGGTATTATAATTATAACGAAGCTAGGTCCACCGCTTTTTTAAAACAGCGTATAAGCCTTGCAATTATTAAAGGCAATGCGGCTGCCGTTTTAGGAACTTTACCGGGCAAGAAAAAATTTGTTGATAATAGTGATTTTGGTTGTTTTTTTTAATTCTTGATTGTGCAGTGTCAGCCGTAGTGATACGAGTCATGACTGTTATGTCGCGATGTAAACATGGATAAAGAGCAAGTACGAGTAAAATTATAACAGATTTTATCGGACTCGATGCCTGGTCGTTAAAAAGAGCAACGGAACTGCGATAGCATACACCGATTAAAGTTTTGCTTGTATAATCGCCCCTGACCCGCCTTCCGAGATGGAGTATGAATAAGTAAACAAGTATGTGGAACAATCTGAAGAATGAGTCTTTTCTGTACAACTCGTTTAAAGTTCGCTAGCACGTCTCCAGATGCATGCATGAGTTATGTGACCTTTGCACGCTGGGATGGTTATACTGTACTATTGCAACATGCATTGTACACCTACACCTCTGTTCACCAGCTGTTAATTTTGCTAGCGTGGTTTGCGAATTTTTTTTATTTGCGTCCTGTTAAATTTTCGCCAAATTCACCATGATGAATATCATTGCCCTGGTCATACTGTTTATTTCATGTGATCAGCAATACAGCGTTTTCGCGAACCCCACAAGCAACAGCTGCATCCAGTGAGAAAAAACTCATTGCTTTCATTTTACAAGACAAAAGTGACTGCCGTTTTATTTCCATTTACTATTAAGTAACAGCTTTTTTGCCATATTATATGAGTATCTTCATTGTGAAAGGTGTTATTTATTACGACAATCGACCGCGAAGCGTAGCGAAGGTCATCCTTGTTCAGCACTAATTGAAAATGTGGTGTCTGTGCGTCGGTTACCGGCCGCCACCAAATGCGCCGGTCGATGACTGTAAAACATTAAAGTGCCGTTGCATTTGCAGTGAGTGCGTGAACAATTCGGGACAGTCATCCGATCCCTTAACTCTCATAATGTCTTGGACACCAGCGGTGCCCAATGTCCCCGCCCGGCATTTGCACGACATTACCACATTCCCGCCACAGCCGACCATAATCCTCCCCGATATTACCATCTATCCGCATAAATTCTGCACGCAAAATACATCCGCCAACGGCAGCGATGTCGTCCTTTTGGCGGTGATGACCGAACCGGAGGACAGCGTTCTTCGCATCGAATACCGGCAGATGTGGAATCAGTATCTTCCTTATATCTCCGGGAACCTAATGTTTTTTCTACCTGTCTCACACGCCCCGAAGATTCAGGAAACCATTCAACAGGAAGCGCTGCAGAACGGGGATATCCTGCAACTGAACACACCGGCCAGTTCAACGGAAAAATACCTTGAGACACTGGCCGCAATACAATGGGCCGACGAAAACTGCCCGCATAAGTTTATGCTGCGGATGGATGTCGATGTGCTTGTGCAAGTGGCATCATTGAAGACGATATTGGACAACGCGCTGTTTAAACGTTTGGACGACACAGCGGCAATTTTGGGTAACTCTAATTTCAAAACCTGTGAAAACTCACTTGTTTATGAGCCTTTAATTTTAGCAGAAATATTCTTAGTAACGTCATCATATAAAACCGGCAATATTCCGTTCATGTTAGCCAGTCGCGAAAGCTGATAAGTACTTGAACAAACGTCAAAGGTCATTGTACAGTGAATGTACACGTACTAGTACTTGCATGTTCCACCATTAGTTTTTATATCGTCATCGTACGCATCTGAGAAAATTAGAGCGGCGTTTTGTAATTTACGATATGTTTTCTCTTTACATTTTTAATTTAATTTCTATTTGTAATGTAATTAATTCAATTTATATTTTTAGTTTATATTTTTTCCCTGGAATGTATTATTTCTTTGAAAAGTCGACGAATAAATAGCCAGTATTCGAGTATATTTATGCTTCCTGAAATTATGCCTGGTATGTACGTATTTACGATATACAAAATGCGTATTAAGGATGTTACAAAACATTTTTCCAGTACTGGTACGTATAGATATACATGAGTGGTTTCTGTAGAAGTCGAGCTAAGTAAAATTTAATTGCGTTGTAGGTGACGTTATTGATGACGAGGGTGCGGTTAACACATCCAGCTCCCCGAAATTCATCCTGGGTTCGTTTTACATTATTACCCGGCCAGCTTTTCGTCGCCTCGTCGAAGCATGTCGGCGAATACGTCCTATCTCCCCGGAGGAAGTCTACCTGACTGGATCGTGTGCGGATGCCGGTCGTGTGTTGCGCATCCAAGTGGAGGAAGTGGAGATTGAGCGTGAGTTAACGCTGTGGCGCCGAATGTTCTCCTGCCTGCCATCCCATGTTCTTAGTGTTACCGGCGTGGGCAAAGAAAACATCCTTCAGAACTGGCGGAAAGCGGTGCGTGCCAGCTGTTATGTGTGACGGTAATCACTGGCCACTGGGAATATCGAAAACGGTGCACCGTTGATGGGTAATTTTGTGCCGGATGATTCAAACTCGGGACGAGGTTTATCCGTAATTATCGCTGAGACACGTCTCCAATATGTGGAGACGGATTGTAAATTGTAATGATATTCTTCTCCGGTGCAATCTCTCTTAAACGTCTTTATGTCTTCATACGTTGCCCATATCCTCCTGGATGTGGTTTCTTTGGTTTGAATTTGAGAATTAATTTCTAACGGTTAAAATTTCCACGGTTAACGGTTAAAATTTCTAACGGTTAATTTTCCACTGAAGAAATCGAGTAGCAAACGACTTTGACGTCAATTTTTTGACTGCTTTGGTGGTCGGCGACCGAACAAATTGCCGGGCCCGATAATATGGATGCGTTTCATACCGTTTTTAAGAATTCTTACGCAGACGGGGGAAACTTGTTCGCGTGCACGGTACAGTACCATCCTTGCGAAGCCCGATGCCAATGGCAGCGCAAGTGGCTGGCGGAAGTTATAAAAAATTAGGAAGTGGTCGAAGAGATTTCAGAAGCTTTAATACTGAATAAGCTAGGGATAATCTAATCATAAAAGTTCTTAGCATTAGAAAAATGATAAATAATTTATAAAATAAAAGCTAAAATGAGTGTGAATTAGATCCGACAACAGGGTGTGTTTATTTAACTAACCCCGGTTCCAAAAATCTAGACTTTTCAACACCACATCGCATGCAGAACGAATACCGCTCATTCGGGTCTGTGCACAGTATCGGATCAAAAATGGAACCACGCATGCGAATTGTATCACAATTTGGAACCCTTTTTTGTCGTGAAAATAGCCGCTTTCTAATCGCGACTTACAGCTGTTTTAGCTGTTGCTGAATACCAGCTCGCTGCAGTTTCAGTAACCAGTGATAAGAAAAAAATTTTTGGTATCCTTTTCGGATAATAAATTTGCCAGTTTGTATCACAAATGATGCCGGTGCAAATCCGCTGAACTGATCCCTGACGATTAAGTAAGAGGCAAAGCACAGCCTTCAATTTTGGTCTTAAACGATCATTCTGAAAAAGGCTTCTGGAACCGGGAATTGTAAAAAAGGATGCGATAATTAACGGTGTGCGAAAAGGGGTGAGAATATAAAAGTGGGGTACATAGGGATGGCTACAGTGATTTCCTTTAATTATTGTCGCTTCCAAGAAAGCAGGAAGGTTAGTATAAAACAAAATACACACGTTTGGGATTTCCTGACGTAAAAGTTCGCCTTAGGTTGGCACGAATTGAACAAAAAACGTTTTCCTATGTAAAGGAACGCGGGGAATCGGATTTCGCAAAACTCTGGCAAAACGAGATGCCTTTTGCTGCGATATAGTGTTCAATTTCGTCATAACTTTCCTATTTTTAAGCCAGTTATTTCAGTATGCCGACACTAGCAGAACTTTGTAACCAGTTTTCAGTGCTCAAACCACCATTAAACTATATTATACCGAATCGGTATAACATCTCGCCCGTTTGTGAGCCCGCCAGGGTCGATGCATGCCGAATTAACCCACAATAACTACTTCTACACTATGAACTGCACTATGAATTGTACGTACCAGACTACTGTACCCTGGTGAAAAGATAATTAATAATAATAATTATATACTGTACCATGTACCAGTGTTCGTACTTACCATGTGCTTTCTTATTTTGAGCGAGTTATTTCGATTTTTGATAGTAATCAGAACAATATGACTTGTACAGAGAATTTCATGTTATCTCGTGCTTCATGTTATATGTGTACAGAGAATTTCAAAGATATCGCTCTGCTTAGCATAAATAATATCTTTACATTGATGTCTTCCCATAATTTGCAATATAAACAAGGTAGCCTCGCGCATCCGCGCTCGGCACTTAAGTACTGGACAGTATGTATTGGCATTGCTTTGGAAAGGTCATTATAAATATATAAAGGCTGTCGTTCGGAATTTCTGACGTTCTGACAATTTTAATTTTTCACGTTCTGAAGTTCTAATGTTCTGACGTTCTAACGTTTCGACGGTCTTACGTTCTGACGTTCTGACGTTCTAACGTTCTGACGTTCTAACGTTCTGACGTTCTAACGTTCTGATGTTCTTACTTTATGACATTCTTACGTTATGACGTTCTGACGTTCTAACGTTCCGATGTTATTACTTTATGGCTTTCTGACTTTCTGACGGTGTTACGTTCTGACGTTCTTACGTTTTGAATTTCTGACGTTTTGACGCTCTGAAATACGTATGGACTTTTGCACGACGTAATAATATACATATGTTACCTAAAGAGCAAGTATTTATGCATCCGCTATAGACCTATAGTCTCCGTGGTTACACACATTATGTTTTAAAGCACTTTTTATTGCTGTGCATTTTAAAGCACTTTTTATTGCCGTGCAGTGAATACTTTTTCGAGTGCTCTTTACGTTCCTGTACTTAAGACCTGGACCACCTGGTCAAACCATCTTCTGACCACTGGTTGTTAAAAACAAACAAAAATCTATTGGCACACCTATGGAAAATATGGAATTTTTTAAAACCAAGCTGGACTTAAACTGACCACGCGTTCATGAGAAGACAAAAACGGCGCATAAATACGCTTTGGTCGGTAAGCTTGTATGAATACAAGGTATGCCTCGCGCTCCGCGCTCGGCAAAACCATCTTGGACGAAAACTAATCCGTAACTTGGACGGAAACCTAAAAAACTCGTTTTTTCCTTGATCCTATGACCACAGGCTATATTTTTACATTTTTTTTCCATTAAATGAAATGATTCGTGCAGTCTGATTGTTTTTGCATTAGTGGGTTGAAGGCTGCATCCGTGGTAACAATTCGTTTTGCTCGTAGGAATGTATAATACATACTGTAGTACCACACTACCAGCGTATCTAAAAAACGTCAATATAATGTTACTCCATTTTCTATACTTAAGAACCTTTCGAAATCTCTTCTGACCAAAGATTTCTTTAAAAAATCAAAATTCAGAAGGCACTCCTATCATCCTATGGAAAATAGGAATTTTCCAAGACTAAGCTATTGCCGCACTATCACTGTTAGAACGTTCAGACGCTCTAACGTTCTTACGTTCTTAATTTTTCAAGTTCTGAATTTCTAACGTTCTTACGTTCTTAATTTTTCGTGTTCTGAATTTCTAACGTTCTGATGTTATGAATATTTAACGTTCTGACGTAACTAATATTTAACCACTCCACGAATTTTTCCTGAACCTTTGACCACAGGCTATTTTTTCACTTTCTTCAACACTACAGATAAGTGCTGCCTCCGTGGCAACAATTTGTTTCGCTCGTAAGAACGTACTGTAGTACCACACTATCACTGTAAGAATATCTAAAGAATGTCATAACATTACTCCATTTTCTATACTTAAGAACCTGTCGAAATGTCTTCTGACCAGCGCTTTCTAAACGAATTAAAAATTCAAAAGGCACACTTATGGAAAAATAGGGATTTTTCAAGATTAAGCTTGACTTATACTGACCACGCCTCGATTTATCCATAAAAACCCAGGAAAAATACGTTTTTAACGGTAAGCTTGTGTGTTAAGCTTGTATGACTCCAAAAGGATTAAGACTGTAACTTTTATTTAAGGTTTTACTTGATTGCACTAACTGTTAATTTTACCTAAGTGCTAGCTCCGTGGTAACAGTTATATGTTTTGCACGTAGGAATAAAGTACCAGTACTCTGAGAACGTTTCTGCACTTACTCATTTTCTATACTTAAGAACACTTCGAAATGATTTCTGACCAACGCATTCTTTAAAAAATCAAAATTCAGAAGGCACACCTATGGAAAATTAGGAATTTTTCGAGACTAAGCTTGACTTAAACTGCCCACGCGTTGATTTATCCATAGAAACCCAGGAAAAATACGCTTTGAACGGTAAGCTTGTATGAATATAGAGATAAAGATATGCTTAAACTGCTGCTAGAAATCTTCCATGCGCTGCTTTTCATGCAACAAAATCAAGCTTTCAGTGCCTGAGTTTGTTTCCAACATACTCGTATTTCTATGTACTTGCCAGGAGATTGTGATCTTAAAATTTAATGAGTTATAAGCTGTGATGTACTACAGCCAAGTTAAAGGTTCAGCTTAATAATTTTTTACCGGACTCGATATTATTGGTTGTTACGAAAGGCGAGGCGACGGAACTGCCATAGCATTTAATTATTAGTTTTGTTTGTATGGTCGCCCTTGACCTGCCCTCTCGAGATGGAGAATGAATAAATAGGTACTGTAGCCGCTAGATGAAGTGAGACCACAGAGTCTGTTGAACGGAAACCTGCAAGCCCAACATACATACTTTGCTCCATGCAATAACGTTTTTGATTTCACTCTGCTTCTACCAATATTTTACATGTTTTATTGTTCTTTGCTTAATCTTTGCAACGAAAGATATTTTATTTTAAGAGCACAATGTCAGAGCTCTGATAGTTTTCTAGTAATAAATCTGATTTGTTGTGGTTTCTGGGGTGCCCCTGGCAGGGGCAGTACAGTACTAAATGCAAATGCAGAGTGTGCGCCGCCCGGTGGGAGGAAGGCTCGTGCTCATTGCCCGACGAGTGGAAGGCAGCGCCCGGATCTAACAGTGGTCTCACTTCATCTAGTGGCTACAGTAAGTATTTGCAATAATCAGTTATAATCTGAAGCAATAATCTTCTTTGCACAAGTCGTTTCGAGTTAACTCGAAACGAGTGGTACAAAAAAGTTCATTGGCGCGTCCCTAGATGCACCAGTTCTGTAACCTTTGCACGTCGGGATGGTTGGAGGAGTGTTGGTGTCACACTTATATAATACGTACATGCATCAGGCGATAATTTTGCAAGCGTGGTCTGCACACTTCTGAATTTTCTTCGTTTGTGTTCTCTTATATTTTCGCCGTTCATCATGTTGCGTATTACTGCCTTGGCCATACTCTGTATTTCCTGCGTTCAGGAATACAGTGTTTTCGCGAACCCCACAAGCGACAGCTGCATCGAGTAAGTAAAACTGCTATTTTTTTATACCTGGGCAAACGACGTTGCGGTCATAATTATTTTCATCATACTTGTCGCAGTATAGAGTTCTCCTGTAAGCGCACCTGTGCTACACCTGTGCAGGTCGACGATGACCTTTACTTGTTACCCTATGTGTCCCTATAACGATTAGGCAACGCACCCGTAATACAGTGACCTTTATTCAATATAACACTATGCCCACAATAACAATACTAATGCTAGGTAAGCCAGGTGTAGGCTGGTAGTCGAGTGGTGGACTGCTGGTGGACTGCTGTCGGACTACTGACTGGTACGGTGTGGAGGGGTGCTTTATATATGGTGCTGGTCCGGATGGGCTCGGCTGCCATGGGTGGGGCTGGTGTGGCGACAAGCCAATGACAGAGTGCATGACGGCATGATGATGTAATATGCGGTCAGCGTGATGCCATATGACCGCGCAGGAATGTGCAGGGCATACCTGCACGTAGGCTTCCGGTGACTAATGGTCATGCGGTGCGACTAGTGACGATGTCGTCACATACTCTGTATGCATATTTTTTTGCCGACAGTTGCACACAAACAGCTGGAATAAAGAATATATTTTATCAATGCCAGTTTTTATTCGTAAGCACTTTACGCACTACGAAAAATTGCCGACTAACGAGTCTATGTTTATTTCTTTGGCTTACGCTGTAAAATACCATTCAATTTTTGTCCAAATTAAGCATAATTTTGTTTTCGTTGTTTCCAGGCCCAATCCGCCAGTGCGATACTTCAGCTTCAATCTCCGTACGTATGTTATATGTTAATATCATCAGACCATTTGAGTAAACGAAAATAAAAAGAATGTCATGGGTAAAAGCACAATATACAGCGAAGCACAATATACAGTATGCAGCGAATGATGTATATATAGATATTCGCACATTTATGTCGCAGTTGACGCATTGCAATGGCATACAGCTGCAGTATTAACATCAACCTAATTAATCGGTAACTTAACTGCAGAATTACGCGCTGAAGTTCTTTTCATCATATCTCTTTGTACAAATTATTGTAGGTCCAAACGAGCCGTGTAGCGGCCGAGGAACATGCACTAATGGAAAGTGCACATCCTGCGAAACGTGGGAGGTGAGATTGCAAATAATTACAGAATTCTGCCTTAAATGTTCCCGGTGTTCGGATTTTCATATATTTCCTGTGCACTTTTTACTGAATAATAATTTGTTGTGCTGTTTTTTTTGTAGGGAAATAAGGACGGCAAGCACGTAGTCGTCAAATATTCCGGCAAATACTGTGAATGCGACAACATCAGCTGTCCCCGGTTTAATGGAGAAGTCTGTAAGTACCGCACGTTATCATGCAAGATGCAATCAACATTATTATAGCCTGTCATAATATGAGGCGCTATATAAGATAATTTTTTCGAATCCCGTTTTTCACACAGGTTCTATAAGTATGACTTATAGTACAGTATACATTTATGTTATTATTCACGCCAATGTACACGTAAATAAAGTAAAACCTTAGTGTTATTTGCATTGTTAAAGTGTAAAAACAGCATCTTCTGTAAAATTGTTCTGAACGTAAATGAGTGTGTGGCGCTACTGCATGTTTACCTGTAAAGTGTGTATGTAACAGTATCCTATAATGTAATATTCGTTCGCAATAATTTTCCATTATGCTGTATTTGGTTTATTTTTCACTTTACTGTAAATGTGGCATACTTTAATTTACGATAGTGTACTAATATGCATGCTATCATGGCGATTTTTATGATCTGTTTGTTGCTGTTGTACTTGGTCGATACTTTACAACGTATGATAGTAGTTTGGTTGCGATCAAGAGAGATATCGTAATAGTAATTCTTAATTATTGTTGGTGGCTATTTGCTGCTAGTACACTGATTTAGCCATTTTTGTTTCTCCCGGGTTTAGGTGCTGGACACGGACGCTGCGATTGTGGTCGGTGTGTATGTCAGGGCAACTACATCGGCAACGACTGCGCAGATGACGAAGCGGTAGTGGACGATGTTCTAAGCATGATGAAAGAGATGAGGAAGAACAAAAGTACCTAGAGTGGAACAATAACATACGTAATCTGCGGTGATAATCGAAATAACTTTTGGTGTTAAATAACTTCTGGTGTTAAGTTGATGATGGTTGGTGTTAAGTTGGTGATGGTCGAAATAACTTTTGGTGTTAAGATTCTTGCCATCTTCAGATTGTTGACCTTTCCGAATATCTGCGTCTTTTATATGGTATGCGTTATTGCATTGTCATTGTGGTGAAAAAGCAATTACAATGTATCCCACTCATCTTTGCACATAAACTAACTACATCTGTCTTAGTCAACTCGTTACCGGCTCTCTGCGACATATAACATGCGTACATACACTACACATGTACAAACACCGGCTCATGTGCACATACAGAGAATGTGAAAGGTATCTTACTATCTACATAAATCTATAATTATACTGGCCATTTTGATGCACCGACCACCTCCGGCTAATTCCTAGTAAAAAAATCAAGTGATCTTTTTTAAAGTATTTTAAAAGGCAACGAGCGAATCGTATGCTTTTATCGCCAGTCGTAGAATTCGTAGCAAATTAATGAAATATACATATTGTACGCATACGTATGCAGTTTTGTACGAAAGGGAGTATTTTATCTAATAATGACAGCAAATCAACTTTCTGATAATTCCCCGTTTCACCATTGTTTCGTAGAATGTTCGGTAATATCGCGAAATTAAAAATTTTGAAATTTTATGCGTTATCTGCCAGCTGCCGTCGTTCCGGTGGATGCGACCGCCACCGATATAGCGACTCTCGTAGCGCAGAGCTCTAGCTGGACAATATTTTGATAATTCTTTACGGTATAAATTACAAGGAAAAGTGCACAACCAGAAACATAAAACATATTTTGTGAAATCGTTTTTCGGATGTATTCGTATTAATCCACTCTACAACGGCAACGTGTGGATTTCACAGAAAAAGTCCCAGATGGTTGTTTGTAGATGTCAGAGGATTTTCACTTTATCGCCGTTTCAGTAAACAATATCGAGACATCTAGAACGTACTGGAGCCAAGCCAAAGGTCAGATTTATTTACTACCTGCTGAACTATACGGTTGGCAGTTACAGTAATATTAAGGCAACGGAGCTGCGATAACAATCATTTTTAAAGTTTTGCCTGCGCTCTTATTTATTTTGGAAGCTTTTGAGTTTTGGCTGTGAGTCAAAAAGTAATTGCGAAGAAATCTTAGCAATTAATCTGTTTTGAAACAATCCATTGCACGTAAAATCGCTTATTACAGCGCGTCCCCAGATGCACTAGTTCCGTGACCTTTGCACACCGCCATGGCCGGAAGGCACGCGACAATACTTACTAGACATACACAGCATGAATTAGCTATAGATTTTGCGTACGTATATGAGCATATTCAACACATTTTGTTTGTTTTTGAACTAAACCTGTAGCCGTTCACCATGCTGCGCTTATTCCTGGCCGTCCTCTTTATTTCCGGCGTTACCGAGTTCAGTGCTTCCGCGAACCCCGTAAACAACACCTGCATCGAGTAAGTGTTTTTTTCTGTTACTTCTTGAAGGCCACTTCACTGTTTATAGTTTATTTATTTTGTTTACGCTGATTATATAGGCCCAATCCGCCAGAACGACGCATCAAATACTATATCAGTACGTATCGGTACCATGTATTAATGTTTAGATTTATGTTCTCCACATAATATAATGCATAAATGCTAAATGTTCTTGAGGGAATTTTCATATGGTAGGACACTTTAATAGTTTTGTGAAAGTTCATTATATTAGAGGTGCAAGGTTATGGTTTTTTTTAATACTTTATTTCGGTTTGTGTGAATACTATTATAAAACACGAGTGTAAGAACAAAAAGCGACATTACGCCTATAATTAAACTTGCTGATACTTGTTTCATATTCTATACTTTGTACTTACTCTGTGCTGACCAATCGTTAATTCAGTAATTCTGATTCTGTTTCCACAATCCAACCTAAATGTGACCACAAGAAAATTTGAGAAAACCAACAGGACGCGTTGTAATTTGTAACGATGGATAATCAACTTGATAATTATTCCAGATGAATGGGAACCCTGCAGCGGTCGGGGTACGTGCGTCGATGGACAGTGTACATCGTGCCGAACGTGGACGGTGAGTTTGTAAACACTGAACAAAACATGACGATTTTCCGCAGTGGTCGTTTGTATTGATCTTGTATCAGATATTCAGATATATCTGTATGTAGAACATTTACGTCATCGTATGCAGTTATAATGGATTTTACTTTATGCAATTTTACTTTTTAGTAAGTGTGCCGCATTTGTATTGGCTTTGTATCTTTGGAACAATTATTAGGCAACCGAACATGCTACTCGTAGAAATCTAACGTTTTTTATGATTGAAGCTTTTTCTACAGTATATCGCTATAAAAATTTGTTATTTTAATGGCTATTGCCGCATACAGTATATGAGCCAGATTGGCTTTTCTGTCTCTGCAGACTACAAGCTTTGGCAAAACCATAACCCTTGTAACTTCCGGTAAATACTGCGAATGTGACAACATGAGCTGTCCCACTTTCAACGGCAAAGTGTGTAAGTGTTTCAGATAATAATAATTATTAGTATGGCATGTATCTGTACCAGTACTGTAGTGTAGTATTGTAAGTATGGACCGTACAATACTTGCTTGACAATCCACATAGCACGTACCAACCTCACATTTTAATAATTTAAGTCACGCCGTTTTATATTTTTCTTACATGGTAGCAAAAATATTTGTGCTTTTAAAAGGATAAAGCCAAACTTTGCGCAGGTGATACTATTCCTTAATGCTGGCACGTTGATCCAATTATTTCTACGTTGTTTACAATTAGGTGCCGGACACGGACGCTGTGACTGTGGTCAGTGTGTTTGCGATGAAGGTTACACGTTTGCCGAATGCTCGGAAGAAAAATCCGTTGTGCAGGAATTGATAAAGATGCTTACCAACGACAACAAAAACCAAAATAAAACAAGTACCTAGAATGAAAATATATCATTTCACCCCCTAACCGTAGTTTAAACACTGGTAAGAAAATTATAAGTCTGAGCTATTTGACACTGTTCTATAAACCAGCTGATTATTATGAATGTTCTGATCTTTATTTTGTGTTCATTTCTGGTGATTAATAATTGTAATGCTACAAATGACCAATATAAACGAAAAAAAAATCAACAGTACATCGGCTTGAGCGACGGCTTCTGATTTGGCGATTTTATGACCGGTTCCTTCTCAACAGTAACCGTATAATGAGATAACAAAACTACGAAGCTCGAGCACTAATTTATAAAAAGCGAGAGATTACGTACGCCCTGCTTACGTTTGTGATTGCTGGTGAAAGTGTAAAACATCGAGACTCTCAAAATGAATAAATGCCGGAAAGTTTCCTTGTCTGTCCAGACATAAATAAATCTAACGTTAATTACAAAACATTACAATTTCGCTAGCGCTAGTACAGTACAATATATTACGTAATACATTTTTACTTCGATTTCATACGTATCGATCCGATTTCTTCGACACGAGGGGACGAATGTGGTGTCTCGTGAATTCCTGTCGTTGTACTGGTACTGGTACTTCGTACATATATTTTACATCCTAGCAAGTAATACAACACAGAGCGCAACAAAAAACACTTATTAAATCTTTTCGATTTTTTCGGAATCGGTCATACATTAACAACGTCTTCCTAAAAAAATTTCCCAAATGTAATTGTAAGTATAACTGTCCGGAGATCTAAATAAGTACATGTAGTAGGGTATTAGTAATACTCAACGTACTGGAGTACTTTGGAATTGATAAAGATGCTTACCAACAATTTGAACCAGAATAAAACAAGCACCTAATACAAAAATAGAATATTTCTTCCTTGGCAGATCGCTTTTAACCTTAGTGTAAAACTGGTCAGAAAATTATAGTTGAGAGGTTTCAAATTGTCACTGACTGACTGTTAATAGTTACTTATTAGAAACAACTGGTTAGTGGTTAATACGCATGTCCGAATTTTGGTTTTGTTGTCATCACTGGTGAACATAATTCGTAATAACAATTAACAATAATCCAAATTATTATTACATGCGGCAAAAAAAATCGACTAATGCATCCGGGTTCTGGCGTGGCGATGTTATGACCGGTTTCTTCTTCGCATTAACCGTACTTGGTTAACAAAACTACGAATCTTGAGCAATAATGTATGAAAAACGAGAGATTCGTATACGTTTACATCCTGATTCCGTATGATTCCTGATGATAGAAGTGTGATTCCTGATGCAGAACATTGAGGTGCAAACACCCAAAATGACTGAATGCTGGAAATCTTCCTTGTCTGTCCAGACATGATGATTCTTTGGACCAGGTCTAACCGTTGTTAAAGTGGGAAATCCTCGCTACAGTGCGATCTGAGGTATACTTCAGTTTAACGAGGAAAAGAAGAAAAAAGGTGAACCACACACACCCCAGCTCTGTCAACCAACCTTGAGTACATATAACAGTCAGGCGGGAGTAAACTGCTTACAGGAGTAACAAAAAATAAAAAACACAAGCAAACAATAAAACACAATTTCTCGATTTTTTTTGCGATCAGTCCTCTCTCTTACGTCACAGGATCTTCCTAAACAAATCTCCCAACAGTCAGGAGATTACTAAATACATGTTGCAGGGTATTTTTGATACTGAATTACCTAACATACTCCAGTACAAGACAAGTACACCATTGAGCCAAGCGTTATACTAATTTATTCCTTGCCCGATAAGACGACTGGATAACAAGGCAACGGAACTGCGATGGCAATCATCTTTTCAAGTGTTGTTTTCGTAATCGCCCGTGACCTACCTTCGCAGGTTTTACTATGATTCAGCAGACATATATAAAGAAATCCGAAAATTAATCAGTTTCGAGAATTCCACTGCATGTATCTGTACAGTTCGTTGGCACACGCCCCCCAAAGCACATGTTCTGTGACCTTTGCACGCCGTGGTGGAAAGACGCTCTTCCGTTTTAAACATACGGTGTACTTTACGAATCATCTGTCGGTTTTGCAAATAGAGGATGTCGCCACGAGATACGAGTAGCGGAAGGCGTGGGCGGCGAGTCTGCACAACGGCGGCCGTAGTTTCCCGGTTACCGGTTCATTCAGCCTGAAGATAAGCAGCTCGCTCAAATATCTGTAGTGTAAAACTTACAATGATACAAAAGCACCTCATATCTACAATTTAGGATCTAGCTCCCGTTCCGTCGGACCGCTAGTCCACGAGACTAACTGACAAAAATGTTTATGGTTTATTTCGGTAAAGCAGTTAAGCAGCCTTTGTAATGGACCCGCAGGCCCGTACGATTAATTGTTATGCAAGCGCTTACTTAATTGTGCGTTAAGCGATAAAATGTGGCAGAAAATAAACATTGTCCTACACTACAATTTTCTATTTTTCGTTTTTCTTATTCATGATTTTTCATATGCACTTGACCAAAACAGGGATCAAAAAATACTTACAAGGTAAGCATGAGCAACAGCCGGCTGTGTAACGGATGCTCGGGGTGAATGATTATCTTATGGCAGGCTTCGTTAATGTCGGTTATTTCCCTCGTGGACAATTCAGGACAGCCGGTGTTCAAAACCTGCAAAAAACGACCCAAGCGATCGGTTTCCCTTTGCGTGCAGTGCAGCGTGGCTTTTTTCACGACGACACCGACGTCCTCGCGGAAGCCAGCCGGCGCACACCACAACCCGGCGATCGGTGCGAAGATTTTTGGAATCGTGACGTTACGCAAATGCATCACTTGGCAAGCTTGCATCAAGTAACTCAGAGTCGTCCATTCCACGCGTTGCTTCTCGTTGTTCTGTGTAACGGCGCCGAAGCAACGAATATTTTTCAAAAAGATCCTCGCCAACCGCGGGACCTTGATGGACAGAAACTGACAGAGATAGATATCCAGTTCCGGGGTCAGACTGCCGTTCATAAGCGTCAGCGAGACGGTGGCCTTCGTCACAACCTTGTCGAGAACGTTCAGTAGATGAAAGCGACTGTATTTCCGCTCCTGGTTAAATGGGTCATCGGGTAGTGGGTTGGTCAGGTCGACAGCTACGTGCTGGTTGTCACGGCGACCGGTTAAAATGTCGTACCAGGCCTTACAAACTCTGCAACAAGTACAGAAAAGTTATGAAACGGACTAAATTATTGGTGGTCTTTATAAAACATCTAATATTAAAGCATAAATAAATATTGCCTAAACTCGGATGAACAGGTTGGGGCTACCTGTACAGGCTGTACTGACCAGTTTGTCAAAGGCGTGCACTGTAGTGGGGATTATGGCCCACAATTTGTCGGAAGTTGGATAAACCATGTTCTACGTAAAAGGCACAAGCCGACCGAAATGTCTAAATAATACAAATCGAGATTTTGACCCCGTGCTTTCTTAGTCTAAGCAACCGCAATAACTCAAGGTTGTGTTGGTATTCTAACCGTTTCCAACCTGGCTAATCCGTGTCCAATGCACATGCATCTTGTTAAAAGTTGCTTCTTCGAAGCACTAAATAATCAATTTGAGTTTCGATGCTCTAGCAGCATCGTTTCCATATAATCGATGAACATCTTCCTGAAAGCAAACAGTCTGTCGTGCTCAGACTTAACTTTTAAGCTTACTTTTGAGCGCTGACGATGCTGTGAATATCTAGGATTTCCAACAGGGTCAGCTTGTGCAAGTCAAAAGGCAGCATTCCCAGAGACACAGAGCGGTCTCTGTTAGCGCCAGTATTGTTGGAATCCAGAAGTGATCCGAGCTGAACAGCATGAAGCCACTTGGACCTGAGGACCAGATATTCAAGGGGCGGCTCATCAAAAAAGCCCGGCTTGCTTGTTGTGTAGACACAGTGGATGCCTTTGGTGTCCAGCCATATCCGCACAACTTTTATCCAGGAAATTTCGTTATAAGCCCGCAACAAGTACCGCAAATCAATATTTGCCGCATCCGGGCACCACTCGAGAGGCGCAGTTTGCTTCTGCAGCAGACGGCAATACTCTACAACGGAAAGCGGCTCGTCGGATTCATGGCATTGTTCTGGATAATCCGCCACAACGCGCACCTGGACTGCATGAACGAATTTCCGAATAGGATAAACGCTGTCCGGGCAAGTTGTTTCCACACATATTGGACCGAAATTGCCGTTGTTATCCCTAGCCGCGGGAAAAATAATTTGCGCCGGTTGGAATACGTACGGTTGGTCGGAGCTCGGTCGCAGCGCAACTACGACCGGCTCCCCGGGAAGGATTTCGCATGTTATTACTGGCTTGTGCCAGCGGACGCTCCCGGCAGGCAGCCACTGAGGTGGGCGGTTGTGACAGGCGAAATCTACGAAGACGCGCCGTCGCGGCCAGTCCACGTCGCATATAAAGCCCAGAGAGAACTGTCCCGTAGCGAATTCGTAAACAGCTGGCTGCAGGTTTCTCCCCAAGATTTGGCGGCAGTTGCTGTCGTCGGCGATGGTTCCTAGAGCAGTAGCGGAGATATCTGCTCGGAGAGTCTCCTTGCTGCGCTGTCGCGGGAGAAGTGAGAGGGATTTCCAAGGCTTATTAATCCAACGGTTGAAACGCGCTTTGGGTGAATGCGGTGATGGGCCTTGACTGGCCATTTTTAAAGTTATAATAAAAGAAGTCTTACGGATTACGGAACACCGATAACTATCCGATTGGGAAGCGCCTTTTAAAACAGACAGGCATATGCCAGGGAAAATAAACTTCCAGCACAACTGCAGTTTCCTCTGCAGAGCTTCCTGGAACGCGTGATACGTAATGACTAATCTAACAGCAAGAGCGTGAACGTTGTGCCGCCTGCACAGGCAACCGATCGATAATTTGCAGGAGCAGTCGGATCTATACATGACACACAACCCGCCTGATGATAAAGCGCCGCACTATTGTGAGAATATATACAAGTACAGAAAGGAAGGGCACAAGGAAGAAAACAAGTGCACAAACATATAAACAGTGCCGAATGTGCAGACTGCAGAACCAAGGGAATGCCGTTTCAAACGCATTTGAATTCAGCCAAGCGGCAGCATCTGAAATTGATCCATTCCCGTATTCATAGAAGGCCAATGCCAGAAGTAAAAAAGGATGTTTGTAGGAAGGAAAATTGGTGTGGTCAAAAGAATGAAAGAAATTTGTTAATGAAGGCTGCCATATACTCCTGTTTGTACATTTAAAAATACTGTTTATTCATGCGCTGTCGCTGAAACTCCTATCCCTATACCGGTAAATCAAGGTATATATATGAATGTAAAGTGAATGTGGGCATGCATTTTAACTGGAACAGTGCAGACTGCAAACTACTCTGTACACAATTAATTTCACCATTATGTCGACAATGAAACCAAAGTCAGGGCCAAAACATTTAAAAACTTTTCTGTTTTTCCAGCAAAACCTTTTCGTCAATTAAATGCTCAAAACCTTTTTCGCCAAAAAATGCTCAAAAATAGGCTAAAGCAAAATCAGGACAATAGTGGTAAAATCTGAAATGATTGCGCCGTTACGTAACAACTAAGTATGTACAAATTTACTACCACAGTATTAGCATACCAGCTTACACGCTGCACCGATTGCAAAGCCTTCCACAGCAGTTAGAGCGACGTTCTACAGAAAAAAATGAAGTCTGCTGACTTGTCTGATGGAAACCGACACCACCAGTGACGTAGGTTAGTAAATTAGCCAATTTCCATGCACTTTCCATCAACTTCAAGCCCAACCTACATGCATGAGGAAACACGGCATTACCATAACGTATGTCAGTTGATAATTAAAGCGAGCTTGCAGAACGAAAGAACGTTTTTGTAGTTGTGTAATGCTTCGCTAAAGGTCAACTCCATGGAGGTAAATAAATACGAATAAATTTCTACCTTTTAAATAATTATAAAGGATTTTATTTCTCAATATGTACAAAGCGAGCTTCGCTCAACAAATATCATCAAATGAAGAATTTATCCCAATTAACATGAGAAGGGACCTACCTACCCTTTTGTAACCGACCTATAATGCATCATTGTATCATTGCATGATTGGCTCTTGTTATAAAACGTTAAAAAGTAAATAAAGGAATTGAGTTGACCCGATATACAATTCTTTGTTTGATACGAGTGTAGAACTGCCAAACGGTTTTCTTGTTTTGCTTATCATTACCAAAGGTCATCGCCGAAGCAACTGTGACTAAATCGGATACTGCAAAGACAGCAGCTCGTTTTCCGACATCGTACAACAGTAATGCAAGAACAATATTAACTCTACCAAAGGTGGCCGCACAATGAAACGTAATCGACATTTAAACCATGTGAAATCTACCAGTTCCGTTCATTTGTTTTTGTATACAGAGTACAAGCTGATTAAAATGGCCTGCCTGGAAGATGCGCATCGTGCAGTATTGATCTGCTGTATTTTTAATGATAACAAAAACCTAAATGGTCGATATCAAATTGAGTCGAATACGGGCAACCGCCACCAACTGCCCGCAGTCTCCAGTCCGGAATCGGATCAACGCCTTCGCTCAGGGCCGCAACCGTCAGCGTGGTCAGCAGGTTAACGTCCAGTTGGGAGACTGTGGATGCTGTCCAGTTCCGATTGCGGTAGTGCGCAGCTGAACGCAGATCTACGCTCTGGTAACGATGCAGGCCCTGTAAGCATCCAGCAGTCAATGCGTATTCCGCACCATGGGCATAGACATAAGCAACATGACTATAACAACGACAACTTCTGAACTGTCACTAGTGGAGTGGTTATTGTGAACTGCCTTGAAAGTTGTAAAGTCAGTTGCCGTTTGGAAGTCTACGATAAAGATGGAAGGACCGAAAACGGTCAGTCTGTCTAGTATGATCGCGAAGGTCAACTCTCGTGGTTTGAATATAAAAGGTTAATAAATGCCATCAGTTAATGCCGCAGACCGTGAGTTATAACCAAGATATAATATTATTGAACCTTTAGTCTTACCCCACCACAAAACCATCAACAGCAATACGCCTGTTGGCAGTGTGAGCGTAGGCTTTGGGTTTTTTCAAAAAATTTAGGCCGGTATCAAACGCTGTGACAGCCCATGAAGACTGCAAATCAAGTCCTAAACTACAACTGCACAACGTCTCACCTTCACAATTTGGTCTTCGAGCTCCTTGGTGCGCTGCTGCGCGATGCATTCGGCAATCCATTCCGCTAAGGCTGCCCGATCAATCGGCTTCGTAAGGACCAGATTATTTTCGAAAAGTTCCCACAACAACAACCTCAGCTGCGGCTTCGACGCGAGGTCGCCAAAGGCATGGTGTGCTATAGCGGATCGCACGTTATGATCGTGCAGGCTGCACTTTCTCCACACCACACCGCCGCATTTCGACAACCGCGCCAGAATACGCGCCACGCCGGTGATGATGTCCTGGATCAGAAACTTTGCATAACCGAAACTGCACCCGTAGAAAATCAGTGGCGGTATGGGAGTGGTCTTGGCCAATTTTTTTATCAGTCCAGTCACCTCGGTGCACTGGATAGCGTCCAGGTCGGCCAGAACAATTCTCTGCGTGCTGCTGTTCACGAATTTCACGAAGCATGCCACGATCCAGTAAATGCGATTTATGTGCTCCATATAGAAATGCAGCTTCTTCCCATAATGCGTAACGTTCCCTGAGACGCGCACATCGCGAAAGTAAGCTGGCGTGCTGAGCAGAATGTTCCACAGTGAACAAACACGCCGGCAGCGGATGCGCTCGATGGAGTCCAGCGACTGGAAGATCTCCACAAGCAACTCCGGGGGCAACGACAGTCCGACTACACCATCGCGGTCAGGGGTCTGTGTTTTCGCGTTGAAGGCGCCAACCGTGACATGCCGCACGATCCATTGCCATGTCCCAAGTAAGCTGTCTTCCCTCTCCAATTTTTTCGTCTCATAGTAGACTCCTTTCTACATGCACAACAGTATTATTTTTTCGCTTACCAGCTACATCAAGTTTCTTCACTATTTCGCACGCATTTGTTACATTTTGACTGATAAACAATTTAAGCAATCACATACTTAGCGAAAACGTGACGTGTCGTTATAATGAAATTTTGTGTATTGTGTACTCTCGATAAAGAAATAAGGTCAGGGTTTCTTGTTTTAAACGATAAAAGTACAATAAGAGAAAGAAACTGAACACGGGGAAACTGGTCCCGAAGCTGAATGCTAACCAACTCACCACTCGTTGAGCGTCCAAGGGTTGATCCTTCTGAAGCTCCAGATAGAATCTGATGAGCCTCTGGCTGCAAACGGACGTGCATATCACGTGGCATTCACGCTGCATCACGTACAGAAAGGTTTCCCGCCACCGCAGGTCCCCGTCAGCAAAATCTTCAGCGGACCACGGATAACAGCGGACGACGAAGTGCTGATCCCCCACGCGCCGCTCCTCCAGATCGGCCTTCGAGGACGGTGCACGTACCTGCTCCAAGGGAACCAGCTCGCGGATGGTGATGCCCTGCGGTCGCTGTACCTCCACGAATTCAGCATCACGATAGCTGTGTCGCAGCGGATATTCCAAGAACCGTCCCGGATACCATATCCACGCGCCGTCGGGATGGCGCCGCAACAGGATTTCGGCGTCCTCTCCGTCGCGCTTGAAATTCTTGTCGCAGTGGAAAATGCTACCGTATTCGACGAACTGTGCGCGGTGCTCTGCACACTGGAAATCGATGATCAGACCGCCCTGCACCATGTTGATCACTTCGCCGTGCACCAGCTCGCCGCCGTCGACGAGGACGTCCACAGCGTTCCACCGTTGGGCATAACGTGTCTCGTTGGCGTACGCAAACATCGCTCAGTTGTGCGCAGTAATAACAGGGGAGAATAGTTACAAGCTGCTGATAACTGGATTTACACTTTCGTCTCCATAGGGCATAGACATTATGTGTCTACCTCCGCGCGGAAAACAGGATCGACTGGTCTGGGTAGAGAATCCAGTCCAAGACAGTTTTAATAACTAACTACTGAATGAACAAACTTACTGCATTGAACACGGACTTATACGGTTACAGTGTTACACCGTAGAGTGCAGAAAATGATAAAATCAAATAACGGTTGATAAGACACTCGATTTGCTGAGCAAATTTGTAGTCTGCAAGACCGTGATTCACTTGCAAGTTGCAGCACTTGTCAGGAGACTCACAAATCACAATCTAACATTTCGCCATCAGTTGCAAACTTCGACAAGTACACGCCACTCTGGACGGCAGGCTCGCATACTCCCTTAATTTTAACTATTCGACTTAACGCGAGTTGTTTTTAACATTGACCAAGTACACAGCCGGGACTGCAACCAGAACGAAGAAATACGATCGTACTTTGTATCGTTCACCAGCCTCATGTATGAAGTTAGCACAAATGTATGGACGCGGTGTAATAAAGGTGCCTGAACTCATTGCCGGGTCGAACAAATTTGGAGGAAAGGTAAATGTAAAATTAAACTTTCATTAAATTCAGCTTTAAAATGACAAAATATGTATAAAGGAACAGCCTGTTCCGATGAATCTTCGGCCTGTTTCCGCTGCCTGTAATGCTGTACCAAGTTCCGTGCAAAATATATTTATTTGTTTTGCTATAACGGGCAACGTAATCATTCTAAAAGTCAAGTAGAGCCTTGCCACAGTTTTCACCATTTTTGATGTGACCTTTATCATCGACAAATTCGGTACGTGAAAAAACGACAGAACCAAAAATTGGCATAATGCATTAATGTTAATACGAGTACAAAGTACTTTCAGTTTGGCTTTGCGTTGGCTCAGATGGGCGCTTTCTTATGGTTAATGGATAACAGAAAACGGTATCTTTGAAGCACGAACATTAACTTTTTTCGCGCGGGAACTTCACTAATCAAAAGCGATCGTAAACTCGAATTCTGCATGGGTCCGATGGTAAGCATTTAGTAACGAAGTTGTTCTTAATAGTAATTAGTAACAATGCATCGACTCTACAGTCTCTACTGGCTGTACCAAACAAATCTTCCATTAATCCCGGTTTCACAAAGTTTACCTAACATTTTTAGAAAAGCGTCCTATGATACTTTCGTTTCTGTACTGCACACAATTTACATGATATTCGAAACTGAAAATTTTCAGCAAAAATGGTTTGAAATGCTTTACCGAAGTAACTTTAGCATCACTTGGACCTTCGCGATCGCATCACTGATCCTCACAAATAAACAACTAAACCAGCAAAAGATAGCAAACCAGACTGAAAACAAAGAGTAACTTAAACAGAAATCAGTTTGGAAATGCTGCCATTTTTCCCAAGCAGAACAAAATCAAAAAAGCCTCGTCTGCATTTTCCCTTTCTATTATTCTGTCGTGTATAAGCGTTCACGCTGGTTAGAGCTCCATGAACAATCTTTACTCTTCCACGCCTGTAATGCTCAATCGGTAGGCACTCGTACTCTCAAACTGTAACAGATAAACTATGGTGGAAATATGAATGATCCGAAACACGATCAGGAATCCCTAAGCGAGAAATCCAACTACAATCTCCGGTCGTAAGTCCTGTGAGGATCGGCTAGAGCTAGGACGATTGTGTCACGAGCAAACCTGTATACTAAGCGATAATCCGGAAACGACTATGCACTTCCGTAGGAACAAGTATTGCTGTCTCTTTATCCAATTCACATCACAGTTCACAACGCTAGGAAATCGTAATTAGAAGCAGTCTCAGAAGTAAATCTCAGACTACTGATCCCCGATATTAGTGACAACCAAGACTTATATAGACTTTGCGTTATGACATCATTTACACCGCTAGTAAAAGAGAACAGCAAATCACAGAAGAGATTGACTAGATTATCCGTTATGTTGCAGATGGAAGGCGGACAGTCAGCATCCATACGTACATCCCGGCGTGTGATCCTACTCCCACACGTCAATTCTTTCCTGCACGTCTTCGTGTACGTGTTTGCACACAGGCATACTTGCGATCGCTTTCAACACTGAGTTTGCTGTTCCGAAGTTCAGTTTAAAATTTAAAATGCATGGTTTTCGCTGTTTTTTGTTTCGCTGTTTTTTTTTGTTTACTGTTAGCTTCGTGAATTGCAGTTAACTAGATATTACGGCGCAGTGCGCACTATGGTCGTTATATAGTGTAACATTTAGCCCGACATTGGGCTGCAACATCTTTTGATGACATTACTATTTTGATAACATCATTCGCATTTTGCGGCACACTGTAGTCAGTGTGGTGCAACTGAAATAAAACTATAGCATTACAATTTTAACAAATGCCAGAGACCATGGGATTCGTAAAACTGCATTGATGGATTCATTGATAACAAAAGCACAGCAAAGCTGCCAAGAAAAACAACATCGGGCACCAATTATTCCCGACCAGCCAATCTAAATGCTAAAAAACATCTTCGTTGTCTCTCATGTCATTAAAAGTTCCGAGGACAGACACTGCACTTCCTCGTTGTATCTCAATACTGTTTCTCTGGCGCAAAAGCTCCCCCGAATGTGGGTTACCGCTACATTCTCAAATCTACCTCGATAACTCCTTAAAAAATTTCTTTTGTTAGCGATCCAAAAGTCCCTGTAGTTTCAAAAGCCAGAGGTTGTACTACGTAGCGATCCGCGAGTCCATCGTACTTCCGTAGCTTATGATTTTCTCTTACTTCCGCTGCACTTCCTGGAACACCTGACGTATGCCCTGTGTAGGTTTGGGCGAAGGTATCGGCAACAGTGACATCCCACACCAACGGTTTCCCATTGCGCCAGGGAAAAGCTGTAACTTCGTCCGGCCGCTTGCCATCTCCTCTTCGTAAAACTTATAAAACACACTGAAGCCGTGAGTTTACCATGAGTTTTATATAAATATGAAAGGAGGTTTTGGGGCCGGTATATCCCAGGTGCCGTCCCTGTGACGTGGCTCACGTGGCGCGGTACGCTTTTGATGGTGACTGCCGGAGTCGGAGCTTAAGGACGTCGCCATGGGATACGAGTAGCGGAAGGCATGGGCGGCGAGTCTGCACAGCGGCGGCCGCAGCTCCCAGGTTACCGGTTCATTCAGCCTGAAGACAAGCATCTCACTGATTACAATAATTATCATTTAGTGCCTCATAAGCATCTAGAATTCAGGATGAAGTTTCCGCTCCGGCAGACCGCCAGTCAAATAGACTAGCTGGCCAAAATGTTTACAGTTTAATTTGATTTATATACCATGATTATTATGCACCGTGTACTGACCCGCAGACGCGTACGCTTTTTACGCTTACAGTACACTGCAATTTTCTACTTTCGTTTTATATGTTCATCATTTTTCACATTTCATCAGAACGAGCACGAAAATACTTACAAGGTAAGCATGAGCAGCAACCGGCTGTGTAGTGGATGCTCGTTACGAATCAGTATCTTATGGCAGGCTGCGTTAATGTCGGTTACTTCCCTCGTGGACAGTTCAGGACAGCCGGCGTTCAAAACTTGCAGGAAACGATTCAAGCGATCGGTTTCACTAAGTGTGCAATGCAGCGCAGCTTTCTTCACGAAAACATCGACATCCTCCCGGAATCCAGCCGGCGCGCACCACAACCCGGCGATCGGTCCGAAGATTTTTGGAATCCGGACGTCACGCAAATGCATCACTTGGCAAGCCTCCATCAAGTAACTGAGATTCGCCCATTCCAGCCGTTGCTTCTCGTAGTTCTGTGTCACGGCGCCAAAGCAACGAATATTTTTCAAAAAGATCCTCGATAGACGCGGGACCTTAACCGATAGGAACTGAAAGAGATAGAGATCCAGTTCCGGGGTCAGATGGCCGTTCATCAGCGTCAGCGAGACGGTGGCCGTCGTCACGACCTTGTCCAGAACGTTAAGCAGATGAGAGCGGTTGCATCTCCGCTCCTGGCTGTTTGGACCATAAGGCAGTAGACTGGTCAGGTCGATAGCTACGTGCTGGCTGCTGCGGCGACGGATTAAGATGTCGTACCAGGCCTTACAAACTCTGCAAGAAACCCAGGGAAGTTATTATGACGACCCTTATGAAACCATACTAATATTAAAGTGGAAAAAATACAGTATTGCCCCATCGGTTTGAACAGATTTTGGCTACTACCTGTTCTGACCAGTACCTATTACCAGTACCTGATTTTGGCTACTACCTGTTCTGACCAGTACCAGGACCAGTACCTAGTACTTGTTCTGACCAGCTTGTCATAGGAGTGACAATTTGTCGTAGGGTGGAAATTTTACGGAAGCTGGATAAGCCATGGTGCTTTTACATGCTTTTACGTAAATATATTCTAATAAATTGAGCGGTGTTTTCTTAATTTGCGCAATCGCAGTCATTGTTGAATTGGTATGCTAGCTTTTCGTACCTGGTTAATTCTTTTCCTTCAGGGCTTTTGCATCTAGCTAATATTTTCTTTCTCAAAGCATCTAGTTAATTCTTTGCAGTTCGCTTCTGTTTGCACCTAGCTGCTTGCTCAAAGCAGTAAATACGCAACTTGAGTTTCGATGCTCCAGCAGCATCGTTTTTTACTATCAGACTAGACACTAGTTCAGTGGACAGGTGTCCAGTAAGTTTTCTGGATACACAAACCACTGTACTAGCAAACAATCTGTCGTGGTCAACGCTGTCTTTTTCTAATTTTTGTAGATTTTCGACCTTCGGCGTTGTAGAGGTGAGTATCGCTAAAAAAAATACGGGCGGCATTTGGTGTTACTGTCACGAGTACTCCTCGTGCCATAGCTTGCTTAGATGCTTCTATATATGGCGATGCTCTTGTTCTATGTGTCATCCTTCATTGTTTCGAGCTGCTAAGTGCTTTTGATCATTAGCGCTGCTAATGATCATCAGTTGTGCAATCCAGCCTTCGGCTACCCGTAGTTTGTTTGTTTGTTTCCTCCCTATATAATGCTAGCGCATTATATGCTAGAGCAGAGAGTAGCCAATAAAGGTCCAGCTTCAGTTGTGTCGTCCCACCACGTCAGGGCACGTCGTACAGCCCGTGCCCTTGACATTACTATCAACAGCATATTATATGTGCTGCCCGTACTTTTTTGTAAGACCAGTCGTTGTAACAACTTGATACAACGGCTGGGGCATACAGCTATTTTTTAAGCTGCTTACTTTTGAGCGCTAACGACGCTATGAATATCTTGGATTTCCAACAAGGTCAGCTCGTGTAAATCATAAGGCAGCATTCCCAAAGGCACCGAGCGGTCTCCATTAGCGCCGATATTATCGGAATCCGGAAGTGGTTCGAGCTGAATGGCCGGTAGCGACTTGGACTTGCGGATCAGATATTCCAGAGACGTGTGATCGAAATAGCTCGGCCGGCATGTTGTGTAGACACAGTGGATGCCTTTGGTGTCCACCCATATCCGCACAACTGTCAGCCAGCTGGAAATTTCGTTAAAAGTTCCCAACAAGTGCCGCAAATCAATATTTGTCGCATCCGGACAGCAATTGAGGGGCGCGGTTTGCTTGTGCAGCAGACGGCAGTATCCGACAACAGTAAGAGGTTTGTCACAATCATGGTAATGTTCCGGATACTCGGCCGCAACGCGCACCTGGACTGGATGCACGAATTTCCGAATGCAGCCAGCGTTGTCCGGGCACGTCACCTCCACGCATATTGGACCGAAATTGCCATTACTGTCCCTGGCCGCGGGAACAATAATTTGCGCCGGTTGGAATACGTAAGGTTGGTCGGAGTTCAGTCGCAAGGCAACTACAACCGGCTGCCCGGGGCGAATATCACTAGTTATTACTGGCTTGTGCCAGCGGACGTTCCCGGCAGGCAGCCATTTTGGCGGGCGGTTGTAACGGGCAAAATCCACTAAGACACGCCGTCCCGGCCAGTCCACGTCGCATAAAAAGCCCAGAGAAAATTGTCCCATAGCAAATTCGCAAACAACTGGCTGCAGGTTTGTACCCAGAATTTGACGGCAGTTGCTGTCGTCGGCGATTGTTCCCTGAGCGGATACGGAGGTTTCTACACGGAGAATTTCCTTGCTGTGTTGCCGTAGGAGCGTCAGGGATTTCCAAGGCTTATGAATCCATCGGTTGAAACGCGTTTTAGGTGAATGGGGTGCTGGGCTTTCACTGGCCATTTTTAAAGTTTTATTAAAAGAAGTTTTACGGAACACTGATAGCTATCCGATTGGGAAACGCTTTTTAAAGCAGACAGGCAGATGCCAAGAAAAACTAACTGGCAGCAGATTGCAGAGCTTTCCTGGGCGCATGGTTCTGTGATAACTAATCTAACAGCAAGAGCGTGAGCGTTGTGCCGGCTGCACAGGCAGTCGATCGATAATATGCAGGAGCAGCCGAATCGATCGGCACATGACACGCTGCGCCCGCCTAATGATGAAACGCCACAATAGAGAGAAAATATTTGCCAAGTACAGGGAAGCGCACAAACACATAAACACTGTATAGAACCAAGGGCGGATTCGCTTCAATCGCCTTCGAACTCTACCCAAACGGCAGCAACAAATTTATCAGTTCCGGTGTTTACAGGAAGCCAATGTCAAAAGTAAGAAATATTGTTAGAAAATACAAATTTCTCGTGGCCAAAAGTAAGAACAAACTTATTCTTATGACTGCTGTCATCTACTCGTACCTCAAAAATGCTTTAATATATTATGCGGAGCAGTTGCTCAAAGCTGGAAGGCTTATCCGTGTAACGGTAATGCAGACTGCAAATTACACACTTAATTTAACCATTATGTAGAAGTGGCAGTACTCTTACCGGAGCCAAAATACTTGAAAACGTTTCGGTTTTTCCAACAAAACCCTTCAATAACAGGCTTACGCGAAATCGCGAGAGAAAAGGAAAAAGCTTAAAAAGTTTACGCCGTTATTAAAAAAAATGTACGCAGTACGAGCACTCTGTCTGCATGTACTTGATAAGATGAGCGTTGTGACCGTGTAGGTAAAAGTTGTCCTGCGGCAAAATTGACAGGCGTGTACGGTCGGTACGAGTGAACTACAGATCAACGCCCTGACGGTTGTACAACTTTCGCCTGGAAAAGGGGAATGTGTCTGGCCTGGGATGTGACGTGCGTTGACACAGTGGCCTTTTCCCATCTCCCATCGACGTCGGTTACGGCTGGAGCTGCTGCTGTACAAGCAGAAGATAAGAAGTCCCGTCTGTATGCGTATCTGCAAGGGCGTTATATCTTTTCTCCCATCGCCTTTGAAACGATGGGCCCCTGGGGCCCGTCGGCTACCGCCATCGTGAAGGAGTTGGGCAAAAGACTTCAAGAGCATACAGGAGAGCGTCGATCGCATGAGTTTTTACGTCAACGAATATCGCTGGAGGTTCAGCGTGGAAATGCAGCATCTATCCTTGGCACAATGGACGGAGTGGATAGTTTAAATGAAGTTTTGCTGTTGTGAATAAGATAGCGTTTTTCTTTCTTTCTTACCTGAACTGTGCGATTATTATTAATAAAGTTAATACGGATAGTGAACTACAGAAATTGTACGTCAATACGGTGGTTTTCAGCCATGGGCCCATTTAGGCTAAAGGATGGATTATGTACAGATATAAGCTACCACCACATTATGAGCATACAAGTTCACACGCTGCACCCATTGCAAATGCCTTCCAAATCAGTCAGAGCGACGTGATACAAAAAAAGGAAGGCAGCTGAATTTTCTGATAAAAATCGACACCCGGCTGACTTATCTTAGTCTCCACTCTCCATCAACCTCAGGACTAGCCGCATGGGAAAGCGGAAAATTACTATTATCTATTTTTTTTACTAATATTTGAAGTCAACCTGAAAAAGGAAGACAAATATTTGTAGTTATTACAATAGTTCGTTAAAAGATCAACTTCATGGAGGCACTCTACTGATTGCGGGGTTACGCATCAATTCCTGTCGTTTTATAAGTGACCTTGAAAGCGTCACTGCATGATAAATTCTTGTTGTGATACGGTGAGAAGGATCCCATAGACAATTTTTGTTTGAAGTATTACCGAACAGGTTTTCTCATTTTGCGCAAAATTACAGAAGGTAGAACAGAAACGACTCTTGACAAAATCGGAGAATGGAAAGATAGGATTTCGCTTTCCGACATCGTATACCGGTAATGCAGGAACCACAGTGTAAGACATTTTTACTACAAAGTTTACCGCAGCCAGAAGTTATCAGATTTGAACCATGTGAAATCTTCCAGTTCCGCCACTTAATTTTGCATACAAGCAGATCAGGCTGCCAGGAAGATGCGCATCCTGTAGCATTAATCGCCTGCGTTATTAATTGTACGCAAAGGATAAATGGTCAATATCAAACTGAGTCGAATACGGACAGCAGCCGCCATATGCCCGCAGTCTCCAGTCCGGAATTATATCAACGCCTTCACTCAAGGCCGCCGTTGTCAGCGTGGTCAGCTTGTTGACGTCCAGTTGGGAGACCGTGGATGCCGTCCAATTCCGCTTGCGGTAGTGAGTAGACGAACGCGGATCCACACTCTGGTATCGATGCAGGCCCTGCAAGCACCCAGAGTCAGTGAACACCATCGGCATAGATATCAAGAATATAGTATAAAAACTGTTCAGTTTAAATCATTACTTAATTTGTTCCCGCCACGTAATATCGCTTGAGCCGCAACCAAGCGGTTCTCCGTTGGAGCTGGGTGGTGACCCGCTATTTCGATGACTGTTACCAAGCTGAACGAACACGATGCCGACACGTTACGAGGTCGAGCACAAGTTTTGTCAGTTTATCATGTTCCTTAGAATTCAGAGGAATTTTAGGTTTCACAGTTTTCTGAGGCTGCCATCGTATTTCTAGACACTGCCTTCCTAACGGTCAACGCACATGGCAAACCATGTGGCGAACTAACAGGTTTTCTGAGTGAAGACTGCAAAACTTTGGCTCATCGTGTGGACTTCGGCTTTGGGTATTGACAAAAAATTAGGCCAGAGTCAACTGCTATGGGGTACCGAAAACAAAATGATGTTCTAAAGTGCAAAACTTTAACGCCTCACCTTCACAATTTGGTGTTCGAGTTCATTGAGACCCGGCTGATCGAAACGATGCTGCGCGATGCATTCGGCAATCGCTTTCGCTAGTGCCGGGCGATTAATCGGCTTAGTGAGGACTAGATTGCTTTCGAAAAGGTTCCACAACAGCAACTTCATCTTCGGCTCCACCGTGAGGTCGTTGAAGGCATGGTGTGCTATCGCTACTCGCAGGTTGTGATCGTTAAGGCTGCACTCTCTCCACACCACACCGCCGCATTTCGACAATCGCGCCAGAATACCCGCCACCCCGTTAATAACGTCCTGGACCAGAAATTTCTTCTAACCGAAACTGCAGTTGAAAAAAATTAACGCCGGGACCGGCGTGGTTTCGGGCATTTCTTTGATCATTTTAGCCACCTCGGTGCATTGTATAGCGTCCAGATCGGTCAGCACAAGTCTCTGCGTGGTGCTGTTCAAGCATTTCAAGAAGCACGCCACGATCCAGTAAACGCGGTCTATGTTCTCCATAACGAAATGCAGCTTCTTTCCGTAATGCTCGACGTCGCCTGAGACGCGAACAACATGAAAGTAGGCTGGCGAGATGAGGAGAATGCTCCACAGTGAACAGACACGCCGACAGCGGATGCGCTCGATGGAGTCCAGCGACTGGAAGACTTCCGCCAGTAGCTCAGGCGGCAGCGACAGTCCGACTTCATCATCATTGTCTCGGCCACCGGTCCGTGGTTTCTCACTGCATGCGCTATCCGTGGCAATCCGCATAATCCATTGCGATGTCCCAAGTAAGCTGCCTTCCTTCTCCAAGTTTCTCGCCTCATAGTAAGCGTTTTTCTGCATAAAAAAGCGTTCAAATATTACCGGCAACATACAGTAGCAATTTTTTGCTTACAAATATGCAAAGGAACTTCGAATGCAAGCGGATATACAAATTATTCAGTCTAAATTTGTATAAACCCAAAAGGGTGCCTAGGCCCTATAGTGAGGGTAAAACGGGCGCCTTCTGGCTGCTATTAACATTAACCAGGCTGTCAACTCTTTATGCAAGAATAAGAATATTTGTATAAATAATTGTTCACTATAACTACATGAAATCTGAAATTAAGAGAGTAACATTGAAAACCGAAAAACAGATCACAAGTTGAATGGCAGCTACTGTAACTTACCACATGTTGAACGTCCAAGGGCTGGTGCTTTTGACGCTGCAGATATAGGAGCCTCTGGCTGGAAACGGACGTGCAGACCACCTCGCACAGACGTTGCAGTCGGTACAGAAAGATCTCCCTCCACCGCGGGGTGCCGCTAGCCAAATATTCCTCGGACAACGCATAACAACGTATGACGAAATGCTCCTCCCCCACGCGCCGCTTTTCCAGAGCGGCGATCGAGGATGGTGCGCGTACTTGCTCCCAGGGGACCAGATCACGGATGGGGATGCCATGCGGCCGTTGTACTTCCACGAACAAAGCATCTTGATACCAGTCTCGCAGCGGATGTTCGAGGAGCTTCCCCGGATACCAGATCCATGCGCCGTCGGGATGACGCCGCAGCAAAACCTCGGCGTCCTCTCCGTCGTGCGTGGAGCTCTTGTCGCTGTGGAAAACGTTCCCGTATTCGACGAACTGTGCGCGCTGTTCGACACACTGGAAATCGACGATTAGACCGCCCTGCACCACGTTGATCACTTCGCCGTGCTGCAGCTGGCCGCCGTCGATGAGAACGTCGACAGCGTTCCACGCAAAGACCTGACGTGTCTCGTGAGGGTATATAAGCATCGCGCAGTTCTCAGTGTGAGCTTCAGTAGCGAAGAATAAAATTAATATGAGTTGCTGACAGTGATGACTGGATTTACGGATTTCAAATCTGTAAATCCGGACTTTTTGCCTTTCAAGACTCTCCAAGAAAAGAAGGATCGACTTGGCATAGGTAGACGCAGTCCAAGCAATATTTAATAGCAAACAAATTAATCTATGACGGAATTTAACTGTGTTGAACACTGGGGAAAGTGATAAAATCAGTAAACGATTGATAAGAATTAAGGAACTCGATTTGCTCAGATTGCAAGACTGTGATTCACTTGCAAGCGGCAAGCCACTCCAGTCTCGAAGTGACTCACATTTCCGTGTACTTGCCGAAGTTGCATGCATATGCAAGGACTTATCAAGCTCCCTGTTTCATTGGAAAAAACGTTTTAAAGCAAATCTGATTGCAGATTTAGAATTAGCGAATTTTTCTGATCTATAAAACTTATGGAGAAACCCAAAAACACCAGCGGTTCTCTTCCCCCTGTTTAAGGTATCTCGCCACCCAATCGCTAGGCGGTTGCCGTGGTGCGCAGGGTGTGACTTGTTTTTCAAAGGGGAAGGCGCCGCTTTGGTGTTTTCGAAAAACCAATTTCAGATTCGGAATCAGCGCATTTTTCTGTTATGGAAACAGTCCGATCTTTGAAAAAAATTTGTCGCCCCCAAGGGGCATACATGACCGCCACCTTGGGCGGCCGCAATGTTCTCAAGAAAAAGGATCTGCAATCCGATTTGCTCAAAACGTTTTCTCCAATGGAATAGGGAGCTTGATAAGTCTTTGTGCACATGCACAGTGCACACACTCACACCACACTAGGCGGCTGACTGGTGATTAAATGGTGGCATGGTGAATGAGAAGGAGAACTAAAAACCGATTGCAGATGTGCCATTTATATCCGAAGAAGAAAGGTGAAATCTGATGGCCAGGGATGCCGAATGTACCATTATTTACCATGATGATGTCCAGCAGAGACCATGAGCGCACCCAGGCTCAAAGCAAGAAACATTCGAGTGAAGATGCTTTGTAGCGATAGTGTGAGCTGTGTTCAACGCTTACGGTAGGTGGAATATAAAATTGTGGCTGTTCGCCATTGTGTATTCACGATCAGTATTGTACAGGTGCTACGAGATCGTGAAGAAACGTGTTGCCATTGTAGACGATCCCAACGAAGTCGAACTCCAGACAAAAAAATTGCTGGATTTTATTCAGTAAAAACTATGAAGCGATTCACCCATCACAACATCTCACAACGACTGAACCGGAAAGGATGCAAGTGATTGGCATGCGTAACATTTATCTGCCGCATTTTTAATTATATGAAAAATGGAAATGGTCAATATCAAATTGAGTCGAATACGGGCAACCGCCGCCAATTGCCCGCAGTCTCCAGTCCAGAATCATATCAACGCCCTCGCTCAAGGCCGCCGCCGTCAGCGTGGTCAGCAGCTTAACGTCCAGTTGCGAGACCGTGGATGCCGTCCAGTTCCGCTTGCGGTAGTGGGTGGAGGAACGCGGATCCGCCCTCTGGTAACGAAGCAGGCCCTGCAAGAATCCAGCAGTCAACGCGTACGAACAAGCGAATTATGTCCTAATCGTACAAGGGCTTACCTTCACAATTTGGTCTTCGAGCGCATTGAGGCCCCGCGGATTGATGCGATGCTGCGCGATGCAGCCGGCAATCCATTTCGCCAAAGCCGGTCGATCAATCGCCTTGGTGAGAACGACATTGTTCTCGAAAAGATCCCACAGCTGCAACTTCAGCGGCTTCAACCTGAGGTCGCCGAAGGCATGATGCGCTATCGCGGCTCGCACGTTGTGATCGTGCAGGCTGCACTTTCTCCACACCATACCGCCGCATTTCGACAATCGCGCCAGAATACCCGCCACCCCGTTAATGATGTCCGGGACCAGGAACTTCTTATAACCGAAACTGCAGTTGTAGAAAATCAATGCCGGCATGGGAGTGGACTTGACCAGCTCTTTAATCAGTTTAGCCACCTCGGTACACTGGATAGCGTCCAAATCCGTCAGAACAACTCTCTGCGTGGTGTTGTTCAAACATTTCAAGAAGCACGCCACGATCCAGTAAACGCGAGTTATGTTCTCCATAACGAAATGCAGCTTCTTCCCATAATGGGTAACGTTCCCTGAAACGCGCACTTCCGGAATGTAGGCAGACGTGGTGATGAGAATGTTCCACAGTGAACAGACACGCCGACAGCGGATGCGCTCGATGGAGTCCAGGGAATGGAAGATTTCCACCAGCAGCTCCGGGGGCAACGGCAGCCCGACGGCATCATCGCTGTCACAGGTCTGTGGTGTCTCACTGAAGGCACCAATCGTCGTACGCCGCATAATCCACTGCGATGTCCCAAGCAGGCTGCCTCCCTTTTCCAATTCTTTCGCTTGATTGTAAATCATTTCCTGCACGAACGCTTGCGGTTAGATATACACCCTGTTCATGCCAAGTTGGCGGTGTCCATTAAAAAATTCCCCTGAACCACTAGTCAACAAATTTAACTTTATTTAACTTTATTGTGATTACCGAGTCTATCCAACACCATTTGCAATTGAGGTTTCCAAGATTTGAGCTACTTACAGGAATTTTAAAATTAGAGTAGGCTACTTCAAAAATACATAGTCACGAAAAGAACTGCATTATATCATTACGATATATAAATGCCAGCAGCCAGAACGGGGCGCGAGCGTTCAGTAACCCGAAGGAATGGCAAGAAATGGGGTGCTACAGAAGTGTGCGGGTGGAAAACGGGAGTGAATGGGGTGCCTCATGATTCATGTCTACAGTATCACTCTGTCGAAAAATATTACTATGAATTTAACGAAATCCGAAATTAAGAGAGAGAAATTTAAAAAAAAACGGGGAAACTGGCCATGAGTTACTGAGACGGTTGCCACCAAGCTAAGAACTTACCACTTGCTCAGCGCTCAATGGTTTGTATTTCCGGCGCAGCATATAGAGGAGCGTCTGGCTGGCCAGGGACGTGCAGAGCACCTGGTACTGACGCTGCAACCGGTACGCAAAGAATTCCCGCAACAACGGCGACCCTTCAGCAAAATATTCCGCGGACAAGGGAAGGCAGTGGATGACAAAGTGATGCTCTCCGATGCGCCGCTTCTCCAGATCGGCGTTGGAGAGCGGTGCGCGTACTTGATCCACGGGAACCAGTTCGCGGCTGGTGAATCCGTGAGGCCGATCCACCTCCACGACATGAGCCTCCTCATACAAGGGGAGCAGTGGATTCCGGCGGTACCGTCCCGGATGCCAGATCCACGCGCCGTCTGGATGGCGCCGCCACAGGACCTGGACATACGGGCCGTCGCGCTCCAGAATCTTGTCACAGCGGAAGATGTTCCCGAATGGGACGAACTGCGCGCGCTGCTCGGCACACTGGAAATCGATGATTAGACCGCCCTGCACCACGTTGACGACTTCGCCGTGCTGCAGCTGGCCGTCGTCGACGAGGACGTCCACAGCGTTCCACGCGAGGACCTGCCGTGTCTCGTGGCTGTACGCAAACATTGCGCAGTTCTAGGAGTGATCAGCGATAACTGTGGAAAACAGACACCAGCTGCTGATGGCTGGATTTACGCTTTTGCCTCGCAAGACCATATGTGTCTATCTCCGAATAAAAAACAGGATCGACTTGTTCTGGATATTGAACTGAGTCCAAGACAACTGTTAACCAACAAATCGACTGAAGAAGGACTGAGTCACTGACTGTATTGAACACTGGGGAAGTGATAAAATCAGGAAAAGATTGATAAGAACTTCGATTTACTCATTCTCCGTCGGTTAGACCGTGATTCACTTTCTATCAAGTGTGAAAGACTGATCAGTGATCACTTCTTATCGGAACCACGTAGACGCCGCTCTGGGGGCGTGCACATTCTTAAAGTTATTCATGGCGGTACCATTTAGTACTGCCATGAGTTATTTGTAGGCAAATTGTGGCAAGGCTAGCGCCTCGACAGGGCCCGCGCTCAAGCTCTGACTCAGACTCTGACCGCTCAAACTCTGACTCTGACTACTCAAAGTCTGACTCTGATTGTCCAAACTCTGACTCTGACTGAATAACCTAAGAATAATTTAAGAAACCTAAGAAACCTAAGAAACTTAAGAAACCTAAGACAACTAAGAAACCTAAGAAGCCTAAGAAGCCTAAGAAAGCTAAGAAACCTAGGAAACCTAAGAAACCTAAGAAACCTAAGAAACTTAAGAAACCTAAGAAATCTAAGAAACCTAAGAAACCTTCAGAGTCAGAGTCAGACTTTGAGCGGTCAGAGTCAGAGTTTGAGTAGTCAGAGTCAGAGTTTGAGTGGTCAGAATCAGAGTCAGAGTCAGATTTGGAGTCTAGGCCCCTCGACGGCCTGCAATGCGGCAGTTACCTGCTTGAATCGGTTACTTGATCCCCGTTTACTGTATTTCGTTTTTCGTTTTACGGAATACTGTGCTATCCCAATCGGCTGTTAGCTGCTATCGGATGCGGAATCAGCGTCAGCAGTTGCAATTTTTTATGCGCTGACGCAAATCGCAACTTTACAGTCGCAAACTCAACGGTTGACTGCATAATGCAAATGCGGTATACAAGCCTGTCTCACAATCAGGAGTCAAGGACGGGTGAAAGCATCAATTTGAAGCGCGAATTTGATAGTGCAGCTCCCTCTGGCATTCTGGATATCCCGCGAGGCATTTTTGTGGGCATGCTTAGGGGAAGTCGATTCTAATTCATGGCTTTTCGCTGCTGGTACTGTGAAATAGAGTGAGTTGCAATAATAGCTATGCCATATTAGGATTTTGCTCATACCAGCTTATCACCCCGATGGCCCAATACAAGAAATTTTTACTAGTACTACTTACATTTTTACTATTATCATTTGTATTTTTTGTTAAGCTGGCTAATACTCGAGCCTTTCCTTGAACAAATGGCAAATTTTAAAAAAAACTGCAGCATGCAAATACTAGCCGGTGACGGAGACCAAGAGGTCACCGCGCCCCAGCCGTCACCCTTGAGACAGGATAAAAAGGAAAACCAGAAGTGCCACCACTTGCACAACACACGCATAACTCATTAAACAAACAATGATTCTGAAGCATGACCCGGCTAGCAGAGAAGAGGTGTTTTGGTTATGAATGTTGTTCTCTTTCGATCGGTACTTATTAGTTTGTCCTTGCACTGGGATACAAAGTACTTGTTAAATTACTTGGTCTTGAATCTTGATACATGCACAAGAAATACATCTGATAGATGCGAATTGGTGCTAAAGAAATTAATGTCCTTGAAACATACTTACTAGTATCATGCGTGATCAAGAATCCGAAATTTCGAATATTATGCCGCCGATTTCCGGTTTGTGTACTGTACATGTATACCTGTACAAGAGCGCGGCGTTGCAGGTTCAGTTTTACTTATTTTTATACACATATGTATTGCGTGTCTATGTGTCTTCATACACACATTGCCGCCGGACTTTTGGTAACGGCACCCAGGAAAATATATCGGCAATTTGCCGGTTTATTTTCCTTTACTAAAATGGGATAAGTACTGCAACTGAAGCACTGCCCTACAATGGTATGTACAATACATAATTAACGACTCTGTACTCCTTTAGCCGCTGTCGGTTTGTTTCGCTCATGTGCTTGTCCTTACTGCGGACCTCCAGTTCTGTCGTAACTCTCCCTATTTAATCAAATAGAGCCCCGACTTTAATCTCCTCACTTTAATCTGCCAGTGCATTAATTGGTTATTAATGACGTATTGCGCAATTGCAAGTGAACAATTCACCGTGCATGTGAACACGCTATAACTGTGCGATTTTCAGGTTTTTTGTTGCCGGTGTCATTGCACTCGGTGCATTAACAGATGTCTCGTCACCTGCTCAGGCTGTCCTAAACATTTTTGCTACCTCGCGCTTACCTTACAGGTTGTCAGGTACAAAGCAAATCGAAACTAGTACGGGTACAATGTACATGCAACCAGATTCAGCCTGCAGTCAAATATCAGTCAGTTAATAACCTCATCACAAAACAGCAGTGCCGTTAATTTGCCAGATTTGTACGGTACGAGTACATATAGATGTACGCCGTACGGTATAAATGGATGCTCCAATGCTTACCGCGCAAAATGTAATAACTCACGCCAGATAAAGCTATGGCAGCTATGGATATTCATAAGTCAGAAATCTGAAATAAAGAAGGTTTTTGCCCATCTTCTCACTCCTATCTTCTGGGCTTCTTGAACAAATCGACTACCGTTGCTTACGGTTGAAATTAAAAGTCAAAAACTATTCTTGCACAACCGTGCCGAATGCGCATGCGTGGGATCACTTTAATGGTATACGTTTTTTGTTTTATTGTGAGATTTTTAACGACTGGGATGATGTTGATCTATTCCCAATGAAGCGGTTGAAATCAACGTCAATCATTGTGCTATTGTCGTTGCTACTGGCCTTCTGTGTGTTAGTGATCCTATTGCTGGTGTTGCAGTCAAAAACATGGGGTTCGTATACCGCATTCCGCAGCACCGATAACGTACCCTATATAACTGATCGTGAGCCACTGTTCTAATAATAATTCAGTTTACAAGTGCGCGAATGGAGGCGTTCCACGGGACGGAAGCGGACCGGTACCGCTGTCGTTACCGACAGTATTGCAACGTATGCCGCATTTGCTCGCCAAACCGGATGCTCTGGTCCCGCGACGGCTTATAGGGAAAGGACGAACAGGAGGTAATGTGATTTCTTTACAAAATTTCTGAAGGCTCATACTGTTTTAGACATAATTATTGCCACGTTGTAGTTAGTCCGATAACTCGAAGAACACTGTATAAACACTAATAATTATGATTTGCTGCAATATAATTGCCAGTTATTTTTTATTTAACTTAAACATTAAAAGAAATACTGAAGCAACAGCGTTTTTGCATCGACGAGATAAAAAAGAACTAAACTATCTAGACCGAAAACCTACTATATTGTGGACGTAGTAGTTAGTGTTTGTTTATTACCAACGTTTTTTTTAACGTGGTGAGAAAAACACTGGCCTAAACAGAATCTTCATCACAATACATTCTTACAGTTTCTGTCGTGATCGGCATCCCGACGGTGCGGAGATCATCGGCGCACAGCTATCTGGAAGAAACGCTGGATTCCCTGTTAAGAATTGAAGATAGCAAACTAGAGACCGATGTATTGGTCATCGTCATGGCTGCCGACATTACCAACTTAAGCGCCGTGGACGCGTTTATCAACGATTTACGACAAGCATACGCCCCGACAATCGAGAAAGGAACATTGGAGATTATCGCTCCGTCCCCAGAGTTTTATCCTGATCTGCATCATATACACTCCGCCCTGGATGATTCTCTCGAGCATCAAAAGTGTGTTTGAAGTCTTTCCAACTTTCCTTACTTTCAACCGTTTTCAATTGCACTAGTGATTCCAAAGCAGAAAGAAGTCAAACTTTTTTTTCTTGTTGCAGATGGCGGACGAAGCAGGTGCTGGATTACGCTTACCTGATGACCTATGCACAATCTAAAGGATCAAACTATGTTCAGGTATGTGTTTTGGAGCCCTTCACAATCTGCTTGTTGTATCAGACAAACCGTCTGCTACCATGCTATGTGGTTTTGCAATTGGTTTTTCACTGTTCTTCAGTTGGAAGACGATGTGGTCGCCGTACCGAAATATTTATCCACGATCAAAAGATTTGCACAGACGAAAAGGAACAGATTTATCTTCGTTCAGCTTAGTGGCGCGGGTTTTATTGGTACGACTATTAATTACCAGCTTATTATAAGCCTATTATTCTGACTTTCGAAGGCAAACATTCATGTTCACAAAGCGTATTGTACGAGTACATACGTGTCTGTCTGTACACCACGTAATCGAGAAAATTTACTGTTTTATCGTGTGTTGAATATTGCGGTTGTGGTGTTTCCAGGCAAGCTTTTTCGTACCGTGGATTTACTACCGTTTGTGGAATTTCTCCTTTTATTCTATGAAACCAAGCCCGTAGACTGGCTGCTGACCAGTTACGTTTCGCTCCATGTCTGCCCGGAAAACTCCGCTGTCAGCGCCTGTAGGCAAGCCAAGCAACGCGCTGCGCCGCAGATCAGTCCCCCTTTGTTCCATCATATTGGAATGCATTCCTCTTTCCAAGGAAAGACGCACGATTTACCGCAGGTACGCCTAGAACTGCTCAAGCTACTGACTATAGAAAACTTTCGCATTCGGCATCTGGAACGCATGACTGTCTCGATGGGGAAATTTGATTATTCCCAGCCTTAGGTTCTGTGGAAGCCGTAATGTCACTGGAGCGATCATTTTACTGAAACTGCTGATGTACCGCTTCGAAAAAGTAGCAGCTTTGTAAGTTGGAAATGGTTTTAAGGTCACTAACTTATGGTTGCCAGAACAGAAAGAGCACCGAACCACGGGCTCAGTTTATTAAGCGATTAAATCGCTTGGAAAAAGCCGAAACTAAAATCGGATACAGCACGGCTGGTTTCTGATATATTTGCACTTATCCCCGCTTACGACAAACTACTGATTAGAACATGTAAGCATAATACGAAAAACCGATGGCATAATTCCAGTCAATACTGCTGCTTCAGTGCCAGCAGGATAGCATAAACGGGTAAATACGTGAGTAACACAAAGTTTTCAGTCATGTTAACTACGTTTCTAGGAAATCAGCTCCGGAAATGTGATCCTGTTTATTCCCCACAAAAATAATCCTCCCGCCCAAACAGTGTGGACCACCATGAAGGTCTATCCCCAACATGATTTGGAGTACGCGTACAATGGGAGCAATTACTTCTGGACTGGGCATTCCCAAGTGAACGACACAATCACCGTAGAATTTAGGGACCCCACCGTCGTCACGCAGTATCTTTTCAAGTCAGGCAACGCTCAACATCCAGGAGATCGGTTGTCCGATGCGGTGGTAGAGGTAGCAACGCCTGCGGGAAGGAATCAGACGTATACCTGGCGCGAAGTGGGTCGGTGCTATCGGGGGATTGCTCGAGGCACACTGACTACGGGAGCAGCATTGTTGGCCATCCGAATTAGGATCCTCAGCGGCAGCGAGTTCGGCATTGTAATCAAGGAAGTACGTTGCTATCGGCACTGGCTTATTTTAAAATAACGGAAGTGCGGGAAGGAAAATTTGCACGGTGCGTGCTTTTGCAGATCTGGATTCGAACTGCCGACGTAAAGGTGAGTTGAGATTTTCCTTACTGACGTCGCGCTACTCAATGCTCATACAGTGGACCTCGGCAATCATGTTCCTTTAACAACGATGTACAACGATGGATCGGGATCGTTCACATGATATCAGATTGGTGTCCAATGGTGTATATTGCATGCCACTGACGGCACTTTAGTTGTTGAGTTGACCATACCATCCAGCTGAATGGATATCAGCGGAACGGCAGTCATAATTTACGCTTCTTCTGCAATAGTTACTACTTTATATTTGTTGCATCCAATTGCTCAACCGGATCAGTCCGCAGTCTGATAAGAAAACAAATTACCATACCAGGTTACTGGATACTCGCTTATGAAACAAAATTTGCCTGATCTAGATAGTGGATAATGCAATTTAGTAGTCAAAATTAGTTTACACAAAGAGCCAGTAAATTTATCAGAAAGACAGTCAGATTTATAACATCCGTACTTCTGTACCGGCGCAAGGCAGAATCGCAGATCAGGATAAAACCGTAGACGCGGGTTCAGAAACGCATCTAAAGAGTCTGGAACTACAACGAAAGAATTTTCTCAAAATCCGTCTGCAAACGAAAGGATCACGCCACTTTGGATCCGCTAGAAAACCTGAAAAAATCCATCGTCATATATAATTTCTATTTTCCATATCGGCTCGAAGTATTTACTCGAATTTATCAGGCAGATCAGCGTCCAGGGTGAGCTGAACTTGCAGCTTCAAGGAGAAGTCAGTAGGACTGACGTAGCCGTTTGCCGGGTCCAGTAATTTCTGGAAATAAAACATATACATGCAAACATTATGTACAAACAAGCAAATTCCTTCACCTCCATAGACATATACGAGAATCCCCAGCCACAGAAATTATTGTTTAAAGACAAATGCTCGGACAGTTCTGCAAAATTTAAGCATTTCTTTGCGGAGACCACAATCATTGTAATAGGTTACGATTAAAGCGCATAAACGATTGTACGTTTCTCGATTGGCGCAGTTTCAGTATTCCAAGGAAGCAGGCGCAGTTCAGTATGAACCCAGCCAGTCCAGGAAGCCGATTTCGGGTACCCAGAACACCGCACGTAAAAGCCAAGAGTAGCAGACTCGCCATCTGGTTCATTTTTTTTGACGTAGATGCTCCTACAAAAAGGTGCATTATCACTGGCGTCCATCTTCGCTAACTCTGCGAATTTCTATTCTTGACCTTACAAAGCAATACCCACCACAAACGGTTCCTGACTGATATGGGTTCGCTGATGGTATACGACTCCTGCAGTTCCCGGACGTCAGGAATCGTAAAGTTAATCGTACCCTCTTTGCGTATACATATCTAGAAATGTTGGATAACTGGCATTCACACTTCCGCTGCAATTTTTGACGAGAACTGAAACGCGCTTACTGTGTCGGGGCTCCGTAGAGAACGACAGCGGCGGTTTGATGTCGGCGAACTTGAAGTGGTAGATGTCCCACCCTTCCGACTGTAGCAGCAAACCGCTCTAAATAAAATACAAGCTTTTACCAAACAAATTTGTTCTATCCCAATTTTCACCAGTTCATTGTTTCGGCAAGTGCTAACGAACATGTCAAAAAGTCTAGAGTTTATTACAAAGGCAATAAATGCGTAGGAAGACCGTACCTGCAAGGGACCGTCCAGCAACTGAGTATCGGTCAAAAGCGGAAATCGGATGAGAAACAACGCCTGGCCTAAAACTTCGCGCCGATTGGCAGAACTAGCATCCATGTGTTTTTCTTTGCACATGTTTGCAGCCCACCTGTCAGAAGGCAATGCGACCAGTTAGAATTTTTGCATTACTAAGCAAAGCTGCTACAGTCTGGTTACCTGTCAACCGCCGAACAAATTGTGTCTTCGTTGGCGGTCAACGTATCCCGTAGGAGGATGGTGCGGAGTGCCTCGTGTCCAATCGCACAGAACTGCTCCGATTCCCAGACGGTTATTGGTGATTCATCAATCAGGCCTAAACACTTCTCCAGGATGCTCGGAGCAGCGGTTTCATAGAGAACCGCCTACGCGAGACAACCTATCATTACGAGCCGAAGCAAACCGTGGCAAAAGGAGCGGACACGGCTTACATTATCCAGCATATCTAGGCAGTTCCCGAAGCTCATGTTATTCAGGATGAAGTCCGTGCAGATGGTGACCAGCAATGGCAAGTCATACTTGTCCGCGCAGCGCAAGGTGTGGAAGACATTGTCCAAGGTGATGTGTTCCACGGAATCGGTGTAGATGTACCTGCGCAGTTTATTACGTTAACATTAGTGGTGCTGGTGATCATATTCGCTGCAGAGAACGATAAAGAGGTGCATGATGCTAGACACACCTGAGCATATTAACAAACGCCTCCGGGAGAATGTCAGGAACGTCGATGGGAGCTTCGCAGGTCTCTTGGACGCTCCCGTGGAACATTGTACGGAATACAGCGCTGCGGACACTCATGATGAGCCTGCATGTACAGTATTATACACTAACACGAACACAAGGAATCCTTCAAGCGAAACCGCAAACTTGTATTCGAAATGATGTTCAGACGTAAGTGACAGCAGAGACTCACCTGTGAGCTGAGACAATCTTCACGGGTCCGTAATCTCGACCCACGGCAAACTGGACATCGCTCAGTTCGCTAGAGACCAAGATGTCTTGCATGCCATTACGGATTTTAGCGATCCCGGCGCGATTTCTATCATCCGAGGGTGGAGTGGGATTCTTAGACTTAAACGATTCTGGGAAACGCAGGTTGGTGCCGGATCCCGAGACAACATCATCAGGAAATTGGGCATGTAAATCGTCCACGGACTTTCTCGGGAAGCAGCCCAAGAAGAACTCACGCAGTTTAGAACACAGCATTGTTTAGAAGTTACCCGATATGTATCGAGTATTTCGCCGCCGTCAGAATCTTTGGGTTGTGTAGAAATTTCTGTAAACTGTTGAAAGCACCACGAAAAGATAAAAGTAAATCTAGTGCCAAAGCGAATCTATCGAGGATATTATCCTGATCTCAAACCGTCGTTTCCAAACCTAGATTCCGTTTACTACAGCACAGCTCAGCTGCCGATCAAAATTTCACTTCGCTGAATACAGAATAGCTACTCATACCCACGGAGGCCGATTTTGTTTCCATGCCTATTTGCTTGGATCAAATACGACAGTCGGCTATAGCCGGCAGTTAAGATATAGCAACAAAATCGATGGCAGACACGTTGGTAGTTAAAACCGTGAGCTGCATAAGGTAAAGGAACATCTCGCTACGATGCTGTCTGCAACAGTATGGATTGAATTTAGGCGCCCGGAATGTAGGCGTATGGATTGAATTTAGGCGCCATCGAAACGCAAAACGCACCCGCATCCGGTGACCTTCCGCCTACATTACCAAAACCACCTGCAAACTGGACGAAAGCTGAAAAGTTGATTGAAGAAGTACAGGCATCCGAAAATATTTGAAGTGCTTTCTCGGATTAAGTCGAAGTCTGGGAATCACTCTGACAAATTCGCCATTGACCCTTCGCGTCTCAGATAAATTGTCAACGTAACAAGAACGAATATTAGCAGATCCCTGGCACAACTGAGCGAACTGTACCACAAAGGCTGTGATTAGCAAAAGCCGTTTCCGGTCGCGAAACGTATTTATTAGCAACATTATGAGAAATTTAGGGTGCAGTTACAATTTTTCATATCCCCTTTGCAGAATACTTAACCGAAAGATCTTCGCTATTATTTCGAATCTTGTTTTTTGGCCTACTTAAATATTTTGTGGTTGAAACGGGGCGGAGAATTAGAGAAAACGATTACTGAAGTATGAGCGAGAACTGAAAAATACCAGACAAGTACACTTTTTCGAAACAGAAAAAATGTTTGCGAAGTCAACGCAGAAAAAATGTTTTCAAAATGTTTTCTTCGTAAAACAGAAAAACCTTTTTCTGTGTCAAGGGAAACAGAAAAGTATGAATCCTGTATAACAATGCATATTTTTTTCTCCGATAACACTTTTTAATTGGTACAGACAACAAGTAGCCCCTATCAACACTACGTCACAGTTAAACCAAAGCCAATAGATTTATCAGATAGACCATAAATCCATCTGCAAAAAGTTTCGATATAACACAGCCGCTGAACCGCAATTACAAAGACTACCAACAGGATAATTTTACAAAAGTAATCGTTCTACAGAAACAGAATTTGTACAAAACTAAATTGTCTACAAGCGAAACTAAACTGCGAAAGTATCATACGGCTCCGGAAACCGCTTAACCAAACCGATCGTTCTCACGCCATGTTCCCGTTTTCGATTTCGTTAGTACTTTTTTGTCAACCATTCAGTGGGACGCTACATTTAGGCCAGTTCAGCCGTAAGGTAAGCGGTCATCTGAGCTTGCAGCTTCAAGGAGAAGTCACGAGGATTGACGTAGCCTTTTGCCGGATCCAGTAAATCCTAAAACACACACCTACATCAAGACTGTACATCAAGTCAACTGTCTGTATGTATAATTATGCATTTCAGGTTTTCAACCGCAAAAAATGTTTTATACCTTCATAGATATATACTCGGAGTATCCCCAATTGTCCGCCTCCTTGCAAAATAGATCGGATATCGCTAAAGAATTGGAAACATACATAAGCAAAAATATAAGCACATGTGGAGATTATCGTGACCCTACGGAAAACCCTACGTTTTTTAATAGGTGCAGTTTTAGCCTTCCTGGGTAACAAGCGAAGTTCTCCAGTAACCCGACACGCCCAGTGGTCGGGTTTCGGATAGCCAGAACAGTCCATGTAGAAGCCTAGCGTAGGAAGCTCACCATCCATGTCCTTATTTACCATAATGCTCCTGCAATATCATATATTTGAATGACGATCTCTTTGTACCAAATTGTTAGATTTCCTCTGACGAACGGCTCCGGCTCACCAAGCCAGCTTTCCGACGTAAACGGGGCTGCTAGACACCGATGTTTTCGATAGCTTTCTCACATCCGGAACCGTATAGTTCACGATACCTTCAGCGCGTACCTCTACAAGCGTCATGCAATTTCAACAACATTGCTGGAGCCAGCATATAATGGAAAAAGCCAATGCATTGGTAAGCGGGTACTTTGTCGGGATTCCGTAGGGAACGGCAGCTTCGGTTTGACGGTAGCGTGCTTATAATGGCAGATGTCCCAGCCCTCCGATTGCAGTAACAAACCGCTCTGTAGAACCATAGTATGTCATGGAACAGGTCAACTGTTTTATAGAAGCGGAGTGTCTGCCTTATTGATGATACACGGGTGCGAAGCCCGTATCTTCAGGGGACCAATGAGCAGCTGGACATCGGTCAGGAGCGAAAATCGGATAAGAAACAACGCCTGGCCCAGTACTTCGCGCCGATTGGCGGAGGAAGCGTCCATGTTTTGTCGCGTGCACATCTTTGCGGCCCACCTGGCGTGCACATCTTTGCGGCCCACCTGACGTGAAACGGTTGTTCAAAAGAACACATACCGTGCACTGGCTTTCTTAAACGTATAGTTATCATTAAAATATGACGACGAAAACGGGCCCACTTGTCAACCGACGAACAAATGGTGTCTTCAGAGGCGGCCAGCGTATCGCGTTGGAGAATCATGCAAAGTGCCTTGTGTCCAATCGCACAGAACTGCTCCGACTGCCAGACAGTGTCCACTGATCCATCAATAAGGCTTAAACATTTCTCCAGGACACTCGGTGCAACATCCGCGTGGAGAACCGCCTGCACAACACAACCTGTCAGTATCTTCTGTACTGAAATGGCAGCAAAGGCCGGCGCAAAAAAACCTACATTATCCAGGATATTCAGGCAGTTGCCGCTGGTCAGCCCTTTCACGATGAAATCACAACAGATTATGACCAACAGTGGCAAGTCATACTTGTTAGCGCAGACTATTGTAGGGAAGATGTTTTCCTGGGTCAGGTTTTTCACGGCATCCGTGTAGATGTAGCTGCAATTCGTCGGGTTGGTTGCCACTAGCGTTACTCAGAAGGATAACATGCATTGCGGGGGACATACCTGAGCATGTTATCGAAGGCCTCGGGATGGACGTCCGGGATTTCGATGTGAGCCTATGGGGTCCTTTACACTTCCAGAGAACCTTATTCGGAACATTTTATGGAAGACGGCGCTTCGGATGCTCAGGATAAGCCTGCATGACATCATTGTTCAGAGTCAAAGAATCCGTCAAATGTATTGGTAAATTAGGAGAAAGTGGCGAACAAATTGAACTGAAAACGGAGACCCACCTGTGAGCTGGAATGATCTTCACGGCACCATAATCCCACCCCACGGCGAACTGGACATCGCTCATATCGCAACTGTCTAAGATACGCTGCAGGCCATCGCTGATGTTAGCGATTCCGGTGAGGGTTCCTGAGTCCGAGGATGGTGTACGGTTTTCAGACCTGAGTCAACCGAGGATTGTGAGCAGTAAGTTAGAACTGAAGGTTCGAAGACAGGCTAAGCAGAACGCAAACAAACCAAACACAGTCAAGCGTGGACTGTATCGTTTACAATCAGCGTTTCAGCAATGTAAAGGAAATGGCAGCAAATCCGATAAATTCATATCTTGAGGCTTACACCTCAAAATCAAAACTGGCATTAATTTTATTGTTACGCAACTGGCTATAGCGATAAAGCCGGTTTACATGTATCGTATCTGTGCAGCTAGCTGTGACGTCCACTGCGTGGGCTATCTAAACGTACTTTCATGTAGAAAGAGCTTCGCTTTCCCTTCAGATTGTCAGAATTCGAGCGACAGTACGCAGTTGGTTAATCTTCTGTTTCGGACTGCTTGAGGCCTGTTTGGACTGTCTCCTTAAGAAATTTCGTTGTCCATTGAAAATACCTTGATGCCATGTCTCAGATTCCGACACCATCATCCGATTCAGGAAATCGCGCCGGGATAGCAAGGATCAGTGATGGCATGCAACACATTCTGGCCTCGAGCGAAATGAGCGATGTCCAGTTCGCAGTGGGAGGAGACTATGGCGCTGTAAATCTTTGCAGCCCACTGGTGAGTGAGTCCTTACTGTCATTTTGGCCTCTATGCCATTCTTCCCCAAGATGAACGAATCCGTCTGACGGATCCCCTGTTATCTGTGCTTATGCAGACTCATCCTGAGCGTCCGCAGCGCTGTGTTTCATATGATGTTCTACGGGAGTGTCCGAAAGAGCTGTACAGCTCCCATCAAGATCCCCGACATTCTTCCTGAAGCGTTCGCCAATATGCTCAGGTGTGTCTATCGCACACTGTTTCTTTGTCGTTCTTTAGAGCCGCTGCTGCAAATAATAACGCAACAATCTGTGCAGCTGCATCTACACCGATGCCGTGAAGAACTTGTCCCAGGATAATGTCTTCCACACACGGGCTGCGCGGATAAGTACGACTTGCCATTAATGGTAGCCATGTGCGCCGACTTCATCTTGAAAGAGCTCAGTGTCAGCAACTGCCTGGAAGCGCTGGAAAGTGTAGGTCTTCTCGGTTGGTTTTATCCTTTGTTACGAGTATGGCTGGTTGAACACCTATAACAGACATTAACCGACTGTTGCGGCAGGCGGTTCGCTACTCGTATGCTGCACCGGGTATCCTGGAGAAATGTTTGTGTTTGATCTATAAATCATCGAAAACTGTTTGGGAATCGGAGCAGTTCTGCGCGATTGGGCAAGATGAGCTACACACCATTCTACAACGGGATTCGTTGACCGCCAGCGAAGACATCATATGGTCGTCGGTTGACAAGTACAAGATTTCACCATTCCCCTACCTGATGGCAAAAAACCGCGAGCCCGTTATCTTTCTAGCAGCTTGTTTCCGGCAGGTGGGCTACCAACATGTGCAAGCAGAAGCATATGGAAGCTTCCTCCGCCAATCGACGTGAAATGCTGGGCCCGATGCTGTTCCTGATTCGGTTTCCGCTCTTGACCGATACTCAACTGCTGGATGGACCAGTGCAGGTGCGGTCTTTGCAGCGACTGATATTCTGATCAGATTGGTAATGGATCACACCAAGCACTGGCTTTAGCAGCTTTTGACGCAGATTAAAATATAGTTGCCTATGACGAAAAACATTTTAAATGAACTGGACTTTTTTCCAGACTGGATTGCTGCTGCAGTCTGAGGCATGGGACATTTACCACTACAAGCACGCCGACGTCAAACCGCCGCTACCGTTCCCTACGGAGCCCCGACAGTGTTAGCGCGTTCGGCTTTCTTCGAAAACTGTAGCCGCAATTTACGAATGCTGCTTGTAGATGTGGATGTTGAAGGCGTTGAAGGCGTCATTAACTACACGATTCCGGATGTCAGAATGTTGGCGGAGACAACCAGCGGTAACAGTCGGAAATCTGCTTTGGTGAGAAAACTGCCTACTCATAGTGGAAATATAAGCAAGAAAAGCAGACGAAGAACAGGCAGACTGACATCAATGAACTGCGTCGTTTTGCAGGAGTTTACGTGCTAAGAAGGAAACTAATAATGCATCTGCCTATCTTGGCGTCTCCCTGCGATGTTCTGGCTGTCCGAAATCGACTTCGTGGACCTGCTGGGTTAAAGGAGGCATGCTTTTGCTGCCATGGAAATTGGGAGTTGCACCAGTTACGAAAGGTGTGTTATAGTTAAAGACCGTGGCACGGTCGTCGCACGCAGACGCCGTGGAACGGTTTTGGGCTTGATGACAATTATGAAGAATCATCTTGAGGTTTGTGTAGAAATGAAACATGGCTCTTGAAACGAATTCTTCTTCGTTTTCGGTTTGTGAATTCAGTAAATTAGTGATTCAATTAGCAGTTAAGTGTTGTTCCGATAATGGTGACGAGTATTGCGGTCAGTTAGTCAACCGTGTCACGGCATTTTTCCCAAAAAACCGTGCCACGGCAATAACTACCAGCAACCGTGTCACGGCATAAAGTAAACGCACCGGGCCACGGTTCGTTGCGTTCAGTACCCAGATAGTTTGTAATTGATCGCATGTTTTATTAGTTTGCAATTTCTCGAGGGGTTTTGTTGCTCGCAGTAGATGCAATTTCAGTGTGAAGCCAGCATGCGTGTTTGATACTTTAATTTACTGATGTTTTCTTTGCATGTTGCTATGCGTAAAGATGTTACCCTGGCAGTGGATAAAGACGAGACATAAATCCAAGCTGTGAAAGACTTTGTTTTGGGCTTGATGACACTTATGAAGAATCATGTTGGGGTTTGTGTAGAAATGAAACATGTCTCCTGAAACGAATTCTTCTTCGTTTTCGGTTTGTGAATTCAGTAAATTAGTGATTCAATTAGCAGTTAAGTGTTGTTCCGATAATGGTGACGGGTATTGCGGTAAGTTAGTCAACCGTGTCACGGCATTTTACCCAAATCAGTTTGCCCAAATAACCGTAGATTCCTGCATTACAGACATAAACACCACACGACAGTATTGTGGAGACCAATACTGGGCTAAAACCGTGACACAGTTATAAAGCTTTATAAGCTTCACGAGCTTTATTAGGCTGAATTAAAGAACATCGTACAACGAGAATACGTTATTACGCCATCAAAATCGTGCACATTAGTTTGCGACCTCTGTCCATGAAATCGTAAGGAAACTTCCACCATCCGTTACACAAACTTAAATCTTAAAGGAGGTTCCATTGAAAAGAAGGAAGGAAACATTGCTGTCACGAAAATAACAACATACACACAAGTTGTAAAAAGCTGTAAACACTATACAAACTTGTATACAGAGGACTCCCAAACAAGGACCGAGGCCGGCCATATCTGCAGAGTTTAAACCCGTACAACGTGAACACAGGATCGCTTGGTTATAATCTGACGCATTTGTGGGGCCTCTCTAAAAGCAGAACGTAGGAGATTAGGGAAAACTGGTAAGGGAGCAATCTGCAGACCCAAACAAAGTTACAAAAGTCACCTTCTGGGTCGTACTCGTCCTCGCGCAACCGCTTAGGTACACTGTCTTCAGAACTGGCAGCCGATGCGGTACGGTTATCAGGATTTAAACCAATTACACCTATAAATAACACACCACGTGCACGCTTAAAGAATTTCACACGGTATGCAGGTACTATTTACAGGCAGTTTCACTGCACCTTGAAAACTACACAAAATATATAAATATACCACCTTTAGAAACACACTACGTACGTTCGGGTATATTCATAACAACAGGGCAGAATCCGATCCGTTCTTCAATTATGGTCTGTCCCTGCTCAGTCCAACGAGAAGGCAGTTCAGTTTCGTCCAAAACTTCAACAGTCTCTTGCATAATGTCATCCAAAAAGGCAGACATTCCACCCATCACATAAATTTTATTATCCAGAAGCAAGACTCCAGCAAGACCGCGGCAGTGCGTCAATGGACCTGCAGACGAAGCAAAATTAGGGACTTCAAAATCACACACAGCCGACACCTCCAACCATTTCGCTGCCATTTATCCGTAATGGGATTGTACGCATCCACGTCTCGAACGGCGCTGCTGTCACGCGGATGCCCATTGAATCCTCCTGCGCACAAATACAAATCGTGCTGACAACTGCCATTACAAATCCGCTATTTCTATAGCCCTCACGCACAATTTCAGAACCTACTTACCGATAACGTAAATTAACCCACTTGGCGCAACGCAGGCAGTGCATCCATAGCGAGGTTTCGGCATTGGGGCCATTCTGGTCCACTCATTAGTTAAGGAATTATACCGCCAAACAATGCAGCAGACAGAGTAATTCTGCGACATGCCCCCAAAAGTGTACAAATACTTGCCCCAAGCAACAGCTGCAAAGGAAGCCAATGGAATTGGAAGAGGGGCAACAAACTCCCACCGATTGCCGCATGGGTCGTATCGTTCCACTGAATCCAGCTCGCAGCGCCCAGGCTTACCGTGTGCCTCGGTTGGCTGTCCCAAACCGAAACCACCCACGGCGTAGATATATCCGTTCAATGCAACAGCTCCGAAATGTACGCGCGCGGCTTGCATCTCCTGCATCAGGTGCCACTTATCAGATATGGGATCATACCGCTGAACTGCACACGTTACGGTATCCATATCGTCTTCTGGAACCATTCCCCCACACATGAAGAGACCACAATCCATCACCACAGGCCTAGCATCGCGAACGACTGTAGGCATCCAAGCCAGCTTACGTTTCGGTACCCGCAACGAAACTACAGGATCAAAACAATCCACCCCGTACCAGTTCTCGTCTGCGTCTGTTCCACCAACGAAGAGAATGGTTCTTGTCCAATCTAAAGCAGATAACCCAGCAATGATTAAGCTAACAAGATCGTGGAATTCAAGCCACGACATCACAATTGTAGATGACGACACCAGGTATGAGTCTTGCTTGTTGCAGATTAAGATCGGGATTCACAATTACACGACATCATTAACTGGAAATCGTCACATCCTTGCACACCATAATTACTTCTTGGATATCAAACATTCCAAAAAAAGTTAACACCGAATATCGCTCTAGGTGTCATCGGCAATATAGATAGCCTATGCACTAAAAGTTGTTACCAGACAGCTGCGGAACGGTGAAGCCCGGTTCAGCCAGGGAAGGTCCAACTTGCTCACCCGAATCTGCACTGCCAGTGCAGCAAGGTAAGCCCAACCCGTCAAGCACTTCACGGAGATAAGGTGTCCTGGAGACTGGTTCCTCCCGACCCCAACGGGACACACCATCAACAAGCACGCTTTCCGGAATATGCATGCCGCACGTCGCTGCATAACTAAAAAGGTCCACAACCTACACAACACACCCGAGGTATGTACTTCATTATGAGTTTTGGAAATTGGCAGTACAGAAAACAAATTTCCTTCACCTCTTGCTTTTCCATGCTAACGAACTCAGGGCTGCCAGAAATCTCGCTCAAATGTGCCAAAATAAATCTTTTGATTCGTTTCTCCAAACTTGGACAGTTTCGAGTCCGGATAAACTGGTAGATGGATACGCAATTGGTCGTATCGAAGTTTTGATCTAAAAATCGACAACAGGCACCCACAACAATCTCCACTCCAAGGTACAATGCTCCGTCCAGCAGCTCGTACACAGTTTCCCACTCGATTGCAATCTTTCCGGAATACACAAAATCAACAATTCTGTTCAAAAAAGTTATCGGTCAACAACAAAGTGATAGTTTTGAAAACCGAAAAAAAACGGGAAGTACGTACTGCGACAGAACTGCGTTAGGCACCTCAACCAGCGGGATTATTGCCTGTGTTATCGATTCCACCATACGCGACCTAAACATAGCCCGAAAGTAGCTGCTGCTGGCGCTTAATATCGCGCGATGACAGGGTAGATCGACGGGTTCTCCATCACCTCCGCGAAGGACTATATCACACAGAAAACGCTCCGCCCGCAAGTCTGATAATCCATCGAGAATGCTGGAAGGCTGGCTGAACAGAAAGCGGTCCATCTCGGCGACGCGAATTAGTTTAATAATAATACAATCAGTATAATTATCCGCACACTATTGGAATAAATATAAATCTCGACCAATAACAAACAGTATTCTCTAAACTATTTTGCAAAACTGGCGGTAAGTACTGTAAACTATTTTGCAAAACTGAATCCACACGATTGACTTACACCACAGAGTCTGGTGCACGGGAAAATTCAAGCTCAGTATACCCACTTTGCTCCCTGCACAAGTCTTTGATGTTCTGCTTTCAATTTCAAACTATTTCTTGGCGAACTGTTCTAGAATAGATAAAAATTTTATTTACGTATTGCCAACAGAAATCTGAAGTAATGACAAATTTAGAGCTCTAAAATTTTCGTTATCCTGGTTTGTTGTGGTTTTTGGGGTGCCCCTGACAGGGGCAGGGGCTTCACAGTTAAGTAAACTGGCAACGTGTGCCCTGCCCGGTGGGAGGGTGTCTCGTGCTGAATACCCGGTCGGGTGCAGGCAGCGGCCGGATACAGTAGAACAGGCAAGCTTTACACTCGCTGCCATTGTGCGGAATGGTACTGTATCTACACGAATGGTACTAAATACAGTAGTAGCACCGTGAGTGCCGTTGCACTTAAATTGTAATTGTGGCAACGATGGAACAGTGCTGTTTAAACTTATTGATTTTTCGAAGATAACTTGATATTATTAGGAATTTTTAGCTTGAAAGCGCAATTTCTGGTAGTACGTTTTATGATACTTCATGTGGACCATTCCGTTCCGTGAATAAATCTGCGCGAGCATACACTAATTACAAGGAATATTTCACTACGTTAACTGAGAATGCAAAGGTTATCCTCTTCCGACCAAAAGATCAATTCTATGCTGTCAATGTGGAACCGACTGATCCCAACGCATTCGCTGAGGCGCCCGAGCACCTGCAGCCAGAACCTGTTGAATTTGAAGCGCGGAAGCCAGATCCACCCTTGCTGGAGGGCGTGAGGCTGCGCCCTTTAGACCATATCGTGGGAGCTGGAACAGCAAAAGAGCTGGAACAGCAAAAGCTGAAAAGGGAGAAACATTTGCCTGAAGAAAAGAAAACGCCTCCCATGAAAATTCGCATACGTTTTCACTTCTATTTTATAATTTTACGTCTTGTAAAAAGCTCTTTACAATGTACCGTTGTGCACAGTGCGGTGCAGTTTACATCAGTCTGTGGATTTATTTTTTGCTGTTTATTATCTGACCGTGCCACGTATTCAGAGCACGTTTTGTTTGCTTTTCGTTGTAAAGCCGTCACTTAGCCGTACTACGGTTTAAAGAAACAGTACCATTTTGTGTTGGCTCTTAGCCGTGCTACGGCTACCACCGCTGTACTTCATGAGGTCACCGCAGCTCAGATTCAGAAAACCATTGATAAATTATTTTGTTAGGTCAATGTCGTCCGAGAGCCGCTGACACACGAAAATGATCGGTACGGATACCAGATCACCGACGGTGAATTTCAAGAATACCCCGCTGCGGTGGTTGATCCTTTTCTTACCGGTATTGCAATGCTAGAAAAGGATGAGGAAATATCTGAGGAGGCGATCATGTGCCATCTCGGCAATTCATAGTTCGATATTAGGCGCGGTATAATAAACGAGAAGAGAAGTCCAGCTACGATCAACAAAATTCTCATCGGAAAACTGGATGCAGAAATGGTTGATAGCATCTGGAGCGAATTCCTTAAAACCATCTTTGACGTTCGCGGTACCAAACACATGGAGATAATTGTGGATTTTCTAAACTTGGTTGCCAGACCAAGTTTCAACATGAAAACAAAAGAAAAGGATACATTAGTGTTCCGATAACCCATCGTTTCATTCTTAAAGTATATACAGCATCTTAATTTTGCAGAGATATGCGTTTTCTTTAACCCAGAGAATGTTATTTGGGGACATACTAAATTTATTTCCATGAAGGTAAGGGTTTTGTACAGGAAAACACTTGGGTGCCCAGCACTCACTCACATAACTGTATTTTTCAGGAACTACTGGATTCGGCAAAGGGATATATCAGTCCCAGTGACTTTTCCTTAAGACTGCAAATACAGAACTGACTTCCGTCTCTACTAATTTCTTCAAGAAGTGAATAACTGTAAATTGAGGCAGCATAGGGTTTTACGAAGTTACAATCTGCAGGCCAACGAAAATCGTATTAACTTATAAGAAATTTATAAAGCAGAGATAACCTTATAGAAAAGGTAGCGGTGTAATGCTTCCGTTTCCAGAGAGTGTGTGTGACAGTTCTTTTTTTGTTAATTTATTTGGAGCTGGTTACTCGTTAAATTAGCCCGTTTGTAGTTGAACCTTATGTTTATCGACACGTTGAGGTAAACTAGATACAGCATTTCAAAATTTGGGTGTTTCTCTGATAAGTCTCTGGGGTTGTATGAGCCGTAGCGATGGATGCAAGATTATCGCACAACGATCTGCATTTACATTGCGATGATTATTATGCATTGTGATTTGTGCAGACGTACAAGCTCTAGTAACGTTAACTACAACTTTGTTATCTCGACTTAAGGTGGCAGCATAATACATTTATTACGAACCACCACTCAAGGCACAAACAACCAACTGATTGTGGTTATGCTACAGAACAACAATGGCACACTGCAACCGCAGTGGTCATGCTAGATAGACGACACGCAGAGGTCACTAAAGGACAACACATTCTCGTGACATCAGTACCACAGCACTACGCCACATTTGTATATTCCATTGCTTACAACGGTTGCGCGACAACTTTTCGTTGGACTTTTGTGTCCAACCAAACGTTCTGCATGCGATTTGTGCAGATTTCGATTGGCGATAAACCATTTTTTGCTTTTGTTATGAATCTCCCTGATGGGCTGTGATAAAGTCACCATATCAGGCAAAGTCCACGTTACGGCATATGTGAAAACATCAACGTCGTCGAATACAGATGACTGGACTGGCGGAATTAAGGGTACACAGGGCTACGGTGTTGACCACTGGTTCCACGAACACTTTATGTGTGTCTGCAGTCATGTCTTGCAGAATAGCAAGCGATGCTTGACACAAGAATTCCAGTAGGTTATCGAATGTTCCTGACCGTGAGAATGCCTGAATAGTCAGTGAAATAACAAGCGATGTTTAATTACATTGTTCGCATTGGGCCGTGATAATGATTACAGCGCAGCCCAGATCTTGCTCAAATACATCTTTAAAGCCGACAACAACTTAATGTCGATCTACAGAACAACAACATTCTGTTTGCAGAGCAAATAAACCGTATTTTTCAGTACTGATGTTCTTTCTGCGCTGCATGTTTACTGTCTAATAACCTGGTATTGCTGTAAATGTGTGAGTGCCTACGTGCTAACTAGTAACTACGTCTACGTGGCAGCTAACCACCTTTTACTCCACGACTTTTCGTGCTGTTTAATGCGCCGCTGACGGAGGGCCCACCACAGTAAACTTTTGTGGCATTCAAATATTTCTATACTTTACATCAGGTGCATTTCCTCGGCATTAAATATCCCGTTGTTCTGATGATCAATTTACAATTACTCATGTGTCATTAAAAGAAGACCACTAAGAGCAACCGAAAAAGCTACACTTTATAACATCGAGAGTTCATTTTACTTTTCCGCTTCACCCATTGTAATATACTACACACTGGACCCCATGGATTGGCAGCTGCGGTTACTACCGTTTGGGCGTCTTCCATGCAAGGTCGCACGATATCTTACACTGTCAGCACTCAGCAAGAAACACATACCAGCTGACTTACACCGGAAGTCTCTGCTAATTCCATTTCCGGTTACCCACGATAAAACGTGAACAGACGAAAGAAGAAGATCATGGCGCACGGTAACAGGCTTTGCTGTAGCAAATCAAAGGAAAGCTAAATTTAAACAATGCATACTCTTTAGTTCTACCTTTCCAGCTGAACCAAATCCAACAGATTTATTAGAAAGGTCGTTTGATTTTACATACGTCCGCCTTCATAAGACATCGATATGATAACACAGTCACTGAACCGTAAATGCGAAGACAACCAACGAGATAATTTACAAAAGTGATCAATCTACAAAAACCGAATCTGTACAAAATAAACTGCCTACCAGCGAAACAGAATGACCAAATCCAACAACCGCTAAAGCGCTACGCATTGTCTTTAAAATTCACTTTTCGTCAACCATTCAATTGCACGTTACATTCATGCCAGTTCAGCCGGAAGATAAGCGGTCAGGTGAACTTGCAGTTTCACGGAGAAGTCCCTTGGATCGACGTAGCCGTTTGCCGGATCCAGTAAATCCTGAAACAAACCGACATCAAGGCTGTACCGACACATTTTAGACTTTCAAACGCACAAAATACTTCACCTCCATAAATATAAAATCCGAATATCCCCAACTGTCTTCTTCCTTGCAAAAGAGATGGGTTGTCGCTACGGAATTTAAAGCATACTTGTACATAAGAGAAAATAACAGCACAAGTTTCCGGAGATTATCGTAAACCTATGGTAACCCATACTGCTCTTAATAGGTGCAACTTCCGCGTACCACGGCAACAGGCGAAGTTCTGCGGTAACACGACACGCCCAACGGTCGGATTTCGGATAGTCAGAACACGACAGGTAGAAGCCCAGCACAGGAAGCTCCTCATCCGTTCCCTTATGCACCACAATACTCCTACACAATGATACATTTGTATGCCGTTTTACAACATTATTAGATTCGTGTACGACAACCGGCACCGACTTACCAAAGCAGCTTTCCAACGCGAACGGGGACGCTGGACACAGGTTTCCATAGCTTCCGTACATCCACAACGGTATAGTCCACGATGCCTTCAGCGCGTAGCTCTAGAAACGCCACGCAAGTTCAACACCATCGTTCCTGTCGACGGATAATGGGATAAAACGTAAAGCATTGTTACGCGGGTACTTTGTCGGGATTCCGTAGGGAACGGCAGCTCCGGTTTGATAGCTGCGTGCTTAAAGCGGTAGATGTCCCATCCTTCCGATGGCAGCAACAAACCGTTCTAAACAGACAAAATCAATTCAGCGAACGCGTGCAACTCTCTCCGTCTGACCATTGTTAGTCTCAGCGGCCTCCAAAATAATGACGGAATTCAAGGACTGACTAGGGCGCTTCTTGTCATGCGAATCCCAGTTTTGTAAAACAAGGATTATAAATCGATGTCAAGGCACTCTTACCTTTACGGGTCCGTTCATCAGCTGGACGTCAGTCAAGAGCGTGAATCGGATGAGAAAAAAGGTTTGGCCCAATATTTGGCGCCGATTGGTGGAGGAAGCGTCCATGTGTTTCCGTGTGCACCTTTGCGTAGCCCACCTGCCAAAAATCAGCTGATAAAACTTGGAATTATCAGCATTCTGGGGTTTCTTGCTAAAAGAGGTCTTTAATTACTTGTCTACCGCGGAATAAATCGTGTCTTCGCTGGCGGTCAGCGTATCCCGTTCGAGAATGATGCGTAGCGCCTCTTCTCCAATCTCACAGAACCGATCGGATTCCCAGACCGTTTTTGCAGATTTGTCAATCAGGCAGGCACTTCTCCAGGACGCTTGGTGCACCTTCGCCGATTCGAACTGCCTGCATAAGTAAAACTGCGCATATCTGCCGTAGCGGAATGAAACGAAGCCGAGCCAACCTACCATATCCAGCAGATCGAGACAGCTGTCGATACTGATCTGATTCAGAATAAAGTTGGTGCAGATTGCTCCCAGTAATGGCAAGCCATACTTGTTCGCGCAGCGCAGAGTGTGGAAAGCGTTTTCCCGGGAGAGATTCTTCACAGCATCGGTGTAGATGTAGCTGTAAATTTTGCTGCGTTGTCATTAGCGTCAATCTGGAAAGAACGATAATCAAACATTGTGCTAAACAAACAGACCTGAGCATATTAGCGAAGGCCTCGGGATGCACATCAGGCACGTCGATATGAGCTGTGTAGCTTCCCGGGATAGTTCCATAGAACACCTTATCAAACATTGCCTGGAGCACAACGCTACGAACACCCACGATGAGTCTGCAAGACATCAGTATACTCGCCAAGAAACCAGCTTGGAAATCACGGATAAGAAGGGCAAGTCCAGAAAGTGACATAACAGCGAGAATTCACCTGTGAGCGAGAAAAATCTTTTCTGCACAATGAAGCCGTCCCACCGTGAACTGGACATCGCTCCTTTCGCCGCTAGCTAGGATGCGCTGCAAACCGTCACTGATCTTCGCGATCCCGGCACGACTCCCCGAATCGCGAGACTGTGTAATGGAATTCAGAGACATGTCTACAGAGAATTTGCCAAAGTGAATTCACAATGGAAATTCAGGAATTCGGACCAGGCAGAACGCAAGTAATCGATCTTGCATCTGGAAGTCGCATAAACCGCTAAGGAACCACAGAATTTAGAAAATCCGAAGGAAATGACTATGCTTTAGCATTCACAGTACGAAGCTATATTGCATGGAAGTTAACGGAATACTGAAGTGGTGTACAGCCGGCAGAAATTTAATCCTTCACCTAAAGCAGCTTGAACTTCAGGCTTAAAAAACAGCGGAACGGAATGACCGTCGCCCGGTTGATGCGAATATACGTATTACACCGGGCCACCGGCTATAACAGCGTATCGGTTAAATTCCACTCTGCATGTGGCGCCCGCTTCGCGTCCGCTGTTTGCTTCGTTAGCTGTTAGCTTTCATTTTTATTTTTTATGACCTATGTAGCGGTGAGAGCTATTTCCTTCGGATTTTTCATATTCTGGCTGGTGAAATAGTAAACTGATTCATATGGTTTCTTGCATGGTTACACTGTCTGGGTTCTGACTTTTGGGTCTTACTTACCTAAAATTCGATTGTGAAATCGCCTTCACGAATCCGTTGTCATGTCTCAGAATTCGATTGCGCCGTCCTCGGATTCAGCAAATCGCACCGAGATCGCGCATATCAGTGAAGGCATGTACCTAATCTTAACCAGCGCCCAGCTAAGCGACGTCCAGTTCGCGATGGGACACGATCATGGTACCATGAAAATCTTTCCAGCGCACAGGTTAGTCCCCGCTGCCATTCGAATCTCAGTGTCCCTTTGATTCTAGCAACTCCTCCGACTGACTAATTTTTTCTAACTATCCAATCGTCGATACAGACTCATCCTGAGTATCCGCAGTGATGTGTTCGACACCATGTTCTACGGAAGCGTACCACAGAACTGGTCAGTCCCGATCGACATCCCCACATTCATCCCGAGGCGTTCGCTAACATGCTCAGGTGTGTCTGTCGTTCTGCGTATTGCTGCGTACTGCGTAGTGCGTATTGCCAGATACTGTACAGCGAAGATCGCAAATAACAACATAGCACCCTTTGCAGCTACATCTACACCGATGCCGTGAAGAACTTTTCCCAGGATAACGTCTTCCAAACGCTAGTCTGCGCGGACAAGTACGACTTGCCATTGTTGATCGCCATGTGCGTTGAGTTTGCCCTGAAGGATTTGAAAATCCCGAACTGTCTAGATATGCCGGATAGTGTGAGTTTTCTCCCGTGTTAACCACAGGCTGCTTACAACCGATTTTAATTGATTTTTTTGTGCAGGCGGTTCTTTATGCAAGTGTTGCGCCAAGTATCTTGGAGAAATGTTTGTGCCTAATTGATGAATCACCTAAAACAGTGTGGGAGCTGGAGCAGTTCAGTGCGATTGGACTCGAAGCTCTCCGCATGATTCTCCAACGGGATACGCTGACCGCGAGTGAGGACACGATTTATTCGTCGGTTGAGAAGTACATAAATGCAAGCCGTCAATTCTCTTTTCGTTCCACGAAAACTTCAGCTCGTTGTGTCTGTGACCTTTATCAACCCGATTTGGCAGCGCCTTTCTTGTATCATAGAAATGTATCGGCGATCGCAATTATATGAAGCGTTGTTTCTCAGGTGGGCTACAGACATGTGCAAGGTGAGAAACGTGGACGTCTCCTCCGCTAATCGACGCGAGATTTTGGGCCAAGCGTTGCACCTGATTCGGTTCCGCTCTTGGATGATACTCAGCTGCTGGATGGACCCGTACAGGTACGGTCTTCACCTGGCTTTCTGATTTATTTTCCGTAAGTCTTCAGGTCACAAGGGGTGACCAAAACAGACTTTGGTTTGCGCTGATCGTTAGGACCGATGGGAACATTGTTAGCGGAAATTGTAAAAGCTGACAGTATCTCGTTGATGAAATCTAATGGGTAAAATGCTTTACTCAGACTGGTTTACTGCTGCAATCGGAAGCATGGGACATCTGCCAGTACAAATACGCCGACAGCAAACCAGAGCTGCCATTTTCTACGGAGCCACGTCAAAGTCAGCATGTTCCTTCGTTAAGAGAGTTTCAATCATTTTTTAACATGTGTCATTTCCAGATGTGCGCGCTGAGGGATTCGTTAATTTTACGATTCCGGATTTGAGGGAGCTCACTGAGAAGAGCATGTACAGCGATCCCATTGCAGTGAAGAAGCTGCTGTGGTAAGCATAGCATAACAGAGAGAGAAATTTTTGAACGTCCAGACACTCGCCGTTTTGCAGGCGCATCGGCGTGGCCAAAAGCACTAAAAACGGATATCCGACTCTGGGTTTCTACCTCGGATGTTTGGGCGATTCAGAGTCTGATTCTTGGAAGTAAAGTAACAGTAGAATTCCGCCTGCTGCCCTGGAAAACGGGAACTGCAGCAATTAAGAAAAGTATGGCATCCTCTAGCATCTGTTGCTTAAGAACATTGCAAAGGTATCGTGTAATTTTGCAGAGGACGAATATCTGTTCTGCAAGGAGAACGTGGGCTAGGGAACTTCTAGATTCTCCTCTATGAAGGTGAGGATTGTGTGCGGGGAATCCTTGGTTGGATATGGCTTTCCAAAGCTTGTGTTTTCAGGAATTACTGGATCCGGCGAAAGGCTACGTCAATCCTGAGGACTTCTCCTTGAAGCTGCAAGTTCAGTTGACGGCTAGTGTCCCTGCTGGAGCGAATTAGTGCAATGGGTCACTGAGTGTTTTACGAATATGGACTACAAATGTTAGCAACTCAAATATTCAGGTTGAAAGTTCTGGTTGGCTGGCGATTCCCGGCGAAGGCCTGTGTTTTTCGTTCATTACCGATTTTTGTACAACTAATTTTTGTGGATTGGGTAATTTTTAAGAGTTCGTAGAATTCCGTCTGCATTGACTTAAAATAGGCAGATGAACCAGTTTTTTTCTATCGGTTTTGGTACAGCACCTTGTTTACCGCGGTCTCCTTTCGGCTTCCGCTTCCGGCAATGAAGTTCATTGGCTGTGGCGCTTAGTAATCACATGCCGCTGACATTCGAGAAAATTAAAAATTTCAAATTGCCCACAAACCTAGTACTGGTCACCAAAAATGCAGAATGCAAATAAACAAACAAACTTATTATTTATACAATTATTATTTATTATTTATTTATTATTACTTATTATTTATTATTTTCTATTTGTACAAATAAACGTTGTAACCAGGCCGCCCCATCGGATCTCAACCGTCGAGAGCGCATCAGAACCGTAAGTATCAACCGGAGGACAAACATTTTATACAAGCACCGCTGTTATCATAACCAAGCCAGCAGATTTGTGAGAAAGACAACACCCTTTATTTGGTACATGTAAATTAGCGCACAGAGATCAATACAAAGCCACGAAAACTAACCCTAAGTTACAAGGGCAACGGATTCCAGTAGGCTAATTCAACGACTTTCAGGTCCCATTGCGGCCTTAAAATTTGCAAAATAAAAATGCGTACAATAATCCTGTGAAAACGAAAGAATCGCTTCACCATTGTCCCGCTAGTCAACCCGAACAAAAAATAGGCAAGCAAAATTTTCCTAGGTTATACCTTCTGTCACTCATTCGTTTGGCACATTAAACTATATAATTCCAGCGGTGACCATGGTCAGGTGAATTTGCAGTCTGAAGGAGAAGTCTTTCGGATTTACGTAGCCGTTGATCGGATCCAGTAATTTCTGGAAAGGCAGCCTTATGTGACTAATAAACCTGCCAAGCCTTTCACCGCGCTAAACTCTCACCTCCATAGAGATAAATGTAAGACATCCCCAGCAATGGATAGTCTTGTCGAACAGGTGCGATGTCTCTACAAAATTTAGAGTTACCGTTGCGAAGAAATCACGGGGTAACTGAAATTATAACAGCCGCATTAAACGACCATACGTTTTAAATTGGTGCAGTTTCCGCTTTCCACGGCAGCAGGCGCAGCTCCGCATTAAACTGACACGTCCAAACCGATTTCGGATAGCCAGAACACTGCATGTAGAAGCCTAATACGGGAAGCTCTTCATCGGTTTCCTTACTGACGAAAATGCCCCTGCAGAACGACGCATATGTGGCGCAGTCAACCTTTAGACACATGGTTTCATCAGCTGCATGTGCTACGGCAACTCACTCACCAGGAAAGCTTTCCGATGGTCGTCCAGTCACTGCACATATACTTCAGCGACAGCTCTCTGGCATCCGCAACCGTGTAGTTAACGACACCCTCTGCGCGGGCCTCTGGAAAAATCAAACAGTCTTTGTGACGTGAATGCGGTTTTCATCGAATAAATGAACGCCCTAAGTAACGCTAACGATGGCGGGGCTCCGTCGGGAACGGCAGCTGCAGCTTGATGGTGGCGTGCTTGTATCGGTAGATATCCCATCCTTCGGATTGCAGCAATAAACCGCTCTAATAAAAACGCAGTAATTTATTCATCGCATCCTTTTGCACTGCGAAAATCGAGTGTTTTGCCTACGCATGTTGATAAGTCGCAGCCGTCATTCCTGATTTTAACCGACACTGGAGAGTAGCTATAACCCTTACAAGGAGATAGTTCGTAAACCGATGCAATATCCATACCTTAATGGGCCCATCCATGAGTTGCGCAACTGTCATGAGCGGGAATCGAATTAGAAACAACATCTTGCCCAATACTTGACGAAGATTGGCAGAGGAAATGTCCATGTTCCGCCGCGTGCACATGCTGGCAGCCCATCTACCAGAAGGTAGCTGTTAAGAGGCTTAAAAATTACAGAAACAGCGAATACAACTTTCGGTATCGGTTCGTCGGTATCAACCGACGAACAAATCGTGTCTTCGTCGGCGGTCAGCCTATCCCGTTGCAGAATGATGCGTAGCGCTTCTTCACCAATCGCGGAGAACTGCTCTGATTCCCAAACAGTTTTTGACGATTTGTCAACCAGGCATAAACACTTCTCCATGATGCTTGGCGCAACACTGGCGTACTGCATGGCCTGCATAACACAGCTTGTGAAAATCTGTAGCAAAATAATCCGAAGAAACCTTACAACATCCAGCATATGCAGGCAATTGTTGATACTGATCACATCAAGGATAACGTTGGTGCAGATGGCAATCAATAACGGCAGGCCATATTTGTCAGCGCACAGCAGAGTCGGGAAGACTTGACAGATTCTTGACAGCGTCGATATACATGTAGCTGCAAAGTTTACTGTGGCGTTATTCGCTGCAAGCGATGCACAAATGTTGCACTGTAGACCTACCTGAGCAGATTAGCGAAGGCCTCTGGATAAAAGTCCGGAATGTCGATGCGAACCGTACAGCTCCCTGGCGTCTTTCCATGGAACAGCTTATTCATCATTGTATGGAACACTGTGCTGCGGACACCCACGATGAGCCTGCATGGAAGTTATGGAACCACTGACAGTTAGTAAGAATTCCATCAGCAGAGACCATGGACTTGATCACTCACGAACAAGGACGGTGCGGGCAAACTGGAACGACAATAAAGGCTTACCTGTGGGCTGGAAAGACCTTCACGGCACCATAATCCCCTCCGACCACGAACTGGACATCACTCCTTTCGCCGCTAGCTAAGATGCACTGAATCTGGGGATGGGGCAGTCAAATTCTGAGACATGACAACTGAAAATATGGAACGCGAACCGACAATCAAATCTTCAGCAGGTCCGAGTAAGGAAAATGCAAGTAGTCCAAAATGTAGCCTAGAGCTCTTTCAAGTAGTACGTATATCATATCATCATCCAGAGTTTTAACAAATGTGAAGAAAAATACAAACCCAAACACAGAAAATACTGAAGGGTAGTATAAGTACGACGAGTACTTATACTACTGCCAGTACTCGTCGGTTGGCGCAAGTGAACGAAAGAACCAAGAGAGCCGACAACTTGATTAAACCGGCTGTAGCTGCAAACCGGCTAAGGTGTACCGTGTACGTCGTAAATCAAATTAATCTGACGTCCACTGCACTTCGGTATCGAGTTGATCCATCCTGAAGTGCCTCATGGTGTTGATGACCATTCGCTGCAAATTTTTCTAATTCTGGCTGGTGAAATATCTGCTTAATAATATCGTTTGCTCGACTTGTTGAAAATTTGATTAATAATTCCCGTTCACAAATTCTACGTTGCCATGTCGCTTAATTTGACTGCATCACCCTCGGATTCGGGAAATCGGGACGGGATCGCGAAGATCAGTGATGGCATGCAACTCATCTTAACCAGTACCGAACTGAGCGATGTCCAGTTCGCTGTGGGACGGGACTATGGCGACGTGAAGACCTTCCTAGCTCACAGGTGAGTCCCTTGAAATTGCATATCGCCCTCATCAAGAATGTAAAAACCATCTGCTTGACAAATTTTTTCTGAATTGTCCGTTTTGTCATGTGCTAGACTCATCCTGAGCATCCGCAGCGATGTGTTCGATACCATGTTCTACGGCAGCGTACCAGAGACTTGCTCAGCTCCCATCGACGTCCCGGACATTCATCCCGAAGCCTTTGCTAATATGCTCAGGTGTGTCTATTGCACCGTACTGCTCACCATGTTTTCTTAGAAGCCGTGCAGCGAACACCGCAAATGACAACATGGCACCCTTTGCAGCTACATCTACACCGATGCCGTGAAGAACTTGTCACAGGATAACGTCTTCCATACACTGGGCTGCGCGGACAAGTATGACTTACCATTGCTGGTCGCCATCTGCGTTGAGTTTGCCCTGAAGGAGCTGAAAATCCAGAACTGTCTGGATATGCTGGATAGTGTGAGTTTTCTCCAGTGTTAACCATAGGCTGCCCACAACCGATTTTAACTGCTTTTTTTTTGTGCAGGCGGTTCTGTACGCAAGTGTTGCGCCAAGTATCCTGGAGAAGTGTTTGTGCCTGATTGATGAATCAGTGGAAATTGTGTGGAAGCTGGATCAGTTTTGTGCAATTGGATACGAGGCGCTGCGCATCATCCTCCAGCGGGATATGCTGACCGCCAACGAAGACAAAATTTATTCGGCGGTTGAGAAGTAAATGCATGCCAGCAGTCCTCTTCTAGTGCCACGAAAGTCTTTGTTGGCTATATCTATACCATTTATCAACCTAGTTTCGGCAAACACCTTTCTTCTCCCTTAAAAATGTATCTGTGATCATTCCAAACGTTTCTTCTCAGGTGGACTGCAAACATGTGCAAGTCGAAAAACGTGGGTGTTTCCCCCGCCAATCGCCGCGAAATAGTGGGCCGGGCGTTGTACCTGATTCGCTTCCCGCTTTTGACTGACACTCAACTGCTGGATGGACCCGTGCAGGTACGCTCTTCGCACAAGCTTTTTAACGTACTTGTACCTTTCGTAAGGCTAAATGCCACTGAAAAGGGGCGATATAACCAGGTCTTCGCTTCGCTTTACCTTGCAGAAAGTGTAAAAGAAGTACTGTAAGCATTTCAGGAGTAAAATGTAATGGGTGAAATGCTGTCTTTATTCAGACTGGTTTGTTGCTGCAATCGGAAGCATGGGACATCTGCCAGTACAAACACGCCGTCATCAAACCAGATCTGCCATTCCCTACGGAATCACGACAAAGTCAGGGCTACTTCGTTTCGGAAATTTATTTAAGCCTTTTTAAACTATTATTTTCAGATGTGCGTTCTCAGGGCGTCATTAATTATACGATTCCGGATTTGAGGGAACTCAGTGAGGCAAGCAAATGCAGTGATCCCATTTCAGTCAGGAAGCTGCTGTGGTAAGAATAACATCGGCACATGGGAGAAGCAGAACTGCAGAACGTCCACGTCTCAGTCAACCGTCGATTTTACAGGAACATCGAGGTGGTCAAGAGGACGGATAGTGGATCCGCTACTCTGGGCTTTTACCTAGAGTGTTCTGGTGATCCAGAATGTGATTCTTGGAAGTATCAGGTTACAACAGAATTTCGCCTGCTACCCTGGAAAACGGGAACTACAGCAATTAATAAACGTATGTCTGCTTACGGTAACCTGAAGCAACTGTTGGCTAGGAACATCGCAATGGTATACTGTAATTTTGCAGAGTTTGAGAAATCTGTGTTCGACAAGAAGAAGCCGTGGGCAGGAACTTCGAGATTCGCCTCTATGAAGGTGAGGGTTTTGTGCGGGAAATCCTTGGTTAAACATGGGTTTACAGGAGCTCGTACTTTCAGGACTTACTTGATCCGGCGAAAGGCTACGTCAATCCTGCTGACTTCTCCTTGAAACTGCAAGTTCACCTGACCGCAGATCTTCCTGGTGCAGCTGGATAATGCAGTGTTTCAAGGAGCGTCTTATGGATATGGACCAGAAAATAATACCACTTGAAGTATTCAGTTGCACGCTCAGGTTGGCTGGCGATTCCCGGCTGATGTATGTGTTTTTCACTTAAGGACGAGTTTTGTAGCGTTAATTTTTTTGTGAACTGATTACCTTGTGGTTGGTCGTAAAATGTCATTAGAAATCGCTGCGCTATAAGCGTTTCTTAACGTTTTGTATTGATCTAATTTGAGCAGGTGTTGGTGGTGGTTGCTCAGTTGTATTCCTTCTGCAGCTTTTGCTGTAAGAGAATGGAGAAACCAAAACAATTATGGTCCGTTGCAATTACTATAACGTCTGCAATTTGTCGTATTCGCATTTACAGTTCTACAGTAACTACCTACGTTACGTTTATTACGCGGTACCTTTATTGTCATGTGTCCACTCATAATTCTTCTTGTATCGTGCACTGCTTTTACTTAAATCATGTGCAGCCTCCCCTCTTCGTTTGCGGATTGGAGTTTTCGCTTTCGGCAACGCAGTCAATTAGCTTTGGTACTTAGTTACCATTTGCCGATGATATCTCAGAAATTTTCAAAATGACTGAAAAATTCCAGAATGAGCCATTGTTTGTAAATAGCATCCGATGTGTAAATCAAAGTACACATCTTCCTTCTCTACCCATGTCGCAAAGTGTATGCGCGTAGACATGACTCACTGTAATTTATAAGACCTGGTTTATAAAGCTGGTAACATTCATACAAGATTATTGTTATTTCACAGAAACATTTCGTACAAATTGCTTAAGTTTATGAAATTAAGTGAACGGCTACAAACAAAAATATATACTGTATCCCCCACGGGCGAACAGCGGTCGCTAACTACGGTTTCGCTTCTTCCATGCAAGGTCGCAACATATCTTACACTGTCTAAAATTAGATAACGTGTACCAGCTGACTTAAGTCTGTGCGAACTCCTTTTCCGGCAATGCGCAATCAAACGTGAGCATCTCAAAGTAGAAAACCATGGCGCATGGGAACAGGCGCTGTTCAACCGAAGGAGAGCTGTATTTGAAGTTTACAGAGTATAACAATGCTCCTCTAAAAACGTTTGAATTGATACTGCTAACGATCAGCCATTACAAAATTAACATCTCCCGTCACACTTGAACAAAATCTAGTTCATTCATAAGGAGGACCATTAGAATAAATACTTCAGTATAAATCCCCCTTCATAAGGTATCAATAAAGTACATTTACACATTCTCTGAACCGTAAATACAATGACTCCTGAAACAATAATATTACGAACGTGATCAATCTACAAAAACGGAATCTGTAAAAAACCCATTGCATACTAGCGAACACCAATCCTAAATTCGCTCACCAAGCCGAACATTCACACACCAAAGTACCGTACTGTTGTCCTTTCGGTCAACCATTTAACTGCACATTGCATTTACGCCAGTTCAGCCGGAAGGTAAGCGGTCAGGTGGACTTGCAGTTTCAAGGAGAAGTCACTAGGATCGACGTACCCGTTTGACGGATCCAGTAAATTCTGAAACACAAACCGACATCAAGACCGTCAACGAATCGCTAACGGTTTTTTTAACCGCATCGAATACATTACCTCCATGGATATATATTCTTTATATCCCAAGTTATTCTTTTCCTTGCGAAACAAATGGGATATCACTACACAAGTTCAACATAATTAAGGCAAAGTATGTATAGAGTGAATGGAATTACCCTAACTCGACGGCAAATTTATACTTCTCTTAATGGGTGCAGTTTCCGCGTTCCACGGTAACAGGCAAAGTTCTGCAGTTACGCTGCACCTCCAAAGTTCGGATTTCGGGTCGGAGCCATAACACTTAAGGAAGAAGCCCAGCGCGTTGTTCACCTCGATTCCCCTGCAATATGACACATATGAATGTTGTTTCCGTTCAACGGCTTTGCAGCTTTCCCGTGCGATAGCCGGCTCACCAAAGCAGCTTTCCGATTTTCGTGGAGCGACTGGAGACGTACGTTGCCGATAGCGTTCTGACGTCCGGAACGGGGTAGTTAACGATACCCTCGACGCGTACCTCTAGAAGCGCAATATCGCTGTTGTGTACGGACTGCGTCAAAAGTTTAAAGCGTTGTTACGCGGGTACTTTGTCGGGGTTCCGTAGGGAACGGCAGCTCCGGTTTGACGGTAGCGTGCTTAAAGCGGTAGATGTCCCATCCTTCCGACTGCAGCAGCAGACCATTCTAAACAAAACCAAAGATTTCATCAAACGCGTCCGACTTTTCTCCGGCTGTCCACTTTTCGGCCATCTACGTTCAGAACACGGACGGAAGACAAAGCCACTTATCGGTGAATCTACCACTTGCTATGAATCAGATTATACTACATAGATCGATGGCAATGCAATCGTACCTTCACCGGTCCATCCATCAGATGAGCATCAGTCAAGAGCGGAAAACGGAGGAGAAAGAAAGTCTGGCCCAATATTTTGCGCCGATTGGCGGAGGAAGCGTCCATGTTCCTCCGTATGCACATTTGTGCAGCCCACCTGCCAAAAATCAGCGAATAAAACATGGAACTATCGGTATGTTGGCATTTCTTGCTAAAAGCGGCCTTCATTTACTTATCAACTGCGGAATAAATTGTGTCTTCGCTGGCGGTCAGCGTATCCCGTTGGAGAATGATGCGGAGCGCCTCTTCTCCAATCTCACAGAACTGATCTGATTCCCAGACAGTTTTTGTTGATTTGTCAATCAGACTCAGACACTTCTCCAGGACGCAGGGTGCAGCATTGGCGTATCGAACTGCCTGCAAAACAAAGCTGCCAATATCTCCTGTAGGAGAATGGAAAAACGAAGCTTAGCAAACCTACCGTATCCAACATATCGAGACAACTGTCGGTTCTGATCTGATTCAGAATGAAGTTGGTGCAGATGGCTCCCAGTAACGGCAAGCCATACTTGTCTGCGCAGCGTAGAGTGTGGAAAGCGTTATCCAAGGAGAGATTCTTCACATCATCAGTGTAGATGTAGCTGCAAATTTTGCAGCGTTGTCATTAGCGTTGATCTGGAAAGAGCGATAAACAAACATTGTGCCAAAAAAACCGACCTGAGCATGTTCGCGAAGGCCTCGGGATGAACATCAGGCAAGTCGATATGAGCTGTGTAGCTTCCTCCGACAGTTCCAGAGAACATTTTATCCAACGCAGCATGAAGCACAGAACTACGAACACCCATGATGAGTCTGCAAGACATCAGTATCATTGATAAGAAACCTGCTCTGGGAGTCTTGGAAATCATGGATAAAAACGAGGCGCCCTTAAGGAAATAACAGCGGCGATTCACCCGTGAGCGGGAAAAATCTTCTCGGCACCATACAGCCGTCCCACCGTGAACTGGATATCGCTTCTTTCGCCGCTAGCTAACATGCGCTGCAAACCGTCACTGATCTTTGAGATCCCCGCGCGACCCCCTGAACCGCGAGACGGCGTAACAGAATTCTCAGACATGTCCAAAGAGAATTTGCCAAAGTGAATTCACAGTCAAAATTCAGAAATTCGGACCTGGCAGAACGCAAGCAATCGAACATGCAGCTGGAAGTCGCATAAACCGCTAAGGAACCATTGGATTTAGAAAATCCGAAGGAAACGACAATGCCTTAATATCAACAGTATGAAGCGATACAACATGAAAGTCAACGGAATACTGAAGTGGTGTACAGTCAGCAGAAATTTAATCCTACACCTAAAGCAGTTTGAAACTGCAGGTTTAGAAATTGCGAAACCGAATGACCGGCGCCCTGTTGACGCGAGTATGCGTATAACACCGGGCCACCGGCTATAACAGCGCATCGGTTAAGTTCCACTCGGCATGTGGCGCCCGCTTCGCGTCCGCTGTTTGCTTCGTCCAGTGCGTCGTGTTTTGTCCAGCATCCAGATAGCTGCTAGCTTCCACTTTTATGACCTGTGTAGCGGTGCGAGCTATTTCCTCCGGATTTTTCATATTGTGGCTGGTGAAAATAATAGTAAACTGATTCATATGGTTTCTTGCTTGGTTACACTGTCTGCGTTCGACTTTTGGGTCTGACTTCCCTAAAATTCGATTGTGACATCGCCTTCACGAATCCGTTGTCATGTCTCAGAATTCGATTGCGCCGTCCTCGGATTCAGCAAATCGCATCGGGATCGCGAAGATCAGTGAAGGCATGCACCTGACCTTAACCAGCGCCCAATTAAACGACGACCAGTTCGCGGTGGGACACGATCATTTTTGTGGACTGGGTAATTTTTAAGAGTTCTTAGGATTCTGTCGGCTTTGACTTAAGTTTGGCAGATGACCCAGTTTTTTTCTACCGGTTTTGGTACACCACTTGTTTACCGCGGTCTTCTTTTGGTTTCCGCTTCTGCCAATGAAGTTCATTGGCTGTTGCACCTATTAACCGTGTTACATGTACTTTGTCCTGATGCTCGGCTCGCTACTTTTCCCTTGCCCAATGCCTGAATCACTTAGTATGTGCCGATTCTCATGAAATGCGCTTTCTGATTGTTAAGGGCGATATGCCCGTACATGCCGTTATCTGATATACCGTTCCACTGGTTGCTCTTTTATACCGATGTTTTTGCGCTTTTCTGCGACAGTCACAGCCGTGCAGCCTAATTTCCTTGAATAACAATTCTTGACTCGCAATTGCCGTCTCGTTCGTTGCCGTTTATGCATATTTCCGTAAACACCACATATTAGACTACGAAACCGGCCGGTCTTACACCGCCGTGACCTTTTCCGTTTATTTCGCTCTGCCATAAATTATGTAACAAATTGGTCCGACGACTGAGAAGCCACCTGTCGGTTACTACAGTCGCGTGCGATCGATATTTACGGCATCGTTATTCCGTTAACTGACCACCCGGCCGCCTTACGTTTCGTCTACGGAAGCCGTTTTCCCGCGTTCACAGTTCTACGATGGACCAAGCGCAACACCGTATTGTAAGTTGCACCAGTTATTAATTTTTAAAATAAATTAATTTTTCACCAACGCTAATTTGCCAGTGGTATATTTGAATATACCATACTCTTATACGTTCCGATTGGAACGTTAGAGTCAATGCATCAAGTGATGTCAGATATTCTGCCGTAATGTATATGCTGTAATACTGTTGTGTACTTTTGACTATTGTCAAAATGTTTGTTATAATTTATCCCGCTTATTAATTATGCATCGTTCGTGATAAAATTTAAATATGGTATATGAATTATCTCTTGTGCAGCGAATTAATAATCAGGTGTATATACATCAATTGTCGCAGACTTATTCGTTCCAAAATAATAATGAACTAGCGGCATTTTGCAATAATCTGTTTATTCAAAATTCGACTGTATTGTATGTCGAGTGGAAAAACCTGGATACTGAAGATACAGGATTTTATTTAAAATGCCTATTACGGATTCTCTTGTTCAGGATATTGTTGATCGTTTGGTATCGCTTGGTGGTATGCGCAATGTGCTGCAAATTCCTGAATAGAATAAATCACTAATCTCCGTATTTTAATATTTCAATATTTGCATTTTCTAATCGTCTTTATTGCGTACATTTTCTTTTCATGAAAATCATTGTCGGGCATTTCTTTACTTTCTTTCAGACATTTTAAGAAATGTTATTCGACTATAAAGTTCTTTGTCGCCGTACATCTGATGGCGTAATCTACTGGCGTTTTTATTCGGGATGCAAATCACGCTGCCGAAGAAGCTTTCGATTCCTTTTGTGATACCTTTTTTGAAAATAATCCTGAGGCATTATTAATTGATTACGTGACATTCAACCCCATCGGAAGCGGTATTAATGTACGTGAGAAAAGTACGGATCCGTATATACAAAAATATATTGCTGAGGCCACGTGCCCTTGTTGTAAACATTCTTATGTATGAATTTCATTGTTGCATTGGAATAAATCGACATATTCCTTTATCTCTTTCTTTTCAATAATCTGTTGTGAAATGCAATTCACATATAAAACTGTTTCACGTGATCATACGGGCCGAATAATTCACAGCGTTTGGCAGACAAAAGAAAGTGATGATGTTGATGAATTCGCAGATTTTTGTACTACCATTTTCAGCAATGATGCAAAAGTTTTGTTTGTCCATTGTATTGTCCTTGAGTCCAGGAGAGCACATTTAGTTGCGCCTCGACAAAACCTGAGTGACCTTTATGTTTTCCAGTATATAACAGAAACCGTGTGTCCCTGCTGTAACACGTTGTTGGTTAATGCGCATCGACAAAATCCGCATCGATTGTAAGATTCTCTTTTCTTTTGATGTGGTTTCATCATTCGGAAATTTATTTACAGTTTTCTGGATTTCATTTTATTATTTTTGTCTTCTTCTTGCAAATAATATTCATATTTTCCGGTTATGCTCTATAGAGCTACGTTTTATTTTTTGTACGTATCCATTTAAACAGCATAAATATTATGCTGCACATAGTATTCAACATGTATGTTATCAGATGAACTTTATTTTTCCAAAACGTGACCCGTTCTATATTAAAATAAGAGAATCGTTACCTCGGGATGAATCATCCCGTTATGTTTTTCTGGTAAAGATTCTTACCAAGATTGTTGGCTGTTGTTGTGCGCAGCCGGATGACAAAACTGATAAGTCAGCTGCGCCTGTTTTACCAATTCTGTATTCAGCGATCGGTCCGATAATTTCTTCTTGAACAATCGTGGTACCAAACCCATTTCCTGTTTTCTACTACTTTTTGTGTCATGGCCCTACCCGTCGTTTGAAATTGTGTGTTAATAAGATTGATTTAACCTGGATTCGGAGTATAGCTCCCATTCCACGGTTGATAAATTTTGGCTCAAGCATCGAAACAAGAAGCCAGAGCCAACCCTTCCTGGGAACGTCGTAGAGTCGTCTTCGGACTCCGACCCCCACACGGTTGATCAAGCAGATCTACACAACACAGCTTTCTATGAATCACCGGATCTGAGTGTTCATTCGGCAATACCTTTTGACCAAAGAATTGAATCCCTATCGCCTTCGCCCACAGGGTACCTTCTCCGGTCCGCTGTGAATCAAAATTTAAGCTGGACCGAACTGAAAGGTCGCCTTTCGATACTACGTAAACAAAACCGGAAATCTCGTAGAGCAAATAAAAAGTCAGCAAAGGCCATGGCGCCAGGCGACGCTGATGACGATAATCAGCCAGCAGAAAAAGGTTTTCAGCTTCGGGCCCCTAATATTCGGGACCTGCCGAAATTCACGGGGACTTTTCTTGAGGATGTCGATAATTTTATTCTTGAATATGAGTCACAGGGAACTCCTTTTACGGGTGGAAGTCAGGACAGTTACTTAGCTGTCTTCGAGCTTGTCTCAGGGCGACGCCCTCCATTGGTTTGTCAATCGTCCCGATGACAATAGCTGGGATGATTTGAAGAAGGCTCTTAAAGAGACCTTTGGGAAAAATCCCATCGACTTTGACCTCGAAGGCACCAGTTTGAAAATGCTTTCAACTGATGACCCTTTCGCGTACGTCACGCGAATTACGCGTATTGTGACGACGCGTAATCCTAACGCTTCCCCTGATGATTTGATATTACACCTTTTCCAAGGTTTGCCTGATGGCTTAAAAGCAGAAATCGTTTCCGTTTATGACGAGATCGAAGATACCACAGATTTTCTCGAGCGACTGAAGAACATATCGCGCGCCTATAAATATAGGCAACGTTTAGCCTTTCCTGAAGCTGGTGCGGGACCTTCACGCCGACCGCCTCGGGTTGAAACCGAAACGGTTAAACGGACGACACAGTCCTACGGAAACTTTCCGCCCCCAACCGATACGCAGGCAAAAGCCGTACGAGTCGATGTTGCGGTGCCTGATCCAGCTGAGATGGAAGCTATTCGCGCTAGGCTTAGCCAATTGGAAGCCGGTGGTCAACGCCCCGATACCCGGCAGCGTGAGTCTCGTAAATGTCATTACTGTGGGAAAGCAGGCCATCTCAAGGGCGTTTGCTGGCAAAACCCACAAAGTCGGAATTACCGAGGATCGACCGGTCGTGGTCGAGGTCGAGGCACCTATGCCAACGCAGTAGCTCGCGGTACTTACGGACCGCCACCCCACCTAATGCATATCCCGCTATGGGTCCAGCCCAACCTGTCCCTATGATTACAGGTGGTCAGCAACCCGCTCGACCACAGCTCCCGCCAGTTTTTCCGGCAGCCGGTACAGCTGCAAATCCGACACGAGTTTTCTATCACAGTAACCTTCAGGCGGATCCATGGGAACAGCTCCCGATGGACGATCCTGCTTCTTTAAACTGAATGGGTCTGTGCGTGGTACCGACGCACGCACAGACCATTTCATCATAAACCCATATAAAAATAGTGAAGTAGGTCCAATTATCTGTCGGGCTCGTGTGAATAATATATCATGCCGGGCGATACTCGATACCGGCTCAGGGATTTCATTAATTACGGAAGGTTTTGCGAAACTTAATGGTTTGGAAATAATTGATACTGATGGCCCATACGTCTCCACAATAACATCACAACGTAAATTAAATAAAAAGATTGATGTCTATCTTGAAGTTTTGGGCCAAGTACAACCATGTGAATTATTTGTTGTAACCCAAGCACCCTTTGAGGTATTAATCGGAATTGATTACCTTAATCAAACACGGATTCAAATTGATTTTCATTCTAAAACACTGCGTAATGATTCTGTAGTCTTGCCCTTGCTCTATTACTGTTTTCCGGGCCTTGCAAACCCGGATAATGGTCAGGATGAAGGGAATGGGAAGCCGGTTTTTTAATAATCCCATTTACCTTCTACACGGTCCATCCGACCCACGAGATGGTCCGAAGACAGGCAAACGAGTTGCCGTAGAAATACTAACGGAGAATCCGTCTGAGAAACCCGTATTTCCGGGCGAGCTCAGAAAGAAGGCGAGCCCAGGTTTGGCCGCATCTACGAACTTAGTTTCCCAAGCTGTTCTGCTGGCGGAACAGTTTCCGGAAACGGCGAGGACACTTGATGGTACAGAACCCGCAGGCCCCGAGGGGTTACAGTTGTTGGACGCAGGTTCCTCCCAAGATGGGAAGGAAAGGAGACAAGATAGTATGATAAGGGCATTAGCCGATCGTGAAAAGTTTTTCAATTTTGGGTTGCTGAAGCGCAACGAGAACAAAAGAAGTTTGAAAGGTCAGGTTGAGGTCCTGGGATTTCGATCCCGGAGACCCAAGAACCGGTCACCGAGGTCACTGGCATTCAGAAAGAATTCAAGTTAGAGGTCCCGGAGGTTTCGAGTCCGGAGACTCCAGGAACCTGCCATTGAGGTCGCAGGGAATCAGGAACTAACTAACTTTGAGGTCGAAGGTAAAACAATCCCTAAACATCAGGAACCCGTTACAGAGAATTTTGGGATCAGAGATGCCATTAGAGCTGTTACAGAAACGCGAACCCTCGAGGTTCCGGACCAAGAGATTCAGAATAGTGCAGTCGCGTTGGAAGAGTTACTGCCGGAAAACCTCAAGCGTTTTATGAAGAATAATTCGGAAATCACAGATGACATTGATGACCTTTTTGGTCCTACCACAATTGCGGCAAAAGTTTCAGACATTAATTTTCAAAAATTAAATTATGGTGACCTTTCGGTCGAACAACGGAACGAACTAGTACGTTTGCTCATGGATTTTACTGAGGTCTTTCCGACCGACGATCAGGGCCTCGGTACCTGTAACGTGTTGACACACAGAATTTTTCTGAAACCGGAAGCGAATCCAGTCGTGGAACCGCTTCGGCGTTTCGCGGAATGGCAAAAAGTCGAGATCACTCGACAGATCCAAGATATGTTGCGAAAGGGCGTGATCAGCCCATGCGAAATTTCAGAACGATGTGCCAATGTGGTACTGGCACGAAAAAGAGATGAGTCTTTAAGATTTTGTGTTTCATACAAGCTTTTGAATGAGGACACTATTTTTGATCCCTACCCATTACCCAGAATCGACGACTGTTTGGACAGTCTTAAAAATTCGTGTTACTTTACTAGCCTTGATTTGGCTAGTGGCTACTGGCAAATCAGGATGGATGACTCATCCAAGAGTCTTACTTGTTTCCGAACGCCGGACGGCGTTTTCCAATTTGAAGTAATGCCCTTTGGATTGCGTACGGCTCCTGCGACTTTCAGTCGCATGATGGATCGCGTCCTGGGCGATCTCAAAGGAAAGATTTTAATACTGTATCTTGATGATGTTGAAATTTATGCGGACTCGTGGCAAAATCTTTTAGTAAACCTTCAAATCGTTTTGCAACGGCTTCGAGAAGCCGGACTGAAAATCAAACCAGGCAAATGCTTCTTTGGGAAGAAGGAACTAAAGTTCTTAGGTCATATGGTAAATTCCCAGGCATTGCCCCAGATCCGGAAAACGTTCAGGCTATCTCTAGCTCGTCCGGTACCTGCATGTATCCGGGACGTTAAGGGATTCTTGGGCGCTGCTAGCCATTATCGGCGATTCATCAAAAATTTTTCGCGCATTGCCGCCCCGCTTCTCGAGTTAACAAGAAAAACACAACGTTTCATTGGTCTGCTGCGTCGCAGCTCGCTTTTGACGATATAAAAACTCATTAATTACAAAACCAATCCTCACCCACTTTGACAATGAAAAGGAGCACGTCCTGAAACGGATGCCAGTCTCGATGGACTGGGCGCCGTTCTGACACAGCGCGAAGCTGATGGTTTCAAAGTTGTTGCCTACGCAAGTCGTTCGTTAACCGATGCAGAGAAGAACTATCATACGTCCGAGCAGGAGCTCCTCGCTATTTTCTGGTCGGTTACTGACAAATTCCATTTTACCTCGGAGGTCCGAAACCGTTCACCGTAGTGACGGACCATAACTCCTTAATTCCTTTGTTTAAAACGCCGACCCCGAGTGGTCGTCTCGCTCGTTGGATCCTGGCTTTGCGCCCATACAACATAAGGATCCAGTACCGAAAAGGAAGTGCCAATAACGTAGCCGACTTTCTCTCACGATCACCTTTACCACCACCGTTACCGCAGATTTGCGCCCTAGTCGTACCAGATTCAACGGTCGACATCCCTGCTCTACAGGAACTGACGAATTCTGTAAAAGATTTTGGGAATCCTGAACGGTGCCACCGACACCGCGAAATTTCGAACGCGAATTCAGCACTACGTCGTAAAGGAGAAAATTTTGTATAAAATCGTATTTCGCGGCAACGATCCGGTATATCTCATTGTGGTGCCTAGTTCACTAAAGGTCACTCTCTTAAGGGCGTATCACGATGATCTTGGTCATCCTGGGATCACCCGGTGCTTCGAAGCTCTGTATCTCAAATATTACTGGCCGAACATGGCCCACGATGTTGCGGAATACATTTCTTCGTGCCATTCCTGTCAGGTACTGAAACCACCGCTAAAACCACCATATGGTTTTCTGCAACGTATCAAAATCGGTCAATTTTTCGAATGTGTGGGTATGGACTACGTTGGTCCATTCCCACCGAGCAGTAAAGGAACCGGTACATAATTGTTGCCGTCGATCACTTGACAAAGTGGATCGAAGCGCGACCCGTGAAAGCGTAACTGCCGCCAACGCGGCACATTTTTTGTACGAGCAAGTTATTTCCAGACATGGTGCTTCAAGGTCGATCCTTACGGATCTCGGGACTCATTTCACCGGAAGTCTCTTGCAACATTTGTTGCGCCTAGCGCGCATTACTCATCGTACGACTACGGCATACAACCCTAAGGCCGATGGCCTTACCGAAAGGATAAATGGTGTTCTCGTTAAAGCGATTGCGCACTACGTGTCTCCGACACATAGAAACTGGGATGACCTTGTGATACCGATAACTTTTGCCTTGAATACAATGGTGAACGACACGGTTAAGGTCTCTCCATTTGAATTGTTGCACGGGTATAACCCGACTCATCCAATCGATAATATTATCAATCCTGGCGAAAACCTTGGTTTCGAAGAGCCTGATGAAACGCTTCCAAAGTCAAATTCAGACGTACCTAAGTAGCTTACGCGAGGTTGCCGGCCTCATGGCGAATCACGCGCAAGATAAGACGGCTCCGCGCTTTAATGTTACCCGTCGTGAACACGCCTTTGCACCTGGCGATCTGGTCCTTTTAAAAGGACCGCCAAAAGAAATTGTTTCTCCTGAAAATAACCTATCTCCAAAATTTCTAATTGTTGGCACGGGCCTTGGAGGATCGTCTCAAGTGTCCGAAGTTAATTACGAAATTGAATCTCTTCGTGGTCGGCCGAAGACTCAGGTTGTCCATGTACAGCGTTTGCGCCACTCTAGCGAGCGCTTGGACACACCGTACGTTGAGTCCGTTCTGGCCGAACCACTTAAAAAGGGGAAAAGAGACTTGGATAACGTTGATCTCGAACAGGGTCGAGAAACAAACGATCCAAAGTCCACACTCCCGCCTGATGTTCCGATAACCGGAACTAACGGAACGGAGACGGTTCGACGTTCGGACCGCCTAAAACAAAAGAGAGAAAAATAAGCATTCATATTTTATTCTTTCATGTATCATCGGTTAAAATTAAATAAAAAGATAATAAAATTTAAAAAATAAAAAGAAACAAGTAGTTTATTTTCATATGACAGTTTTGGTATTTTAATTTATCTAAAATTAATTCTTTCTCTCTCTTTTGTTGTAGGGCGTTGATCCCAACGGCCGTCAGGCACCAGTTTACAGGTACACCGGTCTGAACCCATCGGCTTTGGGCAACCGGTACGTACTTGACCATTTCTGTCACGTGAGTGTTGCTAATGAGCTTCACCCTCTTGCCAATCGTCAAACAGTTTTGACAACTGTAATTTCGGAAGTGCCCAGTGCACGTACGGTTTCGTTCGCCCGATTAGAGGTGCTAAAAAGTTATCTTAAACCATTTCTGGATCCCAATGAAATCGAGCGTATAACAACTGTAAACAGTACTTTTCTTGACGATCTTCGTCTCGCGGAATTTACAAGTTGCATAAGTGCCCTTTCCAAAATTAACACAAATATACCGCTCAAACCGTTCTTTCCCTCGCTGTACTTGGCTAAACTAGCTGTAGGAAATAACGGATTAACACGCGGTTTTCCTGCACCTTTCGCATGCAGATGCGCAACGACACAACTTGATATGACGACACCTTCGTTGACCTTTCAGTGTAACACTGATCCGGGCCGCTGCGATGCCCAGACCATTAATTACTCCAAGCTCAATGCACCGATCGTGAGGTGTAGCAATCGGGCTCAACGTTACGGTCTTTATTTATATAATAAGCTTGTCCCAGATTTCTTCTGTCTGGAATGCTTTTATAAAGCCACCAACCACGAGTTGTTTACCGACGGCTACTTTCAGCATCCTAACGATTTGACCGTTAAAAGTTGTCAGGCAGGGCACCGTACACGAGAACCCAACCATTGTGATCGTTGTAGTAGGACCAGAATTTACCACCGACATCTTGGGTATCCTCCCGGTCAAATCTCTTATGAGCACGCGCAACGGGATTTCAATAACAGAATAGCTCACGATTTTGCGCATTCGTTTTTTATCGTTGAGGAAAATTCTTACGCAGACCCAACTGATCAGGTCTGTGTAGTACTCCGCTATGCCAAAACAACGCATCCTGATTCTGCGCCACTGACAAAACGGCTCTGGGCATGGCTTTTACGGCAAAACCTTGGTGAAGTTGCCGACACTTACGAAACCTATCGCCGAAATTTTCACTACCATCCGCTGATATATCAGTTTCTAACATTGATCCCCCACAATGATGAATCCAGGGCAATAGCTTTTAAAGCATTGATGCCGTTTTTACCAATCCATAGCTCTCCTAATGTTGGCATTTTTCCGACTTCGTCCAGGGAGCACACCTGTCATGTCGCGTACCATGATACGGATATCAGTTTTGACTGCAAATGCTTTACGAACAATGCCCTCCGGGCGATCGGTCAGGACTTCGTACTCCTTAACAGGGATCGAGAAGACGCAATGGTTATTTCATCTAGAACGACAGACGTTTTTAACATTCGTCTTTGTGAAACGCGGAAAAATAACGGAAGGTGTAATAAACCAACAGATGCCCGCGTCCTGTACCAGAAAGGTCGTCCCGTCTTCCTTTGTACCCAATGTCTCATAGCCGTCTACCGCCACCGAATGTGCGTTTGCGGTACGGAAGTGGTATTGGTAGAATGCACTCCGCCGATGATGGAGTGTATTCGCGGCCACAAATATCACGCAGAATGCGCTGTCAGCGACATATGTCCTCATTGCGCACATTTGTTTCCGATGACGGAAAACGCTTCTACTGCGAGGAAGGACTCTGACAGTCCACCTCCTCTGAAGCATATTCTGATTCCGACGCGGAATCTACCGTAACTGTGAATTTGGACGAAGAACCATCGAGAAAGGGACTTACGGTTCACAACCCCGCATACGCTCCGGCTAAACCAGGAAATCGGGAAGGTCTTACGAGCGATGACTCAGGACCAGAAAACGAGGCACCGCCGCCTCCAGTTCCTGCAAAACGCATGCGCGCTGGTCTACCCAGCTTTGTGACACTTTCCGTCTTTCTTTTACTCTGTACCTTGTCGGGTACTTCCGGACTGAACACTACGCTATGCGACTGCTCACGGAGTAAATACGTGAGAATCGCTGACCTTTCTGCGCGAATCCGGTGCGAGCAGTTAGACGGCCCCATCAGAGAAACTCATGACGTGAAGTACTATCTTCTCGACTATAAGAACATTACTCGAGTTTTCTCCGGCTCCGCTTGTCGGATGGTTATGAAAACCACGATACAAGAAGGTTTTTTCTTCGGCGGCTATAACAGCCAGAATTTTGAGGTCGCACTCCCGGTAACCGCTGATCAGTGCCGTGACATGGTCAGAACAAAGACATGCAGTGGAAACGCCATGACCAAAAGTGGACGTACTTGGGTATACGACGCAATACCTGTGGTTGACCGCCGGTGGAACCAATACCGCCGGGCCGACGTCATTACCTGTCTCTTAGAGAACGTGACCTCGAAACCACGTGTGACGACTGTCCAGTACTGTCCGCCACTGGCGAAATTTCTTCGTCTATTCTCTCCGAGTCCAGTGTCCATCCACACGTAACTTACGTGTGGACTACCGACAAAACCATACGAAGTGTCGTGCTAACACGGTTCTTGACAGCGAGGGGCAGTTGTTCCAATTAAAATCAGGAGAGATCCACATTCGGGACCATTTACATCAACTCAGCTTTACGGTTGAAGAAAAAATGGAACGAACATGCGATGAAGGCGCATCTGTTCATTATGTCCGCTCCCATCCGACACTTCGCATAAAATTTTACCACGCTTGGTATCGTCCTAACGTCACTGAGAGAATCCGCCCTCCGGCTCGTCCCCCTGTTGGCATCCAAAGTCGGTTGAATGCAAATCTTTCGGCAGAAATTACCACCTTACTATCGTCCCACCTTCAGTACGTTGAGGATTTCTTCGCGTTTCAAGAAATGAAAATCCTCAATCACCTGCACAAGTTGCAATGCCAGGCCGACAGAACGGAAATGGAAAGTCTGATTCTACTTAGCCAGTTTTCCCTGTGGTCGTCGGAGGCAAACTAGGTTTTCCCAAATGTCAGGCTGCCGTAGTTCTTGGAGATTCGGCGACTATCTACCAGTGCACGGAAGTCAATGTTACCATCGGAGTCAAGTACTCTACATGCGGACCAGATCCGTACATCGCGGCCGAAAACGACGATCGCGGATACACGATCGCCCTCGACGGCGAAACCTCAAAAGGCACTCAGTTTGCCTCCATCGGCACTCCGTGGTAATTATACACGGAACTCTCTACCGCTACCAAGACGGTGCCTGGACTCCTGTAAACCCTACGTTCCATAAAACGCTTGCACATTGGCATTATACTGCCAAATTCTGACGGATAACTTGGAAGACACTCTCGGTGACTCCTTGTCAATGGATCCTTTTCGGTTTCTCGACTTAACAGCCGAGTTATCCGGCCTGATGTTGAGACCGGTATTTCAAATTTGAGTACCATAATTACTCCAAAATATGTTCAAAGTACAATGAAGTCCATGACATGGCATAGTCTCTTAAATATTTCGCTTACTTCGATAACCGTTTTCATTGCTGTGGTATTTTGCGTTCGGTATTACCGAACGGTAATCGCGTTTCTCAGCTGTCTTCTAGATTGTTGCCGCTCGCGTTCGCGCCGGCAGTATGATTTTCAGCCTCGACGGTAGGGAACGATTGCGGTCACTGCGACCGCTACGGAAACCCCAATCGGAACCCGTCCCGGGACGTACCCACACGGACGGTGGATATTCCCATGACGCCGCGTTACCGTCCTTCGGACACCGTCCGACAGGATCCCGTCTACGCCAATGCGCTTACGACCGCTGAGGACTCGGATGGATCAACAATCGGCGCCAGGACTCCCTCCCCGGAGCACACGGTCGGAACACGGATGGAACCGACGGTGACCTTTGGGAATGCGTTGATGGAACAGCGCCGGAAGTTGGCACCGGTTCGGTACGGAACTCCACCGACCGTGAGCAGCGTATAACCGCTTAGCATTAGCCTTATTTTCCCGCTCATGTAAAGTCAGCCAGCAAATTAATTAAAATTTCTTAAAAAATTTCTATTGCAAAATTTCGAAAATATTGTATTTTATGCGATTTTTGTTTTTATATTTTGCTAAGACAATTCAAATCAAGTCAGGTTCTCGCTTGTATTTCGTCAAATTTAACATGGTCAGGTTTTACTTAAATTTTTCAGTAAAAAGCATCGCTTTATTTTTTGTGGAAAATTTATCAAAAATATTGGTCAGGAAATTTCCTTCGAGAATTGTCAAATTTTCGTTTGAATTTCAAAAAAAAAGTTCTTGGAGATAAACCCGTTTCTATCCCAGGGAACCCAGTAATTTTAAGGTTCGCTCCAGCGAACCCAGTTATATTCGGTTCGCTACCTGAAGCTTTAGGTCGCCGATTTTTATCAGTCATTACCGCTTCCCAACGAACACTGCGTGGTCAGATTAAACGACCTGCATTATAATCATGGGTATCGTATGGTGTTTGTGTGAATAGACTGAGATCGAAATTTTCTGGGGCAAAATTAGATATTGAAATTTTAAAAAAAATAATAGTTAACGGATAAGCTGGTGCAGCAGTTTGTTTGCACAGTGTCTACGCGAATGAAGAATCGCTCACATGCTTCGAAATTACCTCAACTAACGCAGTCTAGAATCGATGTACAAAAACCTGTCTGAAACAGCAATACCATCTGCTGTGAAATCTCTGCAGAAAACTTGTCCGCAACAGCAAAAAAATTTTTTTTGCTGTAATGCCTCTGACCAAAACCCGTCAGCAACAGCATTGAAAATTGCTGAAAAAAAAAACAGAACAGAATTTCGTACGAGATCGCACACGCGCGACTCGACTGCAGCAGACGAAAAAAAATTTTTACCAGCCAGACACGAGTTTAGCATCGTAGACTGAATGCACTAAAGCTGCATTAAAAAAAAAGGAAAAAAGAGGCGTGTGTTTAGACAAGCGAATGAATAATGTTTGAAACCAGCGACTTAATATTTATAAATTGTACTGTGTCGATTTTGCCTCAGGAAATGAAATGTCTGTTTATTTGCGTGAATACGGTGTGGTGTTGTGGTTTTGGTGTACGGTTAACCGCTGATCAAAGTTCAAGTTCAAGAGCGACCGAAAGATATCATCGACTGAACCGCACTCATTATAAAATGAGTCAGAGAATTTAAAATCCAAAACATTTATAAAATGAAAATTCGGTTCAATCCGGTTTTCCCTAAAAGCGTTCCAAAAATAAAATTCAGATTATTCCGCTATATTACCTGTATTTCTTCTAACCGTATAAAGTATAACTATTACTTGCATATTATTATTTGCTATTTCATGAATGTGTTTCGAAAATTTTAAAATGCAAAAACAGCTGCTTTATCGTACTGCTGGTTGACTGGCTTTTCTGCTTTTCTTATATTAGTTATGGACTGCGGACAGTCCTTTTTCATGGAGAGAAGTGTTACATGTACTTTGTCCTGATGCTCGGCTCGCTACTTTTCCCTTGCCCAATGCCTGAATCACTTAGTATGTGCCGATTCTCATGAAATGCGCTTTCTGATTGTTAAGGGCGATATGCCCGTACATGCCGTTATCTGATATACCGTTCCACTGGTTGCTCTTTTATACCGATGTTTTTGCGCTTTTCTGCGACAGTCACAGCCGTGCAGCCTAATTTCCTTGAATAACAATTCTTGACTCGCAATTGCCGTCTCGTTCGTTGCCGTTTATGCATATTTCCGTAAACACCACATATTAGACTACGAAACCGGCCGGTCTTACACCGCCGTGACCTTTTCCGTTTATTTCGCTCTGCCATAAATTATGTAACAACCGCAAGCCGATGGCATTCGAGAAAATTAAAAATTTCAAAATTGACTACAAAACTAGTACAGGCCACAAAATGCAGAAGGAACCAATTTGAGCAAGTGACAACAGTAGTGCTACTTGCCAGATCGAAGGCATATTGATTATGAACGGCCCGCGCTCAAGCTCGGACTTGGACTCGGACTTGGACTACTAAAACTTGGACTTGGACTACTCCTAACTTGGACTTGGACTCGGACTTGGACTACTGAAACTTGGACTTGGACTTCACTTGGGCTCTAAAACTCTGACTTCACTTGGACTTTAGGACAGGACTTGGATTTAGGCGTTTTTCATGTCTTCTTACGTTCCTTCATGTTTTCTGAGGTTTCTGAGGTTTCTTAGGTTTCTTAGTTTTCTTAGGTTTTCTTAGGTTTCTGAGGTTTGTTGGTTGTTCTTAGGTTTCTGAGGTTACTACCATTTCTTAGGTTATCTAGGTATTCTTTGGTATTCTGAGAAACCTAAGAAAACTGAGAAGTCTGAGGAACCTAAGAAACCTGAGAACACCTAAGAAACCTGAGAAACCTGAGAAATCTGAGAAGCCTAAGAAAGCATGAAAAAACGTAAGAAGACATAAGAAACATAAGAAACACCTAATTCCAAGTCTAGGTTATAAAGTCCGAGTTTTAGAGTCCAAGTGAAGTCCAAGTTTTAGAGTCCAAGTGAAGTCCGAGCTTTAGAGCCCAAGTGAAGTCCGAGTCTAAGTTTTAGAGTCCAAGTGAAGTCCGAGTTTTAGAGTCCAAGGGAAGTCCAAGTTTTAGAGTCCAGTTGAAGTCCGAGTCCAAGTTTTAGTAGTCCAAGTCCGAGTCCAAGTCCGAGTTTGAGCGCGGGCCATTATGAACAGCAACCACAACTACAACACCTAATGGCTATCAATCACGCACATGGCAGCCGGAAAGTTGAAGGGAGAGACGCGGGAATTTTGCTTGTGGCCCTAGATTGGCAAGAACATCGAGCACTTGGTCATGGAATGCCTCACCTGCTCAGAACGGGCAACAGGGACGTCCAAAGTCCCACTTTCACAGTTGAAACTGTACTGGGCAGGGCCGGATACGCCCTGGAAGCAGCTCCACGTCGGCTTCGTCGGTCTATTCCACGGGATTATGCTACAGGTCATCCTCGACGCCATGTCGAAATGGCCGGAAGTGGTGCAAATGGAGGACGTCACTGCCGAAGGTGTACTGGGAGGCTCCAGAAACATTTTCTGTATCCAGATTTCTTCACTGAACTGGTGACCGGCAACGGTGAGCAGTTCACAGTGCAGGAGTTTGCAGACTTCCGCGCGGAGCACGGAATCCGCCTTCTGCAAACACCACCCGGCCACCAAAAAAACAAACCCAACGGACCAGCCGGATGGATTTCCAAACGCTCTAGAGTGGAATCGCCAAGTTTATGGCCGACCGGAAACAATTGCCCATTGCGGTCCGTGATTTCTCGTTTTGCTACTGGTGCGCGCTGCATGCGACGACAGGGAAGCCGAAGGGAACGTTATATTTGCCAAATACCGTAATTATCGAATTTGTGGCTCCCCCCGAAATAAGAGCCCCCCCTGTAATAAGCCCCCCTCCCCGACCCTGTTTGAAAAATAAGGCCACTTCGAAATTACGCCCCAGGGGGCCGTTATTAAATGTCAAGCGCTGCAAAATGATAGGTGTACCGCAAATGCTTTATAAAATTGTGAACAAACGTTAAACGGACATCAACATAATGCGGTATTTGTAGGCAAAAAAGTGTATAGGGACCTTGGTATATGGTCGAAAATGATGCCGGGAAGGTTGCGCTGTTGCGTATACCGATAATTACTGCGGTCAATTTCACTAGAACAGGATGTGCAGTTGTTTGAAATATAATGCCCCCTCCCAAAATATACCGTTCGAAAAATAATGCCACCCCCCGAAATTGCGCCCCCTCCCCGAAATAAGCCCCCCTCCGCCATAGCCTTCGAACTATTTGTACCCCAGGGCCACAAATTCGATAATTACGGTATACGTTAAGTTTTACGACAAAATAGCTACAAATTCGCATGGCAGTTGAATAACAGTACTTGCTAGCCAGCCTAGCCTTAATTGGGACTTTAGGTATTTTTTCCGATTTGTACGAGGACATTTGGGTGCTGTGAAGTGTGAACACCCCTGCACGATTAGGTTGCGATGAACAGCCGGCTAAATTTAAGACGTTTGCATTTAGACTGTGATGTCAGTAGCGCTGCGAGCTACAGCTAACCGGATGTTCATCGCAGCCCAATCGTGCAGGGGGTGTTCACAGCCCCCAACTGTCCTCGTACTTTTTGAACGACGACCGTGCCACTGTTGACACTTGAAGGGAACGCGAGCGTTCACCCAGACTCACAAAATCGAGTTCCAGGTGAAACTTTACTCACACGAATGTTTGTTTTGCTTTCAGACAACGTTTTAATAAATACAGTACATCAAATGCGTGGTAAACTGCACTTTCGACAGTAATATCAAAGGACCTGGAACGTTAGCCATGCGATTCAAAATGTCACTGTATAGATATAAAAACATAGCAACGTTTTTTGGAAAACAGTAATCTACAACTAAAAGCATGCAGTGCCCTGCACCCCTAATTAGGTTAATAAGGTCCCCGAAAATCTAACGGAAAGAACTGGTGCAAAATTCGTCAAATACTGACACACAATGATTTACATGTCCCGACCACTCCGACCTCCGGACACATGAAAGGTAAGTACTTTAAAACTCAATTTTATCGTGATTTTCGGGCGCTATTGGCCTAACACATCCAAACGTGCAATGCAGGCGCATTCACTCGATCACGGTAGGAAAGTCAGCAGTCATCTGGATCTGTAGTTTCAAGGAGAAGTCAGCGGGATTAATATAGCCTTTAGCCGGATCCAGTAAATCCTAAACATAGAAATTTATGCAGATTACGCGTAACTAAAAACTTCCGCTCTGAAACTCTCACCTCCATGGTCAAAAAGGCGTGTCCCCAGCAAGAGCTGTCCTTGCGGAACAATTCGCCTACATCTAAAAGATTTCACATAATTTGGTTTTCCATATTATCAGTAATTGCGGATATACTGTACAAGGAAGCACACATTTCTTAATCGGTGCAATTCCCGTTTTCCATGGCAGCAGACGCATTTCTCCCCGAGCCCGGCACGTCCAATAAGTCATCTTCGGACAGCCCGAACACCGCAGGTAAAACACCATTTTAGGAACGTCATACTCAGGATCCCGTTCAACCTCGATACTCCTGCAAAATGATGCATAACGACTGCGCCGATATTCGACTAGCTGCAGCCTTCGCTCACAATAACTATCTCACCAGAGCATCTTTCTGACGGTTATGGGATCGCTGACCATACCCCTCTTCTCCAGCTCCCTGACATCCGGAATCGTATAATCAATGATACCTTCAGCGGACACATCTGTACATTCCACAACATTACTTTTAAAACGACTACATGATTAGCATACGAATGCCCGCACTCACTTTGTCGGGGTTCCGTATGGAACGGCAACTGCGGCTTGATTGTAGCGTTCTTGTAACGGTAGATGTCCCATCCTTCCGATTGCAGCAACAAACCGCTCTGCATAAATAAGTTTTGCTGATAACCTTGATGGTAATATACTCACCAGTGTGGACCTTGCTAGACTAAAAAATAGCAATCCAAAACACAGGAGCACTGCAGTTGCCAAGCTGGCATCCACTGCTGCGCAAAAGCACAACAAATACTCGTAATTATTTGCGAGAAACCTAATATATTACAGGGAATATCATACCTGCGCGGGTCCATCCAGCAACTGAACATCGGTCAAAAGCGGAAATCGGATGAGAAACAGCGTCTGCCCTAACACTTCGCGCCGATTGCCAGAAGAATCGTCCATGTTCCGTCGCGAGCATTCGCTTGCAGCCCACCTGCAAAAAATGGCGTATAAAGGTATGATCGTTCTGTGTCAGCAGGAAAAGACTGGCAAAATTTAGTTTACTTGTCAACCGACGAACAAATGGTGTCTTCATTGGCTGTCAGCGTATCCCGTTGGAGAATAAGGCGCAGCGCCTCGGGTCCAATTTCACAGAAATTCTCCGATTTCAACACAGTTTCTGCGGATTGATCAATTAGGCACAGACACTTCTCCAAGATCTCTGGCGCTCTGATCCCGTACTGAACCGCCTACATAACACAGCGTTCAATTATTTATGGTACAGCCAAGTGAACAAAAACCCCTCGGTCTTGGAAACCTACACCATTCAGCATATCCAGGCAGTTGTTGCTGTTGAGCGCACGAAGGACGAAGTCGGTGCACTTGAATACCAAATGTGACAAGTCGTATTTGTCCGCACAGCCCAGTGTGTGGAAGACGTTGTCCAGTGTCAGCTCCTTCACATCATCGGTATACACGTAACTGCACAGGGTATTGTTGTTATTTGCGGTAATCACAACAAAAACAGATGCAGAAATAATGTACGCGTGACACACCTGATCATATTAGCGAAGGCCTCCGGATGAATGTCGGAAATGTCGATGGGAGTCGAGCAGTTCTCTGGCACACTTCCATAGAACATTGTACGGAACACAGCGCTGCGGATACTCAAGATGGCTCTGCATGTTATAAATGACTGTTATCAAGATCAAACCCGTACAGCCAAAGAAATTTATAGGTCATACTATAAATTTATAGGTCATACTATATAGGTCATTTATAGGTTATAGGAGTAAGGATGGTGCAAAAAAATCACAGTAAGGACTCACCTAAGAGCTGGAAAGATTTTGACGGTACCGTAGTCGCGTCCTACTGCGAACTGGACATCACTCAGTTCTCCGCAGAATAGCAGTTGTTCCATACCGTCACCGATTGTAAGAATTAATTTATCACGAGCTCCTGTGACTGAGGAGGATCCGGGATTTGATGACATGACTGCAGATCTTGCCACTTGTCAGTCCGTGAAGTTTCAGTCCGTGAAATTTCTGTCAACGTGTTGCACTTCTGCTGTCACTTCTACTGTCCACAAAACTGTAAACAAGCAACATAAAAGAATGCAAAGTGAATCTCTAATCAGTGCTAATGTTTACCCTGAACTTCGATGTGCTTTGCTAAAACAAGCAACAAGTAAAATTTAGCAAATTACGAACTGGTGTATTGGTGAGTTCTGACTTCAGAGTTCTTCAAGTCGGATGACGGATGTGAGGCTATTGTGAGCTGTCATTTGAAACGTTGGCATCGCCCGGTGGCGGTGAGCGCTGTCAACAAGGTTCAAGTATTTTCTTACTGACAAGTGAATTAACAACTAAAATTAATTTGAGCGATGTCCAGTTCGCAGTCAGACGGGAGTCACGGGAGTATGGAAATTCACCCTGATCCAGGACGTGAAAATTCTTCCGCCTGATAAGCGTCTCACTAATGGTCCATTCAATCGTGCAGACTCATCCTGAGTTTTTTTTTTTATTCAGAACTTTTTTATTGATTTCAACATTGTACAAGCAAAATGCCGTTTTACACTTAAAACTCAAATATTGGAATAGCTAAAACAAATGAAACAACTCTTCCAGCTCTTTGAACAACCAACAGTACCCAGAACAGATGCGGCATTTCCGCGCTGAATTTCGACGCTTATACGCTGCCACAAAAACTCGGTAGCGCGCGCTTCTCCTGTTTGATCTTTTATGTGTCGGCCGACTTCACTGATGAACTGACGGGTACTGGCGCTACAAGTTCCCGTAGTCTCCAAGGAAACTGGTTGGAGAAAGTAACGATCAGTCAGTTCCCTGTAGTTGTTCCTCTTTCGCTCTTCCAAGGGAAAAGAGATAAACTGTCCGGCCGCTTCCCATCTAACCTGCTCAATCCAGGTGGCTCCAGAATAGAAGGCACTTTTGCTGATCCCAGGCTGCGTTGAATAAGGCTATTCAGGCTTGCGTGTCGCCTGAATCTCCCTTGACTTTTGGAACTTGACAAACCATGCAAACCTCGAGCATCAACCATTTCCCCGCATCGGCATTTGTGTTGCTTACAGATCTGAACTCCCAACCGTAAAGCAACAGCGATTCGTACCGCAGCGTCGTCTAACAGTGTGCCAAGGCTAGCAACCGGCAAAGCAAACAACCAGGCACTGGCATTCTTAGTAGAGGCGGCCAACAAGCGAGCAGAGGCGATAACGTCGGCATCCTCCTTTAAGGCTTCCAGCTTCCTGATAGTCAGCATGTCCGACCACAGGTGTTGATTGCTTCGGTCTTCTTTAGCAGGGGCTGATTTTCCAGTTAATTCTGCCCAGCGAAACTCGACTTCGATCCGGTCATCAGGGCAGTCCTCGGGCACAATACTACTGACCAGCTCGTCAGTCGCATAAAGTGAAGACAGATGTGCTGGGGCTGCAATTTCTTCCGCTTTTGGTAAACCTAGCCCACCTGATTTCACCGGCAGAGAAGCTTGCCTGTATGTAACATCGTCCATCTTGACGTTTGTGATTTCCTCGGCCTTGGACTTATCACATCGTCAAATTCTCTGAGCTTTTCTGGGTATTTGTAGCAGGGCGCCGCTCTGAGAATATACATGAGACGTGGCAGGGACATGCTGTTTCTGAGTAAGAATAGAGACTGATGTGCCGTCAAAACACCCAAAGATTCAGTCAGTTTCTTAACTTGGCTGATTTTACAGTCCAGGACACGTTCAATAGACCATTCAGTGAGAGGAGCGCCAAGCAGTTCGAGTGTCTCTGGGGTTACCAGGTGAATTCCGGGTGCAACCGCATTAAAACGATCATAGATCCTCAGTCGATCTTCTTCGGAACCGCCGTACACATACAGCTCGCACTTGGCAAAATTAAGTTCCAGGCCGAGTTTGGAGGCTTCGTTTTGTACAGTGATAAAATCTTCCAAAACAATTTCTGGGTCACCTCCTTCCGTCCCGTCGTCCAGATACCAAACATTGAGATCAGCGCGGAGGCTTCTGGTCAATTTGCTAGATCCCAGGCAGAACAGCAACGGACCGAGGGGATCGCCCTGTTGGACGCCATTGGCGGATAATATCATTGTGTCCCCACAAAACAACGTCGAGCTCTCTTGATAAAACTGTGAAACAAAATGATAATACTGCGGTATTCTTTCAGCTGCTTCCTTCAAAACAACATCCCGACGTATAGTGTTAAATGCGTTACGGAAGTCCAGTTTCAAAATCACATTAGGGCTGGCTGGGTGTGCTCTAATAAATTTCCGAGTGGCATGCACAGCAGCTTCCGCTCCACCTCGAGTTCCATACCCTAACTGAACTGGGCGGAAAAATGCATCCAACTCAGACTGAACGCGTTTACTTATCACCTTCCCACACAGGCGTCGTATGGTGCAACCGATTGCTATGGGCCGTATTCCACCCGACTTCTTGTTTAAAGGAATGAGCGTTGCGCCATAAAGCACCGTTCGTGCACCATCGGGGACAGAGTCAATACTCATCCTGAGTATCCGCAGCTATGTGTTCGACACCATGTTTTACGGAAGCGTACCAGAGAACTGTACCGCTCCCATCGACATCCAGGACATTCATCCTGAGCCGTTCGCTAATATGCTTAGCCTCAGGTGTGTCGATCATGCAGTATTTCGGAAACGTCCGCGCAGCGAAATCGCTAATAACAGCACATCCTTTGCAGTTACATCTACACCGATGCCGTGAAGAACTTCACTGGGAAAACGTCTTTCATACACTGAGCTGCGCGGACAAGTACGAGTTACCCCTGCTGGTAGCCTGCTGCGTCAACTTCATTCAGAAAAACGTCAACTTCTGCAGCTGTCTGGACACGCTGGAAAGCGTACGTTTTCTCTGGTGCAGCCGATCAACCGAAGACTACGAGTACTGATTGTATCGCTTAGGCGGTTTTCTATGCAACCGTTGCACTGAGTATCCTGAAGAGGCACCGCGACATTTCGCCGCGGACAACTGGTCGCAGAACTTTTGGCCGCAGACATTTCACCGCAAGGCCATTTCGCCTCGCGACGTTTCGTCGCAGGAAATTTCGTCAGTAGGACTTAACGCCGCGAGACTTTCCGTCGCATGGCCGTTTCGACGCAAGGCAATATCGCCGCAAGGATATCTCGACGAAGCGACTTTTCGACTATTCGATAAATAATTTACTAAGCTAATACATAAGTCAGAATAGGGAAAAATAAAAAACAAAACCAAACGCACAACCTAAGAAACCGTAGAAACTTTAGAAACCTAAGAAACCTAAGCAAAACCTAAGAATAACCTAAGAAACCTAAGAAAATCTAAGAAAACCTAAGAAACTTAAGAAACCTAAGAAGCCTAAGAAAATCTAAGAAATCTTAAGAAAAACTAAGAACAAGCTTAAAAAACTAAAACTAGTGAGAATTAAACGCGGTGAATTACTTTGCGGCGATTAGTCGCATCGATCAAAAAGACCCAAGGCGAATTGTTCGCGACCAGACGTCTTCCGTCGAAATGTCGCAAAGGTAAAATGTCTCAAACGATAATGTCCCGAACCGAAATGCCCCAGCGTCCGAATGTCCGGCGGGCCGGGGCGGCGAAATGTCTTCGCGGCGAAAAGTCGCGCGTCGAGTTTGAGTGCGGCGAAATGTCACACTCTCAATTGTCCGGGTGTGCCTGAAGAAGTGTTGCCGCCTGATTGATGAATCAGCGATAGTTATCTGGGAATCAGAGCAGTGCTGTACGCTTTCACACGAGGCGCTACGCATGATTCCCAACGGGACACGCTAACAGCTGAAGAAGACATACTAACTCTTAAGGGGACCACTAGCAGTAGAAAGCGGGTTCGGGAAAACGGGAAGACTTTAAAAACGATGGCCAGATACATGTTTTTACAACTTTGACTAAACGCAGAGAGGATTTAGCTTCACAATGGTGTGGCGCGATCCTCTCTGGCCTGTGTCTAGACCGAGCTATTCATCAAACAAAGAAAAAACTTTGAAACTAAAAGCTGAATGAGAAAGTTTCTTTGTTTATGATGTGATATACATAGTTGTGTGTGTTTTCTTCTAGAAAGCTTATATACCGAAACTCCAATGTTGTACAACAGAATGTACTCCATTTAAATGCAAAAAAACACTTTTCAGAAAGTGTTTTTTGCGTTTAATTTGAACATTTTCAACTTTTCTATCAGCATGTTTCGGTATATAAGCTTTCTAGAAGAAAACACACACAATGATGCACATCATATCATAAACAAAGAAACTTTCTCATTCAGCTTTTAGTTTCAAAGCTTTTCTTTGTTTGATGAATAGCTCGGTCTAGACAGGCCAGAGATCGCGCCACACATTGTGAAGCTAAATCCTCTCTGCGTTCAGTCAAAGTTGTGAAAACATGTATCTGGCCATCGTTTTCAAAGCATTCCCGTTTTCCCAAACCCGCTTTCTACTGCTAGGGATCCCCTTAAGGAAAGTGGTAACAAAGCTCCCATGACAGACTGTCTGCATATGCATATAGCTAGTTTGATCTACGTATACATTTGGTTAGATCCCCACCCGCACCAGGGATACTGGAACCAGGAACAGCGGCACCTGGCGGCATCAAAATCGGTGTCTGGCGTTTATACCGTCCTGGCTGTGTCTTGTCGGGCAGTGCGCTGCAAACCGTTGCTGATCTTCGTGATTCCGCCGCGACTGCCTGCACTTGGACTTCTAAACTTGGACTTGGACTCTTCATTTTGGACTTTTTACTTGGACTTTTACAACTTGGACTTCTAAACTTGGACTTGGGCTCTTCAACTTGGACTTTTCTTGGGTTTCTTAGGTTTCTCAGGGTTCTTAGGTTTCTTAGGTTTCTTAGGCTTTCTTAGGTTTATTTGGTTTCACAGGTTCCTTAATTTCCTTAGGTTTCTTAGGCTTACTAAGTTTATTTCTAAGGAGA